TTTAATGAATTCGTATTCCTCTAGTCCACTTAATTTTGTCCCAGTTTCTCACTAACCCTCAAGGCTTACTTTAGTGCAAGAGCATCACCTCCTCCCAATTTCCAACCAGCTCTCTGCCTGGAATCACAGCATCAAACTTCCTGCACTGATCTACTAATGGAGGGAATGGCCCCTTTCCTTTAATCTGGGGGAGGGGCTTAGAGGATGGCGGTTGGAGCCTCAGTTGCTGTCTAACCTAAATGGACCTGGCAATCATTTGGAGAGGAGAGATATTCTAAGGTAAAGGGTTCTTGGTGAATTAAAGACCCCCTTCTTGTCTTTGCCTATAAGTGAACTCAAGGCCACTAGGATGTGAGCAGGAAGTAGGATAAACTCCATCTCTCAGAATCAGGCCAAAAACAAAGAAAGCATAGAAAACCCTTCCAAGCTGCTTAGGTCTTTTAGGAGGAAGGTACAGAAAGATCAGAAACCTGTGTTCTTGAGTCAGACTATCTCTGTATCTAGATTTGTCTTTGTCTTTTCTTTTCATTCTCAAAATTTCATTAAACTAATGATTCATTCATATGTGAGTATCTTCCATGGCCAGGTGCTCTTTTAGACCTTGGGAATATGGCGAGCAAAACAGGTAATGTTTCTTCCCCGATGGAGCCTACATTTCAGCTGAGAGATACAAATAATAAATGTAATAAGTAAATAATTACATAAGCAAGATAATTTCAGATAGTGGTAAGTGCTATGAAAAAAGCTTTAAAAAACAACTTTTTAAAAAGGTGAGATAGAAAGTAACAGGGGGTTAGGAAGGGGTCTCCTTTAGATGGATGGGCAGGAAGATCTCTTTTGAGGAGGTGATATTTACCCTAAATGATCAGAAGATGGCCTGGAAAAGGGGTGTTGTAAGAAAAGAAGCAAAGTACAAAGGTCCTGAGGTGAAAACAAGCTTGGCTGGGCATGGAACCCAAGGCAGAGAAAACCCATAGATGCACTCACCCGTAAGGCGCGGGTTAGATCACACAGAACTTTAATTCAGAGATAAGGACTTTGGACTTTATTCTAACAGCATTTAGAAGTCATTAGATAATGTTAAGCAGAATAACATAATTTATTTTAATTCTGAAAGCTCACCCTGGCTGTTAGTTAGATTATGGAAATGACACCTAGGTTGGATAAGGTGGTAACAGTAGAAGTAGAAAGAGGTGAGCAGATTCAGGATCTATTTTAGAGGTCGAGCCAACAGAACTTGCTGGTGGATTGGATGTGGGGTAGGAAGAAATAAGAGGAATCTAAAAGGGTTGGTTCCATTTACTAAGAATGGAAGCCTGAGGAAGGAACAGATTTTTTGGAGGGAAATCAGAGATTTGTTTTGCCCAGACTTTGTTTGAAATGCCTGTGATGCATTCAGATGGAGATGGTAAGCAAACAGTTGGACAAATGAGAATTCTTGAAGCACATATTTAGCATTCTGTTTTGAATTGTTTGCCCATTGTATTGTAGAAACCTAGAAAAGTCCAAGAATGGGTCTGAAAGGGCAGTTCCCCCTCTCTGCTGGACCAGTAGAGGTCCCCTACAAGGGATCAGGTCCCCATCATCTGAGGGGGTGTGGTATGCTTCATTGCACAAAGCAGAAGTGCTTTAGAATTGAGAAGGTCAAGCAAGTTGTAAGTTGCGATGTCATTAACTTACATTTCAATTTACCAAGTGCCTTCTCTTTAATTATGGATGATCTTCAGTTGACTCTCAGTATGAAGTTTCTGGTTTCTGCTTCCCCCTCTCCTTTCACATCAATCCCTGCCCTGGCTTCTATAACCAGCCTTTACTCTGTGGACCACATAAAGTAAAAAGCTTGAATCCACCTTTTGATGATTGGGGGGATGCAGGGAGAGGTCTCTTAGGAAAGCTCAGGAAATAGCTTGCCTCTTTTCTCCTGAAAAGTTGGGGAAGAAAACAGTGATAGACAGGCAGCCAGGTTGGAAGGAGTAACGTCAGGTCTGGTAACCAGGGGTGCTGGATGAGTAATTCCAGAATCAAGAGCTGTCCCCACCCAGTCGCAAGCAGCACTGGGCTGGGAGCAGGAAGCCTCAGAGAGGGCAGCTGTGGGCTGCACCTCCTAAGAGGAAAAAGGTGGCAGACCCGAGCCCAGGGTGCTCGCTCACTCTGCCTAGCTTCACTTTACATCAACAGAAGTGAAATGGTTTAGGCTCTCAGAGGCCAGAAAACAGTCCTCCTCATGGAGCCATAAAACGGATGGGAAAGGGCCTTCTCCTCTACTAGATAATGAAAATATTCACCACTAATTGGCTGCTTTAAATGTTTGGATTCTCAGGAAGTACGGAACAGTTAGGTAAGTTCAACAAACAGGTATCAAGCACAACTGTGCCACTTACTAGTTCTGTAGTTTTGGGAAATTTACCTGATGGCAGTCTCAAATTTCTCATTTGTAAAAATGATAATAGTAGCTACCTTGTGAGACCACTCGTGTAACACACTCAGTGCACTGTCTGGATTAGAACAGGCACTCAATAAAGAATTACTGCTATTATTACTACTGTACTGACGACTATCACTATTACCATGTTAGGAAATGAGATAGGTACTGGGGAATATAAAGACAAAAGACATAATCTTACAATGTAGAAGCATAAGGCTCAGTCAGGAGGTAGGAATGAAAAGCATTAAAATACACTGTAATGCACGTGTAGTAGGGATTCCTACCAGAGGGTGCCTGCAAGTGATTACATTTTAGTGAGATTATATCTGTGTAGGCCAGGAGGGGGAAAAAGTTATCGTCTTGGAATTGTAGACCTTTCCACATCCTCACTGGGTGGGGATCAAGTAAGTAGTTCACCAAGAACAACTGTTCACCAAGAAAGGTATCAGGACATGCCTATGGCTTTTGTTTGTTTTTGGTGGGTTTTGTTGTTGTGTTTTTTCCAAAGCAGTTAGTCACCAAGGAGGAATAGAATAATGAGGACTTTAAATTCTCAAGACAGTGAAAGCTAGAACCAGCCCTGGTTTAGCACTCCTGAGCACAGAAAGAGCTGATCACTTTGGAATCTGACACCTGGAGCCTGCCCTGGCAGAATCTGATGGCCCTTGGATCAGGGTGATTTGGGGGCAGGCTGGAAAGGCCCCACTCTGGCCCAGACCCTTGACATTGCACTGACCCCACTGTGCGGGTTCCCCACAGGTACAATGCTTTATCTCTGTTTACATCTTCTGCTAAGCAGCCTTGCTGCCCTGTCCCTGAGCCAACTGACACAGCTGGCCAGTCCATATACAACCCATTATTGTGGAAGTAACCAGGATGCCTCTTAAGGAGTTTGGGTTATGACTGTTGTGCCTCCCAGTTCGTCTCTAGAGTATAAATGTTGGTGCCCTCACACACCAGTAATAGAAAACCTTTAAGTCCGTACTGTCCTCCTTCCAACTCCCTCTGTGTAATCCTAAGTTCTTGCTGCCTCATCTGCTGAGGTGACTGGGAATTTGGCCAGAAGCACTTTCTGTTAGAGAGTTCTGGGGTTTGGGCGGCCCACCCCCAGAAAATATGCCAAGCACCTTCCAGGAATCAGGGACACATGGCCAATTTTGCCACATTTACCCTGCTGCCTCAGCCATGAGACTGATCTCCTAGACTCTCTTTCAGGTACCTCTTAAGCACAGTAAATCCTGTATGCATAAAGGAGAAGGAGTTGGAGGGAGGACAGCCTGGACTTCTGGGATTTCTATTACTGGTAAGTGAGGGCTCAAATATTTGCACTCCAGTGTGTTGGGAGGCACAACAGCTGTACTATTAATTGTATAAGAGGCATCCTGGTTACTTCCATAACCATAGAAGCTTGCACAAGCTACAGTAGCAGGAAGCAAGGAGTGATAAATTCTGTAAGAAGAGGTATTGGAGGAAGACTTCGGAGAGGTTAGGCCCAAACAGTTTTGGAAGTATAAGCAGTTGACAGTGATAGAATGGAGGAAGTTAATTACAGATAGGAAGAACAGCATGACATAACATGGTTCTTCAGTGACCTCAAAGTACCTTTGTCCCCTTTGCCAGTTTTGGTGGATCCATTTCTTGTTCCAGTCTTTAGTGATAACTCTCCTTAGCTCTTCACAAAGGACAACTTTAATATATGTAAAGCATTTAGAAGAGTGCCTAGCACATGGTTAGCACTATCTGAATGAAACTTTGGATAATTACATAGCACAACTTTTTAAATACAAAATGTAAAAATATTCTTAAGCCCAACCAACCACTCTTTCCTGTTTTCTGCTCTTGCCTACCTCAATCTCTATCCTTCAAAAATCCTTAACACTCACTTTCAAACGCCAAACATTTTAGGAGGCCATTCTAAAATAGGTACAACACAAAACATCCAAAACGGAGAGGCTTTGCAGGACAAGGGCAATGTTACATGTTTGTTGTTGTTGTTTTGTTTTGTCTGGGGGTGACTATTGGCAAACAAATAGTACCTATGGTAAAATAAGACTTGAAAAATTTCGTCTGTTACTTCCCAAGTCCTATTTCAGAGGTTTGTTTTAAATAATCGCATCTTGACCCTCTAAAAACCTTGTCCTTAGTAGACCCCACGTCGAGAGCCCACAGGGGGAATCGGTGAAGGAGTGCGGAACCGCGCTAAGTGTGGCGGTGCTTGCAGTGAGTGCCACGTAACCAGGGCGCTGAAACAAATTTGACATCTCGGGATGGTTAAAGGAAAGAAAAGTCCGACCTAGATTTAGGGCAGAAAACTGAGAAGGGAGAAGTAACGAGCCGTGCAGTTTTGGGTCGGCGGGCAGATCGGAGGAAGATGGCCCAGGTGGGGCGTGAGGAAGATGCGAGCCGAAAAAGGTAACGTGGCCTCTGTACCTGCCGGGAGCGCCGGGTCCAATGGGAAGAGCGCGCGAGCCGCACCTCAGCCTGCCCGAGGACGTCAAGACGCCGAGGAGGACGCTGGGCCAATAGGAGGCTGTCACAGGCAGGGGCGGGGTCTGGGGGAATCCGGGCTGGGGCTGGAGAGACTGTTGGCAGAGTCCTGTGGCCCTCGAGGGAGAGGGACAGACCAGCCAGCGGCCCCGGACACCGCCCTGCCGGAAGCCTCACCCCACCACTGCCCCTTCCCGCATGGTGCTGACTCGTCACTAGGCGGCGGCGAGGCCTGAGGGGCGGCTCAGGGTCGAGGCTGCCCATCTCCTGCACTTCCTCCTGCAGTGGCTGTCTCGGTGGGCCGGATGGCGGTGGCCCGGGGGAGCGGCCGCGCATCTGCGCCCCGGCTGCTCCTGGTCCTGCTGCTTCCGCTACTGTGGACCGCAGCCAAGGTCCGGGCTGTCCCCAATGAAGACCTCAGCCACCGGAACAAGGAACCGCAGGCGCCTGCTCAGCAGCTGCAGCTGCAGCCGGTGGCCGCGCAGGGCCCCGAGCCGGCTCGGGCCGAGGTGAGCCGGAAGGGCCGGAGCAGGCGGGGCGGCTCCGGGTACCAGGCGCGCGGCTGCCAGGAGCGCCGCCCTCGGCAGCGGGCTGCGAGAGGGGGGAGGGGAACCTGGCCTTGCACCGGCGGGTGGAAGGCCGCGGAGGGCGCTCTTACCGGTCAGGCCTGGCCTCGCCCAGCTCCTTTTGGGGAAGAGACAGGGAGCCCAAGCAGGTAGCCCACTGTAATCCTTTATTTAGTTCGGGGAGGACGGAGATGCTGCTGAGGAATGGCAGTCGTGTTAATCAGATGTATTCTGTAGAGCTGGAAATACTCATCTCAAGTAGAAGTTTAACAGAGGGCAGCCAGGAGCCTTTATGTACTATTTTCGTTGTCGAAACAGCTTATCCCGAGCTGATCACTCAAATTCAGCTTTGCACGACTTGTGGATTGTGGTTCCCCTCCCCCCCCACCCCCAAATGTACTTGGATTTTGAAGCGTGACTCTCACTTTTTAAAAACGTGTTCTTGCTTGTAAGGAAGTAGCCCTTAGGGACGCTGAGGAGTAATCAGTCTCTGGCTGCGGCACAGAGCGCTGCAGCGGTGCGGGATGCCAAAACTCAGTTTAAAGCACACCAGAATTGTCCTTTCCTTTCCCTACGTAGATATGGATTAATATCTTAATTTATGTTATTAGAACCACTTCGTCACTAGTATTAAAATTTCAGCAGCGTTTTTAAATTTCAATCTACCAGCCCTGGGCTTTCTCCTCATTTCCGACTTGAACTCCTGGATTCAGGCCCTCGGTCCAAGTAGAGGACGGCTTGGCGCCCAAAGCCCCCTCCCCCTCCACGTTCATCCCAGGCTGTGTGCAGCCTGTCTCCACCCACTGAATCTTCTTATACTTTGATTGCCGTTGTACTTCTTAGAAATCTTCGCAGAGTTACCCCTGCCTACTGATTTCAGTCCAGCCTCTTAAGCAAGATGTTCAGTTTTCTTCCTTATCGGGTTCCAGTCAACCCCGCAGGCTTTTTAGTCACCCCCCCTTGCTCAAGTCCTGTACTCAAGCGGAAGACCTTGCCATGTGCTCCGTGGCTAGTGTCTCCAACAAAAGGTCTCCTCTGAAGGCTTCAGTGGGCTGGAAGCCCACTGGTCAGAACGTTTCCACCTTCCAGGAAGCAGCAGATAGCTTCTCTTTGGGAAGACTTACCTACCTGGTTAAAAGGGATTTCTCTCTTGCTTGTCACTCCTGGGCTTAGCTGGCCCTGCTTGCCATTTCCAGCCCTGAAATTGAACTGAAGTGCTGATTCACGACATTTATTCTCAGTCAGAGTTTATCATTTAGCCTCCTGTCATTTAACTCATTGGGAGTTTTCCCCCCTGGAACAGTAAATATTTTGGGTTAAGTAACTTTGTGAGTGAGGGAGAGACATTTTGAATAACTTGTCAGGCCTTTCATTAAAGTTTTAGTCATAGTGATTTTTGAGACACAAATAGTGGTAGGTATGGCTATGAATGATACCCTTTCGACAGCTACAAAAAAAAATCTAGCCATGTAAAATAAAGTCAGCAGTATCTAGTGGCCATAATTAAGTGGTTTTAAGGATTTTTGTCTTTAAAATTGGGGAAGTGGAGGGAAAGGGCAGGCACAATATAATGATTTTTGTAATATTTTGATATATTTATAATGGTTCTTTTTTGATAGGAATTTATTCTAATTTCTATATTGTAATAGAATCCAATTGTTTTCATTGTATTTTCATGTAATTTTTTTGATATGGTTCAACTGGTTTTCTCTACTTAACAGTACTACAGCATGTTGGAAGACATTTTTTTAAAAGGGGAAAATATTTAAACTTACTCTTTCCATACCACTATGTGAGAGTAGATTTCTGAAAATGGAGGGGGAAAAATTTCTCCTTTATTGATAGATATTCAAATATAAAATATTATTAAAATGTAGTTATATCTTACAGGGTGCTTTGAAGCAGATAACTGAATTTCAGACAGTTTTCTATATTGGGTATGTTTTCTTCTCTATCATCACATAAAAAAAATGGTGGGGGAATTCATTCGGAACTTAACAGTTATTAAACCTCAGTTTACAAACTCATGGAAAAAAGTAGTGTTAATCATTTGGATTCTTTCATTTATGCTTCTAGTGACATACTCAGTTTTTTCTTACTCCTTCCCTGGGCTGAGTATGTAATGCAAGAAGCATTAAGTCCTTTTAGTTGAGGGAGGTCAGATAGATTTAATAAGGGTAATTTCTAATTTGCTGCATATTATAGAAGTCCAAAGAACTTTTCTGGTTAAATAATGCTGTTGGGAAGGCCACAAAGCCTACTACGTGACCCAGTACAGATTCTCAGTGTTTACTGTTTCTTGGCATTTCTTTTATTCATTATCTTTTAACTGTGAGAAGGCCTTCCACACAACATGTTAAAACTTTTGTTCATTTTCAGTTAGTTGCAGTCCTGCTCCATCCAGTGCAGTCTCCCAGTTCTAGCCTCTTTATAGCGAAGGTTGAGGCCCTGCGGTGCGAGGACTCCCCCCTTGCTCAGGATTGTTGTGTCAGAATGAAGTGAGCATTGTTACCGAATCTGTTGTTTGGTATGCTACCACCAAAGCAGTTCATTAAAACAAAATCAGTGAAGCATTGAATACCTTTCAAATGTCAAAATTTATAAATCCATTAAAAACAGCATTCATGAAATTGTTAAACATTCATTAAAATCAAAATGTGTTTGTTAAATATATATTATTCTAATATAAATGAACAAGAAACAAGTAAAATATTTAAAAAACAGACTAAACCATCCATAGAAGAAAACAATAGTGAAAATTTATAACATGTAATTTTATTTTTTATTGTAATGCAATCTTTCAAAACCAGATTTATCCATGGTGTCACTGTTTAAGTTGAACACGTATTTTTTGTGCACATTTTCCAACTTCCGAGAAAGGTTTTTCTGACTTTATATTATAAAATAATGGCAGGGAGACAGATTGAAGCCAATTGTAAGCATTTCCTTCTCACTCTTCAAATAATCCCTCCTCTTATGTGATAACTTTTGTTGAGCGACTTTGTTTTTTTGCAGGGACATCGGTCTTGTCTTGGCAGCAGGCCGTAGGCTTTTTTTCCAAAAGGAAGCATCTTCCTCTTCCTCAGTTTCATCGTGTGTAGATAGAGGCTCTGAGGCAGGTGTATAACAATTTCAGTAGTTAAACATGTTTGTTTGAACTCTACAACTATAATAGTAATTATTTTTTCATTGTTGACTGTCATTTTTCTTGAAGATCATGAAATTATGTAAGAATACTTTCTAAATAAACTTACATTTTTATTTTTACAGTTCAGTTTGGAACTGATTTTACATTTGAGTAAAGAGTTATTCAGCAAGTTGGGTTGTTTTTTTTTTTTTAAATAAGTTGCTGACTGTTTTCTAGATGTAAATAATTTGGGTTTCAGACTCAAATGAAAATAATGGGATAGTGTTTGTACCAAAGGACACACTGTGTTTCATTACTCACTATTTCATTACACTGTAATTGAACAGTGGAATACCAAAGTTGAAATTAGAGTCACCGCATCTGACCCTCTTGTACACATCTAAATATTTGCTTCTCTGCCCGTACTTTCTGCCTTTTTTCAGACACTGGACAAAACTACAATCCTTTCCATTCTTCTCTGTGTCTATTTGCCTATTGTCTGACCTCCAGTATCTTCCTCAATATCTTTATTCTCTCCTTTTCATCGGTTTCTTTTGATCTGCTTCCACGCGCCCACAGGTTCTTTCCTATTTGGGGAAAGAAAAAAGAAGGCCATTGCGCTTCATAGGCACTGTATTCTTTACAAATTCAAGGCAAGACCCTCCTCCAGCAGAAAGAGTGCGAGGCTCACTTTATGGTGGTAGTTTGGAACTGTACCCGCGACATCTTTGAGGTGTGCCTGTGATTTCTGTTCGTCAGTTTTATAAACCAAACTTCTATGTAGGAAATTGACTGCTTTTTCCCTTTGCTTCAGTCTTCCATTATCTGGCGTGAGCCCCTTTCTTTTCATTGAAATTTCATCTTTGACGGATGCTTGTAACATGCCTAATTGCTAAATCCAGGGCTCTTTTTTCAGTTCTCATTTGATACTGCTACTTCTCCACTTTCTGAAGATTGGACCCCATCTTTGCTGTGTTAACTTGGGGAAAATTATTTAACGCTTTTGGCCTTCAGTTTCTCCTCCTGTGTTAACAGCTCTTAAGGTTTTTGGGTATCAAACAAAACAGCGTATATGAAAATACCAGGCATCTAATTTAGCTCAGTGAAATGGTGTTTGCCCCATCTTGGCCATCTGTCCTGTTCTGTTGCCTGGCTTTCTAAATATCTAAGACAGTTTTTGTTTTCTCTCCCTCCCCCTCCACCCTCTTCCCTAAATATAGACATTCCCTAAGGCTCCTGTTTTTCAACTTAACCTCTGCCTTTTCCCTTGGAAATTCCATCTATTTGCAAAGCTCTAGCTGATAAATGGAGGCTGCCCCCAACCAAATACATACCTTGAGGCTGTGCTGGCCTAAACTCATGGGTTCCCTTTGTCTGTCCTCTTGGACACCTTTATTTGAAATATTGCTTTATCACCACAAATCGAACAGGTCTGAAATCAGACCCCTTATTTTTATTCCTCTTTCCCATATGCCTTGTAGGAATACTAGTATTTCTCTTAGTCAACCAGATGGAAAACCTTAACCATCATCTTTGATTGTTCCCTTTCTAAAGTTCTGTTGATTTTCCTTTCTATCATGAAAATAATTTTTTTCCTTCTGTATTATCAAAATTAGTCTTATGCAACTGACTTCCTAATTAGTTGGTTCTGTCACTGGTGTTCTATATTTTTAGCTGTGATGTATTAGTCACAGTGCCTTAATCATGTTTTTACATTCTACTCAAAAACTTGTAATCTAAAGGCTTCTCACATGCCTCTAAGCTGGGCTATAACCGTACAGAATTTTCATCCTGGGCCCGTTTTTCCTTTGTTACCCTAGCCATTCATCTGATGGTTTACTGCCTATTCTCAGAACACCTTAGTGTTGTTTTTAAATTGTCAGTCCAGGGAAGGAGGTAAATGGCTATACCCCAATGCATTTTAAGTTAGCCACTGCATGAGTGACTAGCACTGAACTCTGCTGAGACTTTGAAAGAGCCATATGCAATGAACCTCAGAACAGAGTTCCCTCATTGGTCAGAGATTGCCCCGCAGTTATTAACTCCTCTATACTTCTGGGTAGTGAATAAGTACAGAGCACTTACTTTCTGGTTGGACCTACCCGAAGACATTTACAGCCTACCAGGAACTGGTGTTCGTTCTCTCTCTCTCTCTCTCCTCTCTCTCTTTCTCTCTCTCTCTCATTCCCTCCTCCCTTTGGCATTCATCAGCTTGATCTCAATCTATGGGACCTATGTTCTGTTTTGTTTTGTTTATTCACTTGTGTTTTTTTTAGATTCCACAATTAAGTGAAATCATACTGTACTTATCTTTTGACTTATTTCATTTAGCATAATACCAAGTTTCATCCATGTTGTCACAAATGACAAGAATTCATTCTTTTATATTGCTGAATAATATTCCTGTGTCTGTGTGCATGGGGGTGCATAAACCGTATCTCCTTTATCCATTCATCTGTTGATAGATATCTAGGTTGCTTTCATATCTTGGCTCTTACTGATTATACTGCAGTGAACACAGGGGTGCTTATATCTCTTCAAAGTAGTGTTTTTGTTTTCTTTGGATAAATACCCAGAAGAGGAATTGCTGGATTATATAGCAGTTCTATGTTTAATTTTTTGAGGAATCTCCATACTCTTCCATTGTCGTGGCACTAATTTGCAATCTGACCAACAGTGCATGAGGGTTCCCTTTTCTCCGCATCCTCGCCAACACGTTTTGTTGATTTACTGATGACAGCCATTCTGATAGGTGTGAGGTGTTATCTTTGTGATTTTGATTTGCAGTGCCCTGATGATTAGTGATGTTGAACACTTTTTCATATCTCTGTCGGCCGTCTGTATGTCCCCTTTGGAGGAATGTCTCTTAAGGTCCTCTGCTCCTTTTTTTTTTAAATCTTCACCTGCGGGCATTTTCATTTGCTTTTTTAGAGAGAGGAAGGGGGAGAGGGGGAGAGAGACACCAATGCGAAGGAAGCATCGTTTGGTTGCCTTTGTACACACCCAGACCAGGGATCATAGGCCTCCAGACCTGAGGTCACATGCACCTGTGCCTGGACTGGGGATGAACCCACAACCCAGGCAAGTGTCCCTACCAGTAATCAAACCCTCAACCCTTCTGTTACAGGAGGATGCTCCAGCCACTTAGCCACTCCGCCCAGGGTTGCCCATTTTAAAAATAGTTTGTTTCTTTGGTGTTAAGTTGTATGAATTCCTTATATATTTTAGATATTATGTCCTTATCAGATGTAACATTTGTAAATATCTTTCCCATTTAATAGGTTGTCTTTTCATTTTGTCTATGGTTTCCTTTGCTGTGAACAACTTCTTAGTTTAATGTAGTCCCATGTGTTTACTTTTTCTTTTGTTGTGTTTTCCCAAGGAGACATATCCAAAAAGATATTGCTATGACAGATAGCAGTTTACTGCCTGTTTTCTTCTAGTAGTTTTACTAGAAGTCTTTTAAGTCTTTAATCCATTTTGAGTTTATTATTGTATATGATATAAGAAAATGGCCCAATTTAATTTTTTTGCTTATATCTGTCCAGTTTTCCCAGCACCACTTACTAAAGAGACTATCTTTACCACCATTGTATATTATTGCCTCCTTTGTTATAGAAGAATTGACTGTAAAACCAAGGCTATATTTCTGGGTTCGCCAGTCAATGCTATTGATGTGTCTGTATTTTATGCCAGTACCATATAGTTTTGATGATTGTCGCTTTATAGCATAGTTTGACATCAAAGAGCATGAGCCCCACTTTGTTCTTAAGATTTTCTTGGCTACTTGGGGTCTTTTGTGGTTCCATATAAATTTTAGGATTAGTTGTTCTAATCCTGAGAAGGATGCCTGCCATTGGTGTTCATAAAATGTGGTGCCTAAGAACCAGTACAGAACTTTGGGTAAAGAATGAACAGCATAGAATGATGGATGTGTTGCTGATTCTTTAAAGTGCTTGTTGCCCTTTTAGAGCTTTGTCACATTTTCAGCTTAAAATGGCCTTAATGCCAACCCAAAACTCTGGTTTGACATTTTTTTTTTTTAATCAGACCATATGATCCCTTAAGATATTTTTAGACTTTAGTGTAGGACCACCCATATATCCAGCTATATTAGACCTCATCTTAGCTAAAGCCAACTCTTGCTCCTGCCTGTTGAGCTCTCTGAATCTTACTTTGCCCTCTAAAGTATTAATGAAACATATCTCAGCTTCCTGTTATTTGAATGTTTGGTAAACATACCTTCATCTTTCACACAAGTTACATATAAAAAAAGGAAGAACTTGATCTCAACTCACAGATTTTTAGAAACTAAGGTCATTTTAATGTGTGGATATAGTTGGCATACACTGTTCTTTAAAAATTGTTTTGTGGAATTGCACTTGGATCGGCATTGTAGCAGCCGTCCATCGGAGGTTTCTGTCATCATTCATGGCTTTCAGAATGATGTCAGTCAGTCCAGTGATGACAGAAAAACAATCTTAGTTCACATACAAAATAAAAGAATTTTAAATGACTTTCAAAAAAGTAGCTGATGTATATATATTTTTTATTTCAGAAAGGACTCACACCAGCTGTCCCAGTTGATACTAATAAAGAAGATCCAGCTACGCAAACTAATTTGGGATTTATCCATGCATTTGTCGCTGCCATATCAGTTATCATTGTATCTGAACTGGGTGACAAGACATTTTTTATAGCAGCCATTATGGCAATGCGCTATAACCGTTTGACAGTGTTAGCTGGTGCTATGCTTGCCTTGGGCCTAATGACGTGCTTATCAGGTAAGTGTGCTTTTCGATTATTGGACTAAGGCAAGAAAGCATGGTGTTTGGCATTAAGTCACTGAATCATTCCACTAATTATGTTAGAATTTAGTTTATGTTTCATAGTTTTGTAAACAGAAAATGGTTTCAGTACATAAATTCCTAAAAACTATGTTGCATTTTAAAAATAAAAATAAAGTGTTCAGCTATTCAGTCAAGGTACATACTCCTCATTCACTGGTTTGAAATCCTTGCTTTTGCTATGTACTCTTGGTTTTTGTTTTTGTTTCGGTTTTTTAAAAATTATTTATTTATATTTTCAAATACATTTGTCTCCACCTACCCCCCCACCACTTTCCCCTGCCTATTTTTTTGTAGTGTTTTGGTTTTGTTTTGTTTTGTTTGTCCCGGTAAAGATTATTTATGTCTGGTATCTTAGAAGTAGGACTCAACTACAGAGAATTGCATATTCTGTTGAAGGACATATGATAATCAGCACCTGAGGAGTCACTTTTGGTTTATTGTGTTCTATTAACCTATTCTTGCCCATTATATTGGGTGGGCCAAAAAAATTCGTGTATGTGTTTTTTTGTTTGTTTGTTTTTTCCCCCATAGGATGGCTCTAGTGCATTTAGTTGTTTTGAACTTCATTCAAAATAAATTGTCACATTGTATGGTGACAGCTGTCACATCAGTGTGCATTTTTGGTGTATTGGGACAATGCTCTAACCAACGGAGCTACCCAGCCAGGGCCTTCAGCGTGTCTTTTTTAAAAAACATTAAAATTGGTGAATTTTTGTATAGCCATTTTAATATTGAAGATGGAAAAAATACACAACATTTTCAGCATATATATTACACTTCATTATTTCAAGAAAAGTAAAACCACAACTGAAATGCATAAAAAGATTTGTGCAGCGAATGGAGAAGGTGCTGTGTATGGAGTTTGTAGACTGGTCACCTGCATCACTTGTCCCTATACTTCTTCAGAGGGCTAAGAGTGAGAGGCGGGTTGCCTGGGGTTGTGTCCAAGCTCTGCCCCTCACTCACCTAGCTTCTCTGTGCCACCTGACAGCAGGGATGACAATCCAACCTACTTCAGTTTTACTGCTGCTATTCCCCCTGCTCAAGGCCTTCCTCCCATTTCACTTCTTATCCACTAGCGGTCTGATTTCTGCTTCCAGCACTGTTTTAAAGGCTTCGATGATCAGCTTTCCTCATTAGAGTCCAGTTTTCATGTTAGAGAGCTCCTCAGACGGCATTCATGGACATCCCAATTTTTTATTCTCCTGATTTCTATAACGCCATGTGCGTCTAGTTATATTTTTTCTCCCTGAAAAATTTTTTGTACCATAAATATTGATATTCTGCAGTTTTATTCTCTGCCCATTTTTTTTCCCTCTCACATTAACATTCTCATGCTGAGTGTTCTCAGTTTAATCAATTACCTGTAAGTTAGTGATTCCCAAATTTGTATCTTCACTTCAGATACTTTTCTTGAAACTTCCACATGCCAATAGAGAAGGATCCTGTATTTGTAGCTCCGTTTTGACTTGATGCAAAGCACTTGCTTAAAGGGAAATGACCTCTCATTGTTCCCAGAGAAAAAATGCTTGAGTGTCAGAAGGAAGATTTCCAAAGAAAGAGGAGATAACTCTTTCTTTAAGTAACTAGGGAAGAACAACAAGGTTAGAATCCCAAGTAGTTTTTTTACTGCCTCTGGAGATGTCAGGGCAGAAAAGATGGGATTATAAGGGTAAGTACTAACTCAAGTTTGTTTGTTTTTTTTTAAAGATTACCTAAAGGTAAAAAGAAAATTAAGTATAGTAGATTTTAAAAGTTATGCTACATTTCACTAAAAAAATTTTAAATTTCTTTTTGGAAAATATATTAAGTTTATAAAGTTGCAAAAACTTTATAGTAAATAGTACAAAGAACAATTATATAACTCACTCAGATTTACGTGTTAACATTTTACCCCATTTGCTTTAGCATTTGTGACTTACCTATGCATTTAGCTATATCTAAATAAAATTATGTATATGTATACACATTATATATAGATATGTGTATATACACATACAATTTATATATCTTATGGATGTATATTGTACATCTACATAATTGTTTTAATTTTTATTTATTGATTTTTAGAGAGAGGAAGGGAGGGAAAGAGAGACATCAATTTGTTGTTTCACTTATTTATGTATTGACTGGTTGATTCTTGTATGTATCCTGGCTGGGGATCAAACCCGCAACCTTGGTGTATCAGGGTAGCACTCTAACCAGCTGAGCTACTTGGCCAGGGCAATATCTGCATAATTTAATATGTATATTTATATACAAATTGATACATTACTATAATCTATCACCCACATTTTAATTTTGTCAGTTGACTTACTATTCTCTATAGCAGGATCTTGTCTAGGTCATGTATTAATTACATTTAGTACTTCCTGGTATTTTAATCTGAAGTGTTTACATGCCTTTTCTTATGTGCTTTAGGATATTCACATTTTAAAAAGAATACAGCCCTGCCCAGGCTGGTGTGGCTCAGTGGATTGAGCACCAGCCTGTGAACCCAAAGGTCACTGGTACGATTCCCAGTCAGGGCACATGCCTGGGTTGTGGGCCAGGTCCCCAGTTGGGGGTGCGCAAGAGGCAACCACACAATAGCATTTCCCTCCCACCCCCATTTTAGAAATAAATAAATAAAATCTAAAAAAAAAAAAAAACCCTTCAAAAAGAGTACAGCACCTACTCTTATAATGGGCTGTTCCTCATTTTGTGTTTGATGTTTCCTGGTGATTAGATTGAGATTATGAATTCTTGACTAGAACTCTGCATAGCTGACATTTGTCCCTGTAGGCACATTGTATCAGGCCCTCATATGATTTATTCACCCAGTTTTCTTTTTTTCTTCCTTTGCAACTAATATGCAGTCTTCAGGGAAACAGTTTAAGACAATGCAAATACCCTGTTCCCCATAGTTTAACATCAATTGATGACTTACATGATTTAAATTTTCCTTTGATGCTTACAAAATGGTTTTCTAACTCCAGTACCCCATTCGTACTTACCAGGAAGCCTGGCACACTACTCTTAAGAAAAATCTCTTCGTCTCCCATTGGTTTGCCTAATTTCAGTATAAACTCATGAGTTTGTGTTTTCAGTGGTTTATAATTAACTACTTCACTATATTGTTGCTTAAATTGCCCCTGTTTGGTAGCTGAGACCCCTCCAGGCTGGCTCCTGTGTCATTGTGACATGCCCCCATTGTTTTTGTTCTCCTTACTTTCTAGTATGACAAGGTAGTGCAGCTTTGCTTGTACCTTCTCTGCCCAGTCCTGGAATTAACCATTTCTATGGGAAGCCTTTTAGTGGGAATGGTATTAGGAACCAAGATCTGGGGGTAGCGGGGCTAGGACCGAAACCTTGTCTGCCGGCTCAGCTCTGGTGAGATCTTGAGGTGGCTGTCCAGCAGTGGCGGATCCAGCGATGGGGAGAGGGGCCTGCCCCAGAAGGGAGGAGCATTTTTGTCACTGACATTGTTTAAACTTGCCAGCACATGAGGCAGTAAAAAGCAGATTGACGTTTATTCGACTTTATCATTGGTTTTGAATTCTCAGAAGACCACGTACCCCCACGATCTGCAGCTAGCAGAGCACGTCAACAGCCCGCTGGCTTCCAGCCCGACAGTGAAGCCGCAGAACCACAGCCAAACGCCTGGCTGTGACAGGTGTCCTGTGAAGCCTTTGACTGGGGTGGGCCTAACTCACTCCTTTCCCTTTCTCTGTCAACTCTGAAGTGGCCATGACTTCAGTGACCTGCCTCAAAGTCACCGTTTATGGGGTGGAAGTGAGGCAGAGCTGCACAGAAGGCACACCCAGGGGTGAAATGCCACGTGAGGGGAGAGGTAAAAAAAAAAAAAAAAGATCTGGGTGCAAAATTGACTCATTGTTACTGAGGTGTCTTGCTTCTTGGCCTTTCAGTGGACAGAGCTAGAAAATATATGTATGTATTGTGTGTGCACATACACATACATATAATTCAAATATAGATGTGCACAAATGCATGGGTTTGGTACATTTCTAAACATGATTTAATTTTCAATTCTGTAATATAATGAAATAGGGACTAGTTTGCCTCTGCCGTTGTATACTTGGATGTTCAGGCAGATTTGTTAAGTATTGTACCTGTTTTATAAAAGAGCTGGTGAAGTAAAGTTAGTACATTTATTTTATATATATGGAAATATCCTCTGGCCCTTCCACAGTTGGTAAATTTTAATTACCAAACTGACATTACTAATATAAATGTATATCAGTTAGGATTTGGGTTCTTGGTGTAGTTCTAAGTGTAGTTTTTTGTATAACTCACATAATTGTCCTCTTAACAGTGGAAAAGAATGGTACTGGGTAAGTTTAAGTTTGTTGTAAATGTTATTTTTAATATACATATAAGGAATTCATTTTCTTTCACAAGATTTATTTTAAATAGTTATGAAGGTGCAGACTTTATTTTAAATCATGCCATATGAGAATCTTGTTACGGTTCTTCACTGCATAAGTTTGTAATTTAAAGATTTGTGAAGAAGAAATAGTGACATGGGAAGGTCGTGTAGCTTCCAGGTTATAAAATTTGGGGACCTTTAGAGGGCATTAGAGTTACCCTTTTACCTAAAGTACTAAACTCCTCTTAGCTGGAAAAGAGCTCCCTGTGGAGGTCCCTGTGGAACACTTGCCATCTTCAGCTGGACCATTGATTTTTTGATAAGCTATCTGAGGTCATTGGCTAGACCTAAGGGTTCAGTATAGGTGAAGGGAAAAAAGTGGCATTATTTAAGGTTATTATGTATTAGATTAGCTTCTAATGTGAACCATTCTTTTAAAACAGTAGTAAATTATGATTTTTTGAAGGTTAACTGTTCTTTGGTTGTGAACCTTGCTAATTAACCAGATATTTTGTTGCATTTCTTCCAGTTTTGTTTGGCTACGCCACCACAGTCATCCCCAGGGTGTATACCTACTATGTTTCAACTGCGTTATTTGCCATTTTTGGCATTCGAATGCTTCGGGAAGGTTTAAAGATGAGTCCAGATGAAGGTCAAGAGGAACTGGAAGAAGTTCAAGCAGAATTAAAGAAAAAAGATGAAGAAGTAAGTCATAGCACTGTTAAATATCGGGACCAGAAAGGCACTCAGCTATGAATGAACACTGTCCAGAGGCTTTTCAGTGGTCATCCATGGCTGTGTGATGTGTGTGGGATACAGGAAGGTAGCGTATTTTGCTCAGTTTCATTCTTAAATCTGGCTGTGTGATATGACTCTGTCCAGGTTAGTGTGAAATGTGGGAAAGAGGATGTGGGGATGAATACTAAACGTGTACTCAGGTTCCTTAATAGATTGATGATAATCTTCTGAAAATTAGGAACTGTAGTTTATAATTTTGCATTTTCCCCCCACAGTATCTAGGCTAGCAAATGATCAATAAATACCATTTGATTTGTTGGGGAGGAGTGGAAAAATTGAGAATATAGTATTTATTGCTATGTGAGACGGTGGTTCAAAAGGTAAGTTTGGGGTCACATAAGTTTAGAGTGTTGGAGCATATTCCATAGAATTTAAACAGTTTTTTAAAAAAAGATTGTCATTTTGTGCACTTTTGTTAGCTTCCTGGGGTTAATGTCATTTGTTTTTAACTTAGTTTCAGCGAACGAAACTCTTAAATGGACCAGGAGATGTTGAAACGGCTACAAGCACTATACCTCAGAAAAAGTGGCTGCATTTTATTTCACCCATCTTTGTTCAAGCTCTTACATTAACATTCTTAGCAGAGTGGGGTGATCGCTCTCAACTGACTACGATTGTTTTGGCAGCTAGAGAGGTGAGTGGTAGTTGAGACATGACTGCTTTCCTATGAAAACTGAGCATAACCAGTGACTTTGCTCCACAGGACACTGGACAGAGTCACAGTAAGCCAAGGGATCATTTCATAGGCTAGACTATTTTAACTTGGCTAGTAATCTCGCTGCTCTTTAAAATTGAGCTTATTGGACCTGGCTGGGTAGTTCAGGCGGTTAGAATGTGGTCCCGATACACCAAGGTTGTAGCTTCTGTGTAGGTTCTGTCCTGGGTCAGGACACATAAAAGAATCAACCAGTGAATGCATAAATGAAACAACAAACTGATGTTTCTTTCTCCCTCTCTCACCAAAACCAATTTAAAAAAATACTAAAATTAACCATCTCCCACTTTCTACAGTCAGACAGATGGTATTCTTGTGTGCAAACTTAATTGCTCTCTTTTGACTCTGGCTGAATCTTCTTCAGTGTTGCCAGAATGATGCTGTGGTAGTTGTCTTGGCTTGGATTTCTTTCTTTCCTCAGAATTTTGCTGTGTATACTATCTGAGAGTACACATATTAGCTGATATAAATAAATGAAGGCCAATTTGGCATTAAATATCTAAAACCAAACAAGTGGGTACATTTGGGTTCTTCTGCTCTTTGTGTTAAAGAAAAAAATTAAGAGTGTTGCAAAGATGACTTAGAGAATTTCAGTTAGCCCCAAAATAAAGGTCCTAGGATGGTAAGCCAGAAGAGACGTCAGGTCATCTTGTTCTAGCCTTTGCTCTACTGATAGGGAACCTGAGGCCAGAGAAAAGGGGTGACTTACTGAGGGCATACGCTGGTGGGTAGCAGCGACAAGGACTAGAGCCAATGCTGTCTTCTGGCCTTTTCTGCTATATATTGTCATAGTTTTCAAATGCTGCTTACCTAAAAGATACCCATTTAAAAATTTTTAAATCTTTCTTTTGAGGACAATAGTTAAGTTTTACACGAGGGGTCTGTTCATGTTCACAGAGAGTTAATTGAGGTTAGCTGGGGAGATGCTTTTGTGGGATTTTCAGAACGCTGCTCCTGCCATTTTTCAGGCTTTTCTTGATCTTATTATTTATGTTTTTATATCTCTTAAATTACACTGTTGTTATCTGATGGTAGGATTTAGATAACCTTGATCTGAATTTGTTTTTAACTCCTAGGAAATATAAAAGAACAGGTTCCTTAACAAAGACCTGCAGTTTAAAATAAGAAAGAGTTGAAGGGCAGGACTAAGATAGTTGGGGCAGGGCTGTTTTGTCAGAGAAGCTTCAAAAATGCTGTATTTTGAAAAAAAAAGGATGGAATCTGGTTTTTCATTTTATTCCCATATTTTAAAACAAACTTTAAAATGTCAACTTTAATGGCTTTGTCCTATAATTGTCTAGATTTCTAGCCTTTCTTTTTTTTTTTTGGCTTTCAGATTCCCAGAATTGGGACTTGAAAGAAAGAGGCCATTTTGTTGTGGTGGCGGTAGTCCTGCCGTGGTGCACTAAAAAGATGACAAAATTACTGCATTTTTCTTAGTACAGTCATCTAAAAGGCGCCTGTGAAAGGCTCCGGATTCCCTGTGTGGGTTGCCCTGCTGTGGCAGTGTGGCCTCTGCTCAACGAGCTTGAGTGTCTCTGGCTGTGCGACCACATTATGGCAGCACCTCCTTGCAGCCTATTTTGTGGATTGTTCTGTGAAATAAGATAATGCACATGGGGTCCCCAGCGCAGTGAGCCCTCGACGTTAGTAACCTTGCACACCGCTGGCACCACAGGCATGCATATATAATGAGCTCCTCAAGGGCAGGAACATGGTTAGCTGTCTTTAATCCCTTAACGTTTCTTCCTTGTAAAAAACCATGCAGTCTAGTTGAACACATTGTGGTCTGAACTTCATCTCTGGTTCCAATATAATTTAGTGTTCCCACACTGAATTTCACAGAATCCTAGTGTCCTTTGTCATGTTAAAAGTTGAGAAGGTTCGGGGTCAACTAATATTTGTCAAATAATATATCCTGGTGTTTTTGTTTTGAAGAATGAGTATTAGAAATAACAGACTGAGAAATCCTGTAATAAAGGAACTATTTAATTTTATTTAATCCAGACATTTTTCAAATATCACTTTCAAATAGACTGAAAGCATCTTCTGCTTTACTGGATCTAGAAGTTACAGTTTGGAAAATGCAGTCCCTCTCCCATTTTCTCCCGACGGATGTTTTAAACCGTCTCCATTCCCCCAGTTTCTGCACATCCACTGCCTGCTCCTGGGTGAACAGCCTCGCCTGCTGCTTCAGAGAGAAGCAGGGATCAGCCAGCCTCGATCCCACGCCTCCCTGTGGCGGCCTTCCCATCACACATGCTGAATCCCAGCCCTCTCCCCGCTACTTATGGCTTAAATCTTTGCCTCTTCCCAACCCAATGTTATGAGCATTTTAACATGCAGAAGTTTTACTCATCTAAAAAAGCTTTGCCCCTTCTTCTCTTCTAAATACCACTCTTCCTCCCTTTCCCTCAGTCTCAGGGGGCGTGGCTCCACTTCCTTGCCACTAAACCCAGAGAACCAGTTTCTGGTCTCGCTGGTAATGCTGATCCAGTGCTTCAGGTTCATTGCAGCCATCAGCAGGTCCTGCTGTGGTTATCTTGGGAGGCTCTGCCTGCTGGCCACCTTGTCAGTCGCCTTTGAGCACCTCTTCCTCTGTCACCCCTTCAGCCTTGCTTTCCTCATGACTGTGTTGTCAACATCCTCCTTTGCCTTCTCTCCTGGGGTTATTCTGTTCAGTCCCATAGCTCGTTCACCACTGAACTCAACTGACCCTTGACTTTCTCCACTTCAACTCCTGTCATCACCAATAAACCCTTTCTCCATTGCTTCCCTACCTTTCTAATCACATTGGTATTACCATAATTCATCCAGAGAATTTTAATGGAGAAACTTGGCTGTCATGCCTGAGGACACAGTGGAGGAGGAGGGATGCAGGGTCTCTGTTCTTGGGAAGTACAGGCAGGCTATATTGTAGACTAGGATTACTTAAGTTTCCTCACCACATCAAATACTAAGGAAGAGAAGCCTCGGTTCAGTCTCCTTAGCACTGAGCTAACTATTGCCTGTGAGTTACGTTTAATAAAGCTGAAAAGTTGAGTTAGGGTTATTTTGATCTTGCTCATTGAGTTTTTTCTGCTTTTATCTTTAGTGCTGGGATAATTGAAACATTCCTTCAAGTAGCTATTATTACAAGTTTCATAAATGTACATCTGAATGTTTAGAACTATCGTATGCATTGTTGTTGATCTCCATTTGCAGTGCTTTGTAGTTATCTTTCTCTGTTTCCAGGATCCCTTTGGTGTGGCCGTGGGGGGAACAGTGGGCCACTGCTTATGCACTGGGTTGGCTGTAATTGGAGGAAGAATGATAGCACAAAAAATCTCTGTCCGAACTGGTAAGATTTTTTCCCTTTATAATTACCAAAAAAAAAAAAAAAAAACCCCAAAAAACCCACCACCAAACAAACCAACCTGTGTGTTTTAACTCTTGGAATCACTGAGAGAGATTAGAAAGGGGCAGTTTTAATTACCTAAGTATTCACTTCTGAAGTAGACTTGGTCTTTATAATGATTAATCTCAGAGAGGTCCATTCTGTTGCCTCTGCTGTTGCAAACAGGCTGTTTTTCACTTCAATGGAGGTTGTAAAAGACAGGTTCTCCTATAAGCCTTACCGGATTCAGGGTAGGTTTAAGTCAGTAAAACAATCATCATGTGGGAAATATGAGCACCTTTTGGCCTAAAAATCTGTCTTACAGGATTTGGAATCAGAGAGACCATATTTACTGATTCTGCTGAAAATTTCCCATGTCCTTGGTAGGGCCTAACGATGTCTCGTTGCTAGCCAGAAGTTGTTGGGCACGCTTTTATTACTGGGTTGTGATGAGTTCTAGTTCTGTTGTTTGCCAGCACTGTCTCCATTTAATAAAATTCTGTCATTTCTCAGAACAGTGCTGGAGGATACTGATTCTTACTATTCAAAGTTAGCCATGTTAAATGTTCTTTGCATTTCCAACTTGTTTTCAAGGCTAATTTACTAGGTTGGAAGAATAATGGCTTCCTGAAAGAGGAATTTTGCCTTAACGTAACTCTTTTTCTCTTTTCTTACAGTGACAATCATAGGAGGCATCGTATTTTTGGCGTTTGCATTTTCTGCACTATTTATAAGTCCTGATTCTGGTTTTTAACAAGCTCTTTATTCATTTGTATTTAGTTTAAGATAGGTAATTCGTGTTTATGTACATAGTGTACATTGAAACTAAAAGTGATGGAAGATAACTGTATTTTGTAGTAATGAGTTATGTCCAAAAAAAAAAAAAAAAATCATTGATTCTATTTGCAACATGGATTTTTAAAAGAAACCTGCAGTCTAAGTGTGGATTTTTCTTTTCCCCAGCATAATTATGTTAATATGGTCTGTTTTGAGGACTCTTTTTGGCTTTTGGTTGAGGGATATATACAGAACCTTTGTGCACTGGGGTCTACAATCTGATTTTCTTTTAGCACTGACTCCTTTAGAAGGAATATATGTATTTTTTCCTGGATCACTGAGGTGCTTTAATATGCTTAAATTAGAACTTTTCCTGGGGGAAGAGTGAATTAATTTCCACCTTTTAAAGCATTTCTCTGAGACAGTAAGCACTAGTTCAATCCTAAGTCTTTTCAAAATTAGGTTGTTTAAAAGAAAGAGCAAGAGAAATGTATTAGTTCTTCTACAAGTTCCACATCCACAGATGCTACCAACCACAGATTGAAAATAATGGGAAAATATGCTATATTGTTGCTGATGGATATGCTGTAGTTAGGCCTACAATGGATGGTTGTGTCCGTACTGAATATGTACACTTCTCTGGTCATTATTCCCTAAATATAGTATATAACTATTACATAGCATTTATATTGTATGAGGTATTATAATCTAGAAATGATCTAAAGTAGATGTGAATAGGTTATATGAAAATACTCCACCATTTTATAAGAGACTTGAGCATCCTTGGGTTGGGGGAAGGGTCCTGGAACCAAAAACCCCTCAGACACCAAGGGACAACTGTACTGTTATATCAATAATATAATTGTTTGCCAGGCCATTATTATTTCTAAATTGGGTAGGAAACCCAATATAAAATAGTCAATATTTGACAACATGGAATTACCAAATTAAAGAATACAATGAGTGTATTCATATTTTTTCTATATTGAATAAACAATGTAACAGATACAATGTAAATAAAAGTGGTATGACCAGTACTTGTTTTCCCTTTTTTGTTATGCAAGTTCATAACTATTTTATCAAAATAGTATTAATATTTATATACTAGTTTCTAAAGTACTCTTACTTAACCCTCCCATAGTTCTATGAGGTAGCAGTAGCACATATTGATGAAAAAGCCGTGTTTCAAAACTTTGTGGTAGGTGGACAACTCCCTTCAGTGTACTGTAGGGTAGGAAAACAATCCATGAATTAATATAAAGCACTTCAAAGATACTCACAGTAAGTCCCCAGACTGCACCACCATTCTCCGCAGTTAAGATACCCTTAATAGTGCCTTAGGTTATTACAAACAGAACAAGCAAGGGATTACATTCTTTTCCAAGAACAGGAAGGATGTAACAACTTGTTAGAAAGAGGCTTGTACCGCCATAGCCCAAATTTGGCAATGCAGGCAGCCTGGTCCTAGGACTAGCTTGATGTGTGAATAAATAATCGCTTTCTGAGGCACCACAATCTTGTAACAGGACATAACTATTGAATTTGGTAGCTCAGACCTAAGCTTCAAGGTAAAAATCATTAATGTGGGTAGACTCCATTGCTGAGTAAGAAAAAGGAAAATTTCATTGGTGGTGATTTTAAAATATTTAATGCTCTTAAAATCCAAAATAATGTAATTCTTACAAGTTAAGTGCCACATAAGCAGGTGTTATTTTTTTTGAGAAATGCAAGTGATAATTGAAAACAGCACTGAGGTATTTTTTATTTTTTAAGATTGAGTAAGGAAACAAAGTCTGGACCTAATTTTTTTACATTTACAAAAAAAACATGCTACTGCTTGGCTCTTCTACTGTAATTTTAGGTTCTGAATACAAGAATATGGGCAAGAGCATTATAATAGTACATGTAGTTTTAAAGAACTGTGCACATCATAACCTGGAAAATTGATCATAGAGCAAGAGGCCTGAGTGAAGGTAAACTAGTAACACAGTTTTACATCTTAAAGGGTAGCTTTGAGAAACAAGTGTAACCAATTTTAAAACCGAATTGAAATGGCAGTATTAGATAACAAAATGATCCACATTTTATACAATATTGTTATTTCCACACATAGCTCATGAAAATCAGAGAACCTAAGATAGCACCGGTGAAACCATTCATTATCCCTTCGTGCTTCAGTGCAGTTTAGGATTTGGGCTAAAGACAATATCTGGAAAATGTCAGTCTTGTTTTTTTGTATATCTATTTCGATTTCCGTTAAATGTTTGCTTTAGGGAAAAGAGGTATCTGTCAAGATCAGTTAGCCACTTGTACCTCCACCCTTTCAGAAGTAAGGTTAGGCTACATCTGAATTTTATTTAAAACCAAGAACCAAGCAGTAAGGACAGCAATGTAACACAGAACATTAGAAAGAATTCGGTGTATGTTTTTACAGCTACCAACTGATGTTAACAATTAAAAATTTACAAAGATAAAACTTTTTTTGTTTTTTTGCACTAACTGGTTTCAATACAGCACTGTATTTAACTCATCTTTGGGCTTCAGTCTTTACAAAGAGTGAATGGGCAGGTGCCATAGAGAGGTCCTTCCCCAGCTTATGCCACAGTGAAACAGCTTCCAAAGCGATTCTAGAATGGTCTAAATTACAGCTGTTCATAGATACGGAAAAAGTAAAAGGACATTTCTTTTTTTTTTTTTGCTTGATGATGATTGTCTAGTTATATAAGACATCAGTCTGAAGATTACGTAGTTTTTCCTACATTTGAACACTAGTCCGGCACAACCATGGCCAGCAGTGAATTTGTACCAGTACAGGCCAACTAGAGAACACTTACTATAAAACATTTGAATATCATTTTTAAAGCAATGTCACAGTTTGTTTCCTCAGAAATTTAAAAGCATACATTTGAAAACATCACATCTTCAATTTAATCCTCAGAGTTAAGAAATGTATGTTACATCATTCAATCCAACTTACTTTTAATTACCATTCTCTAAGGGATCCCAAAAGCTAGTGTGCCCTGTACCTTCGGGACCCAGAAACTACCCTGGGAGACCTGAAGTAGAGAACTCTGTTCCAATGCCCACCAGCAAGAAGTGCCCTCCAATTCCTAGGCTTCAAATGGTCCAACACAGCTTTTCTGAACAGCGCTATGTGTGGAGGTTGTGTTTTGTTTTTATAGAACCAAACACCATTACACCATAGAGACAGCAAACTTTCTTTGTAGAAGAGTTTGCAGTTGTGTATGTATACATTGTTCCACCTATGCTTAAAGACTTTAAGTAGATTTTAATATGGATATGATAGTAAGGGCTGTTAGAAGATGCTGATCCATTTTACAGACATTTCCCCAAAAGGGCAAAACAGGCAATGTGTGCGTGCCATGGGTTCTGTCATACTGGCCTTCGGCTGTAATATAAAAAGTGCCCCCAAAATGGAAAAGGCAGCAAGTAAGACTAGAAAAAGGTTGGAGCTATACAATTTGAAAGAAGTTACCTTTATTTGTTTTTTTTTAAATGAGTTTGGAACAGGAGGGAAGTGCGGAGGCATCTGGCCTGGGGCTCTCCGCTGCTGTTCTGAAACAACGGATTTGGACTGCCCGTAAAGAACTGTCATGAGGGCCAGAGGCTGTACCCCATATAAGAAAAGCCAGTTCTCTAAAGAAATAGATTGCAAGGCAAAACAAAAGAAACCACAAATTAAATACATGACACTAAGAAATCACTTTGATAAGAAAACAGCACAAAGATATTCAAAAATATAAATAAATACATTTAGCCATTTTTATTCAAGAAACCCCGAGAACTGCTTACAAAGCAATTTCTTCTTTAAAACCACTTTCTAAATTCTTCCATAAATACTCACTATTTTGATTGTCACTTAATGCAGCACCTCAGTGTTTGCTGGTGGTGGTAATGGAATTTCACTTAACAATTTCTTCATAAACTATACCCTATTTCATTAAAGGACATTTCCTTAGGAAAACCCAGGCAGCTTACAAAATATGTTAAATACTCAAAACAACCTGCAAAGTATTTTATTTAAGAAAAACAAGGAATGTAGTGTTAAATTATAACATGGAGGGGAAGTATGCAAAACAGTCACATGGAGTTTTAATTTTTAAATATCCACGTATGTTTAATTTCTTGTGAGCTGTTCAATACTGTTTTAAATATCCTGAATTATAACTACAACAAAATTCATCCCCAGTGTTTCCACAGGAGTCATTAAAATAAAAATACTTTTTTCTTCAACCAAAGTAGTCTTTTTCTTAGTCCTTTTTGTGCAAAAATATTACAAGAGCAATTCAAATGGGAACGCTGAAATGACATGCCAACATTTCAGAGCACATTTAAAACACCCAGAATAATTCTTGAAATGACTGTATTCTAAAATATTACTAACAATCACTTTTAGGTTCTATACATCTATTCACACTGATAAAATTTTCCTACACATCTGAAAATAAACAGGCTCTTTTGGTGTCCACACATTAGGCAAGATAGGTTTACAATAGTGTCTAAATGGACTAGCATCAACAATCTCAACTCCCACCACATTCAAAACAAAAGTCAAAGTTCATTTGGCTACCTTGAAATCACTCCCATAAACCTACTACGGTTCACTGGATCTAAACATTTCTCAGAAATGTGTCATTTTAAAATTTCACCTAAGTGATGATTTGGGGATCCATTAGAAATGATAATGCCTAAGACAAACTTTATCAAAATGAATAATTGCAATAAAGTGCTTGTTATATTTCAAAATGATGCTTTTAGACTGTGGTATGTTGTTGTAAGTGTGTGCTATTCCTATAAGAGGATCCCCAGGCATGAGAGTTGGGTCATCTCACCTGTCTCAGAAAGCAGCAGCACTATCTTTTGGTAGGCTGACAATAGGCACATTACCCATGCGGACGAGGCTATACTAGTGCTATGGCGGGGGGGTGGGGGGGCAGGGGGGGTAGGAGAGGATTAGAAAAGTGGGAGACGTGGAGGGTGGTTCCTACTGTATTCATAGTTATATACAAATATATTAAATATGCTATAAAAATAGTCGACTCTTTTCCTTTGCAGTTACTTCAGAAGCTCCTTTTAGAATAATGCTCACCCAACCTATACAGACTTAAAGGCTAGCTCTCTCTCCAATCACGATCAAAATGGCAAGTGCCTTTGTGCTGTTTCTTTTCCACCATCTAAAAATTCAAATCAACTTACAACTGGGTAGACTCACTCAGCAATAGTTATATCCAGTGTTTATACCTTCCAACACTGACTCCCGAGGGACTATGAACAGGGTCACAGATATTGGAAAGGTCGTAGACTTGAATGAGTTTTATACAAACTTTCAATCACCAAAGAATGAGAGAAAAAAAAAAATAAATGAATAATACTAGAGTAAAATGCCATTTGCATTCTACTTTAAAAAAGTTTTACCTCAATGTAGTGGAAACATTTCAAACACGTTGAATAATATCCAGTTAATAGCTTCCCCCTGTCAGTAGGACCCCTATTGAAGGCTTCTTGAGCAAGGGCTCATCTCCCGTCAGCGCCCGACGCCCATCACAGAGCTGCGCTGCTGCAGTGCCCAACTGCAGACAGGCTGCTTTAAGGCAACAACCAACAAATAAAGAACTTCTGAAGAATCCAAAAGACCATTTTCACTATTCTGCACTCAGTATTCTATAACCACTCAAAGTCACAGGCATCCTTTTATTACTAGTATCTTCCTAGGCCAGATTTAAGTGACAAAGTAGAGCATCGGATTCAAATTACCCCCTCAATTTAAGACAGAATTTGGAGACTGTAGTACTTAACTAACCCCACCCTCCATATATGCTTTTCGGTCAGTATTTTTCACTCAAAAAATAGAGTACTTGTGAGTGTCTAGGCTCAGGGCGACACCACTCCCAGCAGCAACTCTATTGGTCCTTCTGTACTTACTTGCAGTTGTGAAAACAATACTGACTCAGTGCCACAGCAGTCCAAAACAGGGTAACCGCTGCACAAGAGCTAACATTTGGCCTGATCTTCAACAGTTTCTTAACCAAAAAGTGCCACCCAGAATAAAATGTTTTGTTTTTAAAAAATGACTATGAGAGGAAAGACAGTTTTTAAGTAGCTAAAAGGTGTTTCCTACTTGGTGTTTTTTCACAACTTAGATTTAGGATTTTAAAAACTTTGGATACAGAAATGAAGGAAGAACAGGCAACTGCTGAATCTGCATCAGAATGGTCAAGTCTCCATTCTTGGGGCCCTGAGGGGGCAGGGACAGTTTTGCAATCCAAATTCAGGAGAAGCAAGAGGAAGTAAGTTAAAAAAGGAGCTAAGAGGCAGGTGGTACTTACTAGCTCTTCCAACACACCAATGCCTGCTGACAGCAAAGGAAAAGCAAGCAGCTGCTCCTTTAAATTTAGCAATCAATTCTAAGCAGAAAAAAGTGAGCTGCGAGGAACAGTAGAAATTATAAATGCAAGATTTTGCCTAATTTGTCTTAGGCTTGGCTTTTGTTAATCTAAGTACACAGTACTCACGGTCCACCATCTTTCTTTTAAGTATGGTACTTGGAGAATAAATCTTAATCATTCTTCGTCTCTTTTATTAGATAAATCCCTGTCACTAGATATCACCAATGAATGAATGAGGCACAACTCAGATATATATGGAATGGCATAACATGGTTAACAAAGGCAATTTGAAAGGGAAGAAAATTAATACTGTTGCCATATTTTACAACATCAATTTTGTCTATGTGTATGCATGCTCAAGGACACACACTGACAACTATCCTCAACATTCATGAGAAAGTCAGAAATCTCTTCTGGATGATCATTTAGCTAGAAGAGGAGCTCTTGATATGTTAACTACTGATTGGTATCTAGCGACACTTCTCTTAATAGAAGGGTAGGTACCAACTTTCTTTGGTTGTTTTCATTTTCAACATTTTCTAATTTAAGTGTGGCCAGGTGTGGTTTTTACAGAAAGACAATATATCCCTTAAGGGTAACTGCAAAGCTGAGGACGTAAAAGTGTTAGGAATGGACTTAAGAGTTCCTCTGACTCCTTCATCTAGCAAGTCTGTATTAGGTTATTTTCACTGCTCAAAACCTTTCTTGTTTAATAGCCTCAATTCTGTTACACGTTTTCTTCTAAATTCAATCGTGATGTCTTACAGCTTGCAGTCTTCCCTTTCCTCAGTAATAATTTTTGATATTCTAGGGAGATATTTTCCATTGCTCTATAGTTGTAAATTTTATTATTAGTACCATAAAATATATAAAATGTTTTATTAATATAATTTCTGTTGGAATTTATTACCTTTGGAATACGAAATTGCCAAATGAAATCTTAGTTCATGTTTAGAAAGCATGTGAGTTAAGTTACTTCTAGTGTTGTCTGAAGGCAAAGCAAATTCCTACACTTCTTTTTTCTTTGTAGAAATCATATTAGGCAAATATTTACTGGTAATTCAGCAGTGGCTACTTAGCTTTAAAAAAATGCTGAGGAAAACAATTTAAGATCACATTAATGATTCTGATGGTGTTAGGATGTCATCTTTTATTTTTAAATTTATTTGTTCCTCCAGTCCTAGATACTCAAAGTGGTCTTCATAGGAACTTGGGAGAATAATGGCACTGACACCCACATGCTATTAAAAATGTACTAAGATTTCAAAATTGCTATTGAAACTAGACAGTGAGTTCAACATGGTGAGTTATCACCTGAATCAAAATCAAGGCACTATGGGTTTTTTTTTTCCCCTCAAATAACCCTGAATCATTTCTGACTAAAAGAACCATTGAAACTGTGAAGGATAATAAAAAGATTCCAACAAATCCTAAAAGTTAAAATTCCCACCAGTGAGAATGTTAAAAAGTGCCTAAAATGTTTTGTGTGCAAATTTTTACTCCTGTAACTGAAACATTCATGAAATTACTTTCAGGTGTTGAAAACCATTTATACAACTATTCCAACTATGAACTGTATCAAAATATATGATCAAAACTCCCAACCTTCTAAAATAAAGCAGTGCAAATCCTATCTTCAAACATTATTGAAAAATAATGAAATGAGGGATACTTCTGAGTAACTTGAAAAGCCTGTTATTTCAATCATTTACCTGAAAAAAAAAAATCCATTCCCAGCAGCACATCATACCTCTCTGAACAAACTGTGACATCACAGCCGAGTATGAACAAAAGACTTGTGCCCCGGAAAAGTGAATGGAACACTATTGTGTTGTAAACAAAAGGGAAAATAAAGGATGTATTAGTCTGCACATGGCATTAGAATCTAAGGAAATGTATTCATACCTTTAAGGAGGAGATAATGCTTTCATGCAGCATACAAAATGTTTTGCTTTCTTTCCTTGTATCCAGACATATACATATTTTTACAGCATCTGTACATAGAGAATTTGAACCTACACAACATTGTGAAATTATGATTTCATCATTATCTGAAAAGGGAGAGGGGTTGGGAAAGAGGGCTTACTGGGTCTACTGGACTGTCTTCATGGCATCATTGCAAACAAACCCCTGAAAACAGGCACAGAACCTCTCCAAGTTACTAGCATTGTTAGTGCCTTTCTGATTCACTAGAGGTCATATTTCATAGCTGAGCTTCTTAACATTTGGCAATATACTCTTTTTCCATCAAAAAATATCTGGGCAATGAAAACACTGTCAGAATTGGCTATGGCCCTAAGATCATTTCCTGATGGCTGGTATTTAATGTACATCTGTACCACTAGGCAGCATTTTCCCTGCTAACTAATTCCAGGAATTAGAACACTCAATACTGCATCTCATGAAACTCCTAGACCTTTTCCTCCTAATCCTCAGATCTTCTGAGCAACTCATTATGGGCCAACCCATTCCTCCCCTGAGGTTAGAGAGGAGACGTGTGCTACTGTGGTTGCATCTTGGAAGGATCGGTCAAAGTGTCAGTCCTGTGCCGACTCAGTTGCTGTTGCTGCTGAGACTGGTGTTGCTGGTGATGTGACTGAGGGAAAGTGCTCTGTTGTAGTGGAAACGCAGCAGAGAGGATAAGCTGAGTCGATGGGTTCCCATGGAGCAACCTAGAAGTCTAAAAACAAATGGATTATGCAACATTGCTTTACCCCCATTATACTGTGTACGTTAAGATTTATTCAAGTTTTTCACTCTCCCTTGGGTCAAAAATCATCTACAGAATTTTTGCTTTCTCATTTAAAAATAACACTGGGAAATACTTATAAAACATTCCCTCTTTTTGAAAATGTGACAAAATTTCATTTCTTAAAATGTAGGGTTGTTGGGTTTTTTTTTTTGGATGGGGAATGGGGAGAGAAACATCAATTTGTTGTTCCACTTATTTATGCATTCATTGGTTGATTCTTGTATGTGCACTGACTGGGACCAAACCTGCAACCTTGGTGTATCGAGATCATGCTCTAACCAATGGAGCTACCCCAGCACAGGAACAAAATTTCGTTTTTTAAAGGACTGAGCTGGAGGTTTTACAATACAGACAGCAATATATATCTTGAGATGAACCACACATATTCTCTCTCTATATATGTCCTAAAGATCACAATTTTAAACAGATAATAAATTTTAAGCATAGCTAAGAACATATGAAACACACACATTCTAAGGTCAAATAGATAATGCCTGTGCCCAGATTCATTGGTTAAAGGAGTAGTTCAGTGGTTCAGCATAGGCCCTGAGGTACTCTGGGTTCAACCTCTGGCTGCTCTGTCACAACGTGCATGACTTAGTCGAGCTATTTGCTTCTCGGGGCCTCAGTTTCTTCACTTACAAAATAAGGACAATCACAGTGCCTCCCCTACTGGGTTTCTATGAAGATAATAACATCATTACTTAAAAGTACTACAAAAATGAGGACAAAGTTGAGAGACTTGAATGCTATAAGCAGCATTCTGGTATAGTAAGACAAAACAAAAAAAAAGGGCACAAAATCTGAAGTCAAAAGCCCTGGATTTGAGTTTTGCTCCATCACCGACTGGCTGTGGGACCTTGGGCACGTCTCAACTCTAGCAATCTGTTTCTTTCACGTAATTTCTATTTCAGAGATACAAAGGAAACTAGCCAATAGAAAGTGAGTATTTACAATGCAAGCCCATCCTTTCTACTGACAACACAACTTGATGCAGTGCTCCAAATTTTAAAATAGAAACTGTAATGGGTGATTTTTGCAAATATATGTAGGACACCTACATGCATATACACACTTGAATCCTTGAACCTAAGAACCATTAAGGTTTGCCAAGGATCTAGACAATTTGCTTTCTCTCTTTTTCATTAGGAAAAGCTTTTGTAAGATAAAAAACTCAGGATATTCATAAGCCTTATAGGGTTGCAACAGAGGTACATTTTGGAACTAGGTATTATATATGAGAAAAACCAAATTGTATATTCACTATCTACACAGGAGTATGTTGCTGAAGGGTATTTCCTATATTATTACTTTAGTGATCCCAAGTCTTTGGAATGCTGTTTTTATTTATTTTTAAAATACGTTTTATTGATTATGCCATTACAGTTGTCCCAATTTTTCCCCCTTTGCCCTCTTCCACCGGGTACCTCCCCACCCCCATTGCCTCCAGCAATACCCCAGCCTTAGTTCATGCCCATGGGTCATGTCTGTGTAACTTCTTTGGCTTCTCCATTTCCTATAGTGTTCTTAACATCCTTGTCTATTCTGTACCTACCAATTTGTTTTTCTTAATCCTTGCACCTTTTCCCCCATTCTCCTCCTTCCCCATCCCAACTGATAACCCTCCAAATGATCTCCATATCTATGGTTCTGTTTCTGTTCTGCTTGTTTGCTGAGTTTGTTTTTAGATTCAATTGTTGATAGTTGTGAATTTATTGCCATTTCAATGTTCACAGTTTTGCTCTTCTTTTTCTTAATTAAGTCCCTTTGACATTTCATACAATAGCAACATCTCAAGAATTTCATATAACAGATGAACCCTTTTAGCTTTACCTTGTCTGGGAAGCACTTTATCTGTCCTTCCATTCTAAATGATAGCTTTGCTGCACAGAGTAATCTACGTTGTAGGTCCTTGCTTTTCATCACTTTGAATACTTCTTGCCAGCCCCTTCTAGCCTGCAAAGTTTCTTTTGAGAAACCTCCTCAAAATCTTACGGGAACTCCTTTGTAGGTGACTATCTGCTTTTCTCTTGCTGATTCTAAGATTCTCTCTTTATCTTTAACCTTTACATTTTAATTATGATGTGTCTCAGTGTGGTCCTCTTTGCATCCATCTTGCTTGGGATTCTCTGTGCTTCTTGGACTTGTATGAGGTCTATCCAAAAAAAGTCCAGCCACCGTTACTATAATGAGAACAATTTGTGCAACATCGACGTAACCTGGCAGCCAAGGAGAATGGACTGGAATGCACACGTGTGAACAACAACTTTACTGTACTAGTCAGTGGGGGAAGTAAGCACTATTGAGTGAGGATGCGTACTGCGTGGCCATCACATTCAAAATGAGCGAGTAGAGCAACGAACCTGCATCAAATTTTGCGTTAAGCTTGAACATTCCTCTATGGAAAGTATTCAGATGATTCAGAAGGTGCAGCTCTGGGCAGCTGGTGATTGACAGTTTCATCATGACAACACGACTGCTCATGCATCACACGGTATGCAGTTTTTTGGCAAAACATCAAATCACCCAGGTGACTCAACCCCCCTACAGCCCTGATTTGGTGCCCTGCGACTTCTGGCTTTTCCCAAAACTAAAATCACCTTCCAAAGGGAAAGATTTCAGACTGTCAATGAGATTCAGGAAAATATGACAGGGCAGCTGATGATGATTAGAACTGTGAGGTTCTAAGGTGACTACTTTGAAGGGGGCTGAGATGTCATTGTCCTATGTGCAATGTTTCTTGTATCTTCTTCAATAAATGTTTCTATTTTTCATATTACATTGCTGGATACCCTTTGCACAGACCTCACATGTGTATTTCCTTTACCAAATTAGAGAAGTTTTCTTTCATTATTTTTTTAAGTAAGCGGTCAATCTCTTGCTCTTTCTCTTCTCCTTCCAGCACCCCTATGATTCAAATGTTGGTACATCTGAAGTTGTCCCAGAGGCTCCTTACCCTACCCTCAATTTTTTGGATTCTTTTTTCTTGCTGTTATGACTGAACATATTTTTCTTTCTTATGTTCAAATGGCTGATTTGATTCTGGGCTTCATCTACTCAACTGTTGATTGCCTGTAAATTTTCTTTTCATTTAATGTAACATTCATTTCTGCCTGGATCTTTTTTTTTTTTTATGCTGGTGAAGTACCAAATGAATTCCCTGAATATCCTAATAAGCGGTGTTTTGAACTCTGCATCTGATAGATTGCTTATCTCCATTTTCTTTAGTTCTTTTTCTGGAATTTTGTTCTGTTCTTTCATTTGGGCCATATTTCTTTGTCCCTTCATTTTGGCAGCCTCCCTGTGTTTGTTTCTATGTATTAGGTAGAGCTGGTTTGACTCCCTGTCTAAGTAGCATGGCCTAATGTAGAAAAGTGCACCCATAAGTTGGATGGAGCACAGCCTTAGGTAATTGCCAGGGCAGAAGAACCAGTGTAAACCAGGATAATGGCATCTCAGATAAAGCGTTGCACTCTGTGTCTCTGTGTGGCGGAGGGCTTAGAAAAGGGACAATGGCCACTACCTAGCCTCTGGAATTTTGTCCAGGAGGAAGCTGTCCCCCAGCATTCTCCCTGATGCCAGACATTTCAGCTTCTCCCTGTGTGCTACTGGTGCCATTCCAGCCACTGCCCTTGTGCTGGAGCCCAGAGAGTGTGAGTTTCTATAAGTCCTAAGTCTGTTGTGGGCCCTGACTCAGAGGAGATGCCTGAGAATCCTGCAGTTTCTTCTACTGCCCCAACCCCCACTGGTTTTTACAGCCAGAAGTTATGGGGAGTTATTTTCCTGGCACTGGAACCCTGGGCTGGATAGTATGGTGTGGGTCTGGGATCCCTCACTCCTGAGGTATCCCTCCTGATTTTTACCCACCACCTGTGGGTGTAGGACACTTCCTCCATGTCTCCGCATCTTCGTGTCACTGCCCCTCCTACCTGCATGGATGAAAGTGACTTCTTTAATTCCTTGGTTGTCAGACTTCCATACAAGCTCAATTTTCTGATGATTCTGAGTCCTAGTTTTCTTGTAGTTTAGCTGTGATTTTTGCTATGGTTGTGCAAGGAGGGATACTACTCCATCCTGACCTTAAGTCCTGGAAAGCTATCTTTAGAAGTGCGGATTAGACCTGGACAGTGTGACTGAGTTGGTTGGCGTGCCATCCCATAGACAAAATGCTCATGGGTTCAATTCCCAGGTGGGGAACACTTCAGGTTGGGAGTTTGATCCCCAGTACAGGTGCATGCAAGGAGGCAATCAATCAATGCTTCTCTTTCAAACTAGTATTTCTCTCTCTCCTCCCCCTGCCCCCTTTATCTCTCTCTAAAAGAAATGCAAAAAAAAAGGTCCTTGGGTGAGGATATAAAAAAAAGTGGGGATAAGAAAAGTGTTCATTCTTATAAGGGTATCCGTTCTGATAGAAGACTAAGATCTTAAAGCAAATCCTCTCCTTTTATAAGCTTTTACTTAATTCTCACTGGACATATTTCCCTAAGATAACCATTTATAACTTGTTATAAATTCTGATAATTAGTTCCTTTATAACCCTGGGTAAGCCAGTCATTAATGGCTGCACTACAGGCTTAAGGCCTAAGGGACTACGTATGACTTGACAGAGAAATTTAGGCAAGTAACCTGTTTTAGTTTTCCACATCACAAGGTTAGGAATTACATTTGGATCAGAACTCCAAGGGTAATAAATTAACACTGCATTTATGCCTGACTATACAGTATAATACTAAGTCTTCTAATTATACCATATGTTGTATAACTCTAAAATTGATGATATGTGCCTGGCCTACACGGACTGGTCTCAAGCATAAATCTAGACTAGCCTATATTGAAAGTTGCTCCTCCAGGCCAGAAAAAAAAAAAAGGCTGGATTTACAGATGTCATAATTGGCTACTGAGCACCCCCCAGTGAGGATACTATCTAGGTAACTTCTGTATCCTTTAGATAAATAGATCCTGCCTAATATACTCACATGAGATCTGGGTCTGCATTTTGGTTTATGTGTTTACTATTTGTGGTCATAAGCAACAGTTTATATGCCTTATACTATATGTTCAGTGGTTTATATGCATTTTTTACCCATGAGATATGAACTCTTAGCATGTCCATATTATAGATAAGGAAACTGAAGTTTAGCAAGTTAAGTACCCTGCCAAAGGTCACAGAGTATGTGGTGGATCAGGGACTGAATCTCAGAGCAGCTTGACTTGAAAGTCCAAGTTCTAAACTATGATATATTCTACATCCACAGGATTTCTCTTCTAATAATAACTTATAACCAAAAATTATTATAAAATTTAATCTTAAAAAATAATTTAAGATAATGCCTATACTAATTTTTTAAAAATCCTGTTTGATACCCCTGCCTTGTAAAGAATAGAATTTGATGCGCTGCTACGGCAGGGGGGGGAAGAGGAGAAAGAAAGTTGCCTTTGTATGAATTCCAAAAACTCTAGCTGGAAGGCCTTTATTAAAGAGCCTTGATGCCATGGCTGGAGTGGCGCAGTTGACTGAGTGCTGGCCTGCAAACTAGGAGGTTGCCCGTTCGATTCCCTGCCAGGGCACATTCCTAGGTTGTGGGCCAGGTTATCCAAGAGCAACTAACCGGTGTTTCTCTCGCACACTGATGTTTCTCTCCCTCTCTTTCTCCCTCCCCTCCCTTCTCTCTAAAAATAAAAAAATAAATAAAATCTTTAAAGTGCCTTGATATGGGTAAGAAGTAGTCACTTATTTTATCTAGCAGTTTAGATCACTGGTTATGTCCATGGCAGGACTAAAAGTCTTTGAAGGACTAAAGAGGGAAGGACATATAGCTAACTGGGACAAACATTCTCTTTATAGAAATTTAACTTGTACAATAAGCTCTTATGAATTTTTCAGATTATTTACAAAAGTGTCCATTTAGTGCTTAAGTTCACTGTATAAAAGTAAATGGGTTTGGACAGATTGCCTGTGGGGAGAATTACCTGTAAAAATTGCTGCGGTGGTTGGGTCAGCTGAGCCTGAGACTGTTGCTGAACTGATGTAAGCTGCTGTTCCTGGGAACTCTGCTGTTGCTGCTGCTGCTGCTGCTGCTGCTGCTGCTGCTGCTGCTGCTGTTGCGTGACTGACAGTGTCTGTGACTGCTGCTGTTGTGCAGCAAAAGTTGGGTAGGCAGTCACCACCTGACCCATAAGCATAGTGCTAGGTACCATGACCGCTCCACAAGCTACAGGAGCAGTTACTAATTTGGTCACAAGTTGCTGACCTTGAGAAAATCTGTAAGAGAAGGGAGTCAGAAATATAAAATACACATTATAAAAGGCAGTGGCTGAAATTTTCTCTAAGAAAATACCCAATGACAATTGCCAATTTAATTTTTTTAAAGCTGTATGTACCAATTCTGTTTCATGTTTTTAAAGATTCCCTTTGAGATACAGTAAAACAAATATGTATATAGCAAAATGAAGTGATCATAAACAAAAATACAAACTTTTCTTGAATATCCACTGCAAAAGAATGAAGTTAGACTCTTACGTTACACCATATACAAAAATCAACTCAAAATAGAATAAACATGTAAGCCTAAGAGGTAAAACTATAAAACTCTTAAAATAAAACATACGGGAAAAGTTTCATGCACTGGATTGGGCAATAATTTCTTGAATATGACACTAAAAGCACAGGTAACAAAATAAAAAATAAATTGTACATCAAAATGAAAAGTTTTTATGCATCAAAGGACACTATCAACACAGTGAAAAATAACCCACAGAATGGGAGGAAATACTTGCAAATCATGTATCTGACAAGGGGTTAATAACTAGAATGTATAAAGTAATCATACAACTCAACAACAAATAATCAGATTTAAAAAATGGGTCAAACAGATATTTCTTCTAAGAAGATATAAAAACAGTCAATAAGCACACAAAGATATGTTCAACATCACTAGCCATTAGGGAAATGCAAATCAAAACCACAATGAAAAACAATATCAGAGCTACCCACCAGAGTGGCTATCATCCAAAGAAAAAAAAAAAGAAAAAAATAACAATAACCAGTGTTGGTGAGCACATGGAGAAACTGAAATCCTTCTGCACTGCTGGTGGGAATATAAAAATATTAAATAATGCAGTTACTGTGGAAAACAGTTATGACAGACAGTTCCTCAAAAAACTAAACAAAATCACCATATGACCCAACAATTCCATTTCTGGGTATATACTCAAAAGAACTGAAAGCAGGGACTCAAGCATTATTCACAATACCCAAACAATGGATGTAACCCAAGTGTCCAGCAACAGGATGAATAAATAATACGTGGCATATACATACAATGGAACATTATTTAACCTTAAAAAGGAATGAAATTCTGACACATGAACTTTGAGGGCATGATGCCAAGTAAAATAAGCCAATCACAGAGACATATATTGTATGATTTCACTTATATGAGGTATCTAGAGCAGTTCAAACCATAGACTTATGCACTTAGAAGGTATAATGGTAGTTTCCAGGAGCTAGAGGGGTGGGGGAATGAGGAATTATTGTTCAATGGGCACAGTTTCTGTTTGATAAGGTGAAAAAAGTTCTGGATATTGATGGCAGTCATGGTCACAATGATGTGAATGTATGCCATGCCAATGAATTGTACATATAAAAAATGGTTAATGTAGTAAATTTTGTTATGTATACTTTACCACAATAAAAAAACTTAAACCTGCTAAAACTTTTTTCTTTTTAAAAATTACTAGGTCCTTGGAGTCAAATACATGGCACAGGGTTCACTTACCTAATCATGAGTTAACTTAGTTATCACAAGGAAATTTTAACTCTAGGTTTATAGGAAATGTTTACATTGCAAGTTGTATCTTATAATTCAAAACCAAATGGCATTCTAACAGTGCATAAAAGTACCCTTAATTGATAAGTGTATTAACGCAGCATAGTACTTACTGTGTTTGAATTCACTAATATTCCCTCCCTCCTCACTTTCCTTCTTCTATTTTCTTTAATGAAAGAACAAAAACAAAAAATGATGGCTCTTCAGGGAAGAATATTTCTATTTCCCTTTTCTGTGAGATGAAGTTAGGTTCAACACAGGCTATTACAGGGAGAAAAACTAAGATGCACATGACTCTACTGTAGATGTAGCATGACCTAACTGCAACTACAGACTGTTTAAAGTACACGGTATTAAACTTAGCACAGACACATACTTTATATGTTCCACAAGACGAAAAAAATCTATTTTGAAACCATGCCACACTTGAAAATAAAATAATGGATTTTATATGCTTCAGGACTAAGTGCATTGTTTAATGGAAAAAAAATACACATAAAAATTTTAAATTTATATATTAAAAAACCAAAGAAATAGTAACATTTATAAAGCAGTTTAGTCACAGAGGTGCTGTGCGCTAATTTTTCTGTAATTATAAAAGAAGTTATTATCTGAACTGCCAACTGCTTCCTGCTAACATGTGATGAGAATACTTCATCCATCTCTGGAACCAAAAGACACTCTTCAACCTACTTTGGCTTAACTCTCATTTCTGTGACTTTGTATACATTGCCCCCTCTGCCTAAAATACCCTCCCCAGACTTCTTGCCACACACACACCCCGAGAGCCAAGGTCTTTAAGACTCAGGGCAAGTATTTCGTCCATCAAACTTTCTCCTGCCACACTCCTCTCTTTCATCTGCTTGCCCCAACCCATAAAGCTGCTCACTCCCTCCTTTCTCAAGACTACAAAGTATTTATGACACCAAATAATACTGATTTGTGTACCTTTCTATGGCTTTTACTAGTTTGATCTCTCTCCTGGGACACGTACGTGCCGTTCTCATCTCAGAATGCGCACAAATGTTTGCTAAAATCAGTTCTTTCCCCTCAAAAGCAGATGTTTACAAATAGTTGATAAGTCATGTCTTCCAAAATGCACATCAGCATTCTAGATTAATGGGTTTTTCCTCAGGCTTTAAAACTAGTCCTCTGCATTACTATGCAGCACATTCATAATACTTCCTTTCAGAATGTTAGAACTAAAAGCTCGACTTTTTACCTTGAAGGAACTGAGTTCCAAAAAAGAGGTAATGAGTTCTTTCTGGAGCTTTACTCTCTGGAAATTATTAATAGGGTTTTAATGTAATGTATTACATGACCTAATACAACAGCAAAGCTGTATTATAAAAGCAGCAGCCTACTTGCATTGCAGTAAAATAGTTGACAATTAAAATGTATATAAGATGAAGTTTTAAGACTATAGAAATCCTAAAGTTAAAAGCTTCCCATTATAAAGAAAATGGCATTTCTTCAAAAACTTTGTTTCTAAGTCAGCTATTCCTACTAAAGTAAGTCATAGATGACTCCTGAATGACCCTTGAAAGTTTCGTACTGTTTAAGTGTTTGAGCTTTGAAATCAGATGTGAGGCTCGGATTCAGAACCCTTCCTTCACTCCCTTAGGTAGCTGTAAGTCCTTGGCCAAATTACTAAAAACTTACTTTTTTCTTTTCTGGGAAATAAAAGACCCTAACACTTTTTTTTTTTTTTTTAAAGGAATTAAATGAGATATGTTTTGGTCGCTTTGTATAATACTAAACACACTCAAGAAAGGCACGCTACTTTTATTCCATAATATGTATCAACTATGGTAGTGTACAGACTAATCATTGTTAGTATATGAAAACCCACCAGTATTTGTATTAAAATGATAAAAGATTTCCCAGTGATATAAAGTCTGTCATAAAATTTGTATAAGTGCACTGTAGAATTTGGATTCTACAACATTCGGTAGCACATTTTGAGGAAGGAAACAAAATTTGTAGCTATCTTTTTATTATAAAGTCCTTAAACAATGAATACATTCTCCTTTATTTCAAATCAAGAATACTGGCTGGAGTAACAAACTAATGTTTTTAAAAAATAAATTATTATTTTCTTTAATCAATTCATACCTTCGGAATGACTAATGAAATATGATAACTACCTTATCTGTCTGTCCTGAGTGAATGTAGTTACTGCAGCACTCTGGGTACTGTTTTGTGGCATACTCGATGGAATCTGGACCATGTTTCCGGCTGCTGGCTGAGAAATCACCATAGTGTTATACAGTGGGGCTGTAAGAGTGCTCTGTGTCTGACTAGGAAGAGATGTTTGTTGACTGTGTCCACTCAGTACATTTTGTTGACTCTGCTGGAAAAGAGGAGATTTTAATCACAGATTAACTGAAAAAACTTACATCAGGAAATATGCTTCTACATCATTCTAACGAGAGTTGACATGGCAGGAAAAAAAAAGGGCAGGACCTATTATTATTCATGGAGAAAATGACTTCTAGTAATTAAAAATTAATTAGTCTTCAATATCTTGCTGGAAGGTAAATGATTTTAGAAAAGGAGCAAGATCTTAACAGGGATAAGATAAAATAAACATAAAGAATTTCTATCAAATGCCAAACTGAGTGACCATTAGTCATTTTTATATATTTCACTTGAAGCCCTGCGATTTATAGTCACATATACATACCAATTACCAAAATTTCCTGAAGTATTAATTAAACCATCACTGCTCCGACAACATATTCTTCACTTATGGTAACATGCTTCCTGATCAGCCTCTTTTGCAAGTTAAACCTTTTTAACCTATAGAACTAGTCTGTATGTTCGTTTTTCTAAAAATTGCAAAATTTTTTACATGTCAAAATAATGAAAGTATTTAACATTCAACAGTTTCACAACTAACACTTTTGCACAAAATATTTTAATAATGATTACAGTACCATACTAATTATTACTATTAATTTTTATATTTGGTATTGTTCAAGATAGAGCTTTACTTTTGTTTCAGCTATAATACACATTTCAGTCACTGAACACTCCACAGCCCGTTGTAGTCGGTAACATTACCTGACTTGATGCACTTTGCATAGTCTGCTGTGGTATCATGTGCTGAGTTGTGCCAATGTGTCCAGTATTCATTCCACTTTGAATTTGGTTCGTCTGAACAACCTGGCTTTGCATATTTATAGGTGCGAGTTGCTGGATGTTAGATGAATTTCCAGAAGAAAGTTGAACAGAACCAAAATTCAACCCGGGGGTTGATTGTTGTAAAAACATCTTTAAAAATAAAGATTACATTAAAATGAGCCTTGCAGATTAAAAACAAAAAATGAGAATTAAAAAAAAAAAGAAAGCAAAAACAAGCTACAAATTTACGTTTAAAAAGTAGCAAAACTAAGACATTTTGAAAGAACAATAAGCAATAAATAATCACTGAATAAAACATACTTCGTAATTGTTCCTCCAGTCATTCTAACCATATCATGTTTCCAATTGTTGGACTGGGAGCTCTGTGTCACTTATTTATAACTTACAGCATTAGATCAAAGTAGTTTTCACTTAAAAGTTTCCCTATACCAAAGTTCTAGTTTCAGACAGACATAATTTAGAGTGGTTGACCAAATAAGACTATGAAATTATGCCTACTGGTATTTAATTAAAATAATGATTAATGATTATTATAAATTCTGTACCAAGGTAATGTAAAAAAAAAAAAATAAAGATAATAAATAATGTACCAGCATGTACCTAAAAGTTCATGCAAAATATCACTTTTATATTATGAATTAAAGTTTATTAAGAATTGAACTGTTAAAAGATGGCTTTAATCTGGAGAGACAATGGTAGATGTAATGGATTATCTTTAGGGACTATAAATGCAATCATACTAAGTAGGCAACCAATGAGTATTTATTTAACTAATAAACTGATGAAATGTAACTCTTGCATGTCATATTTGAAAAATAATTTTCAATTACAGTTGACATACAATATCATATTAGTTCCCAGTATACAACATAGTGATTAGACATTTATATAACACACAAAGCGATCACCCCAATAAATCTACATACAACCCATATGAAATCATACACTTATTACAATATAATTGACTATATTCCCTATGCTAAACTTTACATCCCTATGACTACTTAACTACCAATTTGTACTTCTTAATACCTTCACCTTTTTCACCCATCCTCTCAATACCCCTCCCATCTGGCAACCACCAAGATGTTCTCTGTATCTATGTTTGTTTCTGTTTTGTTTGTTTTTTAGACTCCACATATAAGTAAAATCATATGGTATTTGTTTTTCTGACTTATTTCACTGAGCACAACATCCTATACCCTCTAAGTTCATCCACATTTTTGCAGATGACAAGTTTTCATTCTTTTTTTATGACTGAGTCATATTCTATTATATATATGCACTATTTCTTCTTCAGCCATTTACCTTTTGATGAACACTTAGGTTACTTCCAAATATTGGTTACTGTAAACAATGCTGCAGTGAACATATGATGCATCTCTTTTTGAATTAGAGTTTTGGGGTTCCTCAGATAAATACCCAGAAATGGAATTGGTTGGTTCTTCTTTGTCTCTTGTTATAGTCTTTGTTTTAAAGTCCATTTTATCTGGTATAAGAATTGCTATCCCAGCTTTTTTCCATTTCCATTTTCATAAATATCTTTTCCCATTCCTTTACTTTCAGTCTGTATCTTTTGACCTGAAGTGGGTCTTCTGTAGACAGCATATGTAAGGATCTTGTTTTCTTATCTTACTCAGACACCCTATGTCTTTTAGTCGGAGTATTTAATCCATTATATTTAAAGTAATTATTGATAGATATGTAGTTATGGTCATTTTATTATTCATATTTTTTTATCTTCATTTCCTTCCTCTCAAAGGAGTCCATTTAACATTTCTTATAATACTGGTTTTATGTTTTACATAGACTCCTTTAGCTCTCTCTCATCTGGGAAGCTTTTTATATGTCCTTCGACTCTAAATGATCACTTTGCTGGGCAGAGTAATCTTGGTGCAGGTCCTTGCTTTTCATCAGTTTGAATGTGTAATGAATGCCATGCCAATCCCTTCTGACCTGCAAAGTTTCTGCTGAGAAATCATCTGACTCTCATGGGAGCTCCTTGGTAGGTAACTTCCTTCCTCTTCAGGCTTTTAAGATTCTCTTTAAACTTTGGCATTTTAATTACCATGTGTCTTGGTGCGACCCTCTTTCAATGTTTCAGATTCTCTGCACTTCCTGGGCTTGTATGTCTATTTCCTTCAATAAACTAGGAAAGTTTTCTGTCATTACTTCTTCAAATTGGTTTTCAATTCCTTGTTCTCTCTCTTCTTCTGTTATCCCTATTATGTGAATGTTGGTACACTTAGTATTGTCCCAGAGGCCCCTTAATCTATCCTCATTTTCTTTATTTCTTTTTTCTTTTTGCTGTTCTGATTGGGTATTTTCTGTTACCTATCTTCCAAATTATTGATTTGATCCTCTGATTCATGTAATCTACTGTTGATTCCCTCTAATGTATTCATTTCAGTCACTGCATTCTTCATTTCCAATTGGTTCTTACGTTTTCTATTTTTATTTTTGTATTTTCAGTCCGTTGAAGTTCTCTCTGAGAACATCAAGCATTCTTAGAACCAGTGTTTCTAACACTGCAGCTAGTAGATTGTCTCCATTTTGTTTAGCTCTTTTTTTCTAGTTTTTTCTGTTCTTTCATTTGGGACATCTTTTGGCTGCCTCCTTGTGTTTATTTCTATGTATCAGGTAGAGCTGCTACATATTCTGGTTTTAGTAGAGTGGGCTTATGCAGCAGGTATCCTGTGGGGCCCAGTGGCATGGCCTCCCTGGCCCCCTGAACCAGGTGCTTCAGGTGTGTCCCATGTGTGGGTTGCGTGTGTCCCTCTGTTGTAGTTGAGTCTTGTTTTCTGTTGGCATGTCAATGGGAGGGATTGACTCTCAGGCTGACTGAGGACTGGCCATGACTACAGTGGAGGAGCTGTTGTGCAGGGGATGACACTGTAGAGCAAGATACGCTTTAGCAGGGCTCTGGTACCTGCCAAGCCTGCCTTTGAATATCATTTGTATAATTGGTTGGGTGGTGCTCTGGGGGAGTCTGAAGCTAACCACCAGATGTGTTGATTCTGGGGCCTCTTCAAAGGTGCAGACCAAGGTTAGCCACTGTCTATGCCCTGCCTAGGGTCACTTTGGATAAGGGCTACAAAGTGATCTTCAGATGCTGCCACTTGTGCTGAGCTTGGAGGTGCCTAAGAGAGGCTAAGCTGATAACTGATGCCAGATGCCACTTGGGGCTGCTTAGCAGGAGTGGGGCATGCCAAGGCTAGATGCTGCTTGTTTGGGATTTGTGAACCGAGATTTTAGGAAAGTTTGCAGCATGAATCAAGACATGTCATTTACACAGAAAAACCATTGGAAACAGCCTGGGAGGGGCTGACTCTCAGAATCATGGGGAGGGGGCAGTAGTGGAGAACAGTGATAGGCCAGGTTGATGGAGGCTCAAGATATGATACCTGCCTGTGCCTGTAGATGGATAACTCAGCAAAAGAATAATGGCTTCTGCCAGTACTTCTGCCTGTGAAAAAGCTGTCATTCCAGCCCTCGCCCTGAAGCCAGACATTTCAGTTCCTCCCTGTATGTCTCTGGCACTTTTCAAGCTGCTGCCCCAGTGCTGAAGTTCAGAGAAAGTGAGACTAGTAAGTTTATGTGTAGGCCCCATTAGAGAGAAAGGCCTGGGACTCGAGAAGCCCTCTCAGCCACAATCTCCACTGGTTTTCACAGCCTGAAGTTATGGGGGACTTCCATTCCTGACAGTGAAACCCTGGGTTAGGGGGTCTGATGGGGCTGGGACCCCTTGCTCCTCAGGGGGGACCTCTGCAGCTGAGATATCCCTGTACATTCTCAACCATCACACGTGGTGTGGGACCAGCCCCTTTCGCATCTCTGCCCCTCCTGCCAGTCTCAGCGTGGCTTCAACTTTACCACCTTAATCATAGGACTTCTGTTCAGCTAGATCTCAGATGGTTTTCAACGTTGGTTATTTTGTAGCTGAGTTGTACTACTGATGTGATCTTGGGATGAGGCAAATACATCATTTACCTATTCCTCCATCTTGACCAGAAGCCTGTCTTATGTGTTACTTTGAACTAAGAACAGTCAATTCCCTAAGAACTTAAAATGTAAATGGTATGCTTTGTTTAAATTAAGTATAATAATACCTTACCTGCAGCCCTTGACCATGGACCATCTGAAGTTGTTCTTGAATTTTCCTTAGTTCTTCTTGCTGTCGGTGAATATTTGCCTCTATCATTCGTGTGCGTTGCTCCAACTGGTCTTTCAGATGTTGCATGGCTCCTAATTGTGCTGAAAACTGAAACTGAAGTACCATATATGGAAAAAGTGTAAGATATTTTAGAATCACATATTCCTCTTAATCGTGCAATGTGAAAAGCAGTACATCATGAGCTAAGAATGTTATGCCAGTTACCAATGTATTATCTCTCTGCTAATTCACCTATCGTTGCTCAGCTTTGTCATATTGGAGCTGGAGTCTACAAATATTTCTCCTTTGCCAGCAGGCACAAACTTAGTCACGCCAGTTGACTCTGCAGGAGGGATACTACAAAAAGAGATGCTTATCTTTCTGGTACCAGTGCTTTTCCTTCTTGTTCTTCTGCCAGTGAGTAGCTTCTTAGAGAGTTTCATCAGCACCCCAGCAGATGATTCCCCAGCAAGTCTCACTAGGATCCAAGTGGTCAACTCGCCAGCAAATTTCACTGGCACCCCAGGAGGTGGTTTCCTGCTCTCCAGTCTAGCCTGCGGCACCTCAGTGAACTTCTCTACCATCCAGTTATTACAGCCACATCTCCCCCAGTGACCTGAATCTCATCCTGGCCTAGAAGAGAAATTTCAGGGGTTTGGGGGAATCTCCCAAGTTGTTCCTTCCTTGGGTCCCTTTCACTATGCTTAGAGCTGCTTTCTATACCTGTTTTCCCTGCAGCCTTTAGAATTTAGTAGTTAATCTCTGTTACCAGTTAACAAATTTTTATATAACCCCTCTTCAAATTTCTTACTTATGATTACATCTTGACTGATTAAAAAGTACACAGTGGCATTAAAAGACCTGAGCTCATATAGTGGCTCTATCACTTGCCAGAACATGTTACTTAACTTCATTTCTACCCTTTAACCCTAATTTAAAAGTAGCCTGAACTTAAAGAGTTATTCATATCAAATTCTGACATCCTTAGAATGTCCTCTTTGTGCACATCATTAGAAACTTACAAAAATCTGACAGATAACCAACCACAATATTTTTCTCATATTTTCAACTAAAACTGTTCTCAGGTAAGTGCAATACATAAGCTTTTGAAGACTAAGCAATTATAAATAAATAACATATGTGAGTGGAAAAAAGTTATTCTATTAACAGAGCTTTCAATTTACTTATTTTTCTACGTTTCACCTGAGTCATAAGCAGCTTCTATTTGCTATTGCTTGGAATTTAGTCACATTTGGGGATTCACCACTTAAGTCTATACTTATTTTCATTACACTCTTTTAATTTTTTTCTATGAATATTCAGCACAGGATACAGTATAAGAGTAGGAAGAATTTCACTTTATTGGAAATCTGTCTTAGTCTTAAAACAGTCTTCTAGAATGAACTGCAGCTAGAAGTGAGGAATGCCTCCCAAAAGCTTTTACTCTACTTCTTCTACAAAAGATTGTACTGAGGATACTGAATATTATTTTTCAAAGTATTCAACTCTTGGCTTTTGAAGTTGATAGTAACCAGATATATCATATATGAGATTACATTAGGTATAAGAAAATATTACAAGTTTAGTACCTCAACTTGCTCATTCATTTTTAAATATTATTTGAAATGTTATATGTCATACAAATATATTTTATCCTAAGTTATTTATACTTTAATAATTACACTGCCACCACTAAAGAAAAAACTTCTAGTAAGTACAAATAAGAAAACAGAAACAAACAGAAAGCAGAATAAATAAAACCACAGAACTAAGAGGCAGAGTGTTTGTCTTCATCATCAAACAAAAATGATATTTGAATATGTAGCATTTTTCAAATAACAGGTATTCTTTATTTTACAAAAATATCCTTTAAAAATACTAAATGTTTATTTAGTATCTTGAGATTAATGAACTAATAATATTAAAAGTATGTCTAAGTTTTTACATAAAGATTCTATTAACCTTCAGAACAAAAAGCATTTGAGGACTCAATGATGATAAAATCTGCTACAACTGCACATACTATTTACTAATACAGTGCTATTATAAACACCTTACATGATCATACATTGCTGAGAGTCAAACTTATGATGTTTAGGAAATTTACTGCATTGTCAAAATATTTGTACAAGTGTCATTTCTATAATTTAAATAATCATATAAGACAAAGGTATTTTTAGAAAAATATTGTTTTGACCTATTGTTAACTATTGTTATTTAAAATTTAGATACTTTTAAGTCAAGGTATATTTAATGCCAAACAAAACAGTAAGAAAATTTTGGATTATTTTTACTACTACTCAGCATTTTTTAAAGAATTTATTTATTTATTTTTAGAGAGAGGTAAAGAAAGGAAGAAACAGAGGGAGAGAAACATCAATTGATTGTCTCTTGCATGCCCCTACCTGGGGACCTGGCTCGGAACCCAGGCACGTACCCTGACCAGGAGTGTAACTGGTGAACTTTTGCTTTGCAGGCGATGCCCAACCCACTGAGCCACACCAGTCAGGGCCTCAGTAGTATTTTTAATGTGTTTGAGGCACTGAATGAGTGCACAGTCATAAATAACAAGTTGGAAACTTATAATCAAAAGTAACTTCATGTCACTTTTGCAGTAATTCTCCTTTGTCTTGCTAATTTCTATATTTAGGCATCCTTCAGGACTCAAGCAAAAATTCTTCCAGGAATTTTTCCTTCACTTCCTCAGGCGGCATTAAGTGTCTGACTAATGTGCACACCCATCAGTCTCTATACCTTAAGCTTAAGACTAGGTAGCTCTCTGTCACTGTAATAAAGTCTTTTAGTATTGATATAGATTTTGTACTGTCAGCACCTGCAATATCTGATACATAAAAGGAACTCAATAAATGTTCTACATATAAACAAATGAATAAATACATGAATAAAATTACTTGAGTCTTCAATATACGTAGAAAAAACAAAATGAACAGCTCTACTTCATCTTTTGTATCTTTCAGTCTATAGTGTTTCTCAATAGAGGTGCTACAGCATGTTAAGCAGGATAATTCTCTGTTGTACAAAACTGCCATGCATCCTGAAAGACAATCAGCATCCCTGGTGCTTGCCTACTAAACTAAGGGCAAGTGGTACCTCCGAGATAATGACAATCAAAAATATCCCCAGATATTCTAAATGCCCACAGGTGAGATTTACTCCATCTGTAAGAGTATTCTTCTTAAAATCTGTATTTGCTTAAAAACAATTTATCATTTCAAAATACTCGACTGAAACAAACAAACAAAAATACCTGGGACATGCCTTGTGGAACTGGTAAATTTGTGGCTTGAGACATCACTGGCTGTGTTAATGATTGACCAAGAGACTGGGAATTTATTGACTAGAAGCAAAATGAAAAACAATACTGGAGTGATGATCATTCCCATACATGAGTACTTCCACCAGAAATATCACCATGGCACGTTTATAACTGAATTATAATTTGCCTCACACTTTTTAAGCTCAGTACAGGAATGTCTCCCCATCTACAATGTTCCCTATTTACGTTTTTATCTTCCAAGGCATCTGTCACATTGCCTTGCATGGGCTCTCAATAAAAGCTGACTGGACTTAACTGAAAATCATTTGATATTTAAACTCAGATATAGAATAGACAGATCTAAATTATCAGCTCCTTTAACTTAAAAACAAAAACTAACATTTTACGAAAAATAATTATAGGACTGATATATTTGACAACTACTTTATGAAAAAAAGTAAGAGCTTGAGTGTCATACACCAACAACTACTTTCATTTTATAGAAAGGGATAATGAATCAATAAATTTCTAAAGATTTAAATTATTTTTTTCCTTTTTAATAAATCTTTATTCAGAAGGATACTAAAGAGTTTACCTGACTACTGAACGATGACCTCCTTTGTGCCATCTTGTCATGAGCTGGTAAATGCTGTCTGGGAGGAGTGCTAGTATCTGTTGGGATCTTTGTTGGTGTTGCTGAGATTAGTCAACAAAAACAGAACAGTATTAGTATTTTATAAAATGTAGTTTTTTAAAAATGAATCTTAAAATGCATTTCGGCAAATATAAATAAGGTCTGAGTCCTTTCTCTACACTGAATTAATAAAAATGAAGTGTACAACAGTAAGAGTTTATTTTAATTACTTCTTTTTTAAGGACAAAGAAAGATCTAAAATAGAAAAACTTCAACTATTATAATGATTACAGTTCAATAGAAAAAAAAAGAAAACCTAGCAATTCAGCTGAAAAACGGCTAAAGAATTTGAATAGACACTTGTCTAATGACATACAACCAACCAACTGATATATGAAAAAATGCTCAACATCACAAATCCTCAGGGAAATGCAAATCAAAACCACATTAAGATATCACCTCACACCTGCCTGGACACCTGTTATCAAAAAAAACAAAAGACATCAAATGTTTGCAAGAATGTGAAGGAACTGGAACTCTTGCACACTGTTAGTAGGGATACAAAACGGTGCCACCACTGTGGAAAATAGCATGGAGGTTTTGCAAAAATTAAAAACAAAGCTAATACATGTGATCCAGTAATCCCACTTCTGAATATTTATCCAAAAGAACTGAAATCAGGATCTCGAAGAGATATGAGCACTCCTGCGTCCTCTGAAGCACTATTCACAATAGCCAAGATGCTGTAACAAGTTAAATGTCCAATGACAGATGAATGAATAAACCAAATGTGATATATACAGTGGTGAGCAAAAGAAGGTTTGGATTTGTTCATATGGAAAATAATACAATTAATAATAATATAAAAATACCCTGCATATACAAACAATGGAATACTGATCTTTTTAATCTTTAAAAAGAAGGAAATTCTACAGTATGCAACAACTGGATGAACCTTGAGGACATTAGGCTAAGTGAAATCAGCCACTGACACAAACACAAGGAGTATATGACTACATTATCTGAGGTATTTAAAATAGTCAAATTTGTTGAATCAAACAGAATGAGGATTGCCAACAGCTGCGCAGAGAGAAGTGGAGAGTTTCTAGTCAATGGATAAAAGTTACAGTGAAGCACAATGAATAAGCTGTAGAGATCTGCAGTACATCATCATACCTGTAGTCAATAATGTATTGTACACTTAAATTAAGAGGGCAGATCTCATTTTAAATGTTCTTACCACAATAAAATAAAATATTTGTTAAAAAAGAAAACAGCTATAGTATGAGAAAATTTTTTCCCTAAGATTTCAGAAATTCTATGTTTAATCTCTAATGCTCTACCCATAATGCTGAGTAGTTCATTTCAAACTATTTCCTCCTTACTAATATATATAATTTTGATGTTCTGAGAAATAAAAGTTATTCTTAAAAAAATTACTTAATTAATGACAGTTACAGAAGTCTTTATAAAGCCAAGGCTCTTTTAAAAAACTTTCAAAAACAAACAGAATACTTACTGGCTCTACTAGTAAAATAACTAAAAGAAATAAACAGTTCTGCTTTCTTTCTGACGGATGATTAAAAACAACAATACCAACATATTACCTATATACTTTATAAGCTACTTCATAAACTTAATTCTTTGTTAAGTGTGAGCAATGCGCCTCTTACTGGAAAGCTGAATATATTTCAGAAATGCAAAACTTACTTTAAAGTAGCATTTAATTAAAAATGCTGATAACAGTAACACAATTTAGAAACATTCTCTTTAAAGGAAGTCTGCTGTCAGGCCAGAGTACTCACAGGAAGGGTCTGAGATTGCAGTGTGAGATGATTTTCTTGAACTCCGGGAGGAAGCAGAAGGGGTTGGGCTGTGATCGAACCTTTCCAATGCTTCCTTGAGACTGACTGTGTTTATACGATTATCAGACCCAGAATCTTGGCTCTAAGGAGGAAGAGTAAAATATTGTTTACTAGAACTCCTCTTACCAAAATCAGTTTTTACCCATAACAAGAAAATGATATCTATGTATATATTAGGTAAAGAAATGAAAATTTATTTTTATAGCCAGAAGGTATTGGCTTCATTCTCTATTTACAGAAACAACACATGAAAAAAAGAATGAAGGTGGACTCCTATATACCACATACAAAAACTAGCTCAAAATGGATCAAAGACCTAAAACATTTAGAGCTAAAAACTATAAAACTTTTAGCTCTTAGAAGGAGAAAAGCTTTATGACATTGGATTGGGCAATGATTTCTTGGATATGACTTTAAATATACAAGCAATAAAAGTGCATCAGAGGACAGTATACCAGAGGGGAAAGGCAATCCATGGAATGAGATAAAACATTTGCAAGTCATATGTCCAAGAAGAAAGTAGTACCCAGAACATATAAAGGACTCCTACAATTCAAGAGCAAAAAAACGCCCTGAACAATCTAGTTAAAAAACCAGCAATGGTCTTGCAGACATTTCTCCAAAGAAGGTACACATATGGCCAATACACACATCAATAGATGCTCAATATCAATAATCATTAGGGAAATACAGTTCAAAACCACAATGACATACTACGCATCCATCAGAAAGGCTATTATAGAAAAAAAAAACAACACAGAAAATAACCAGTGTTGGTGGGAATATGAAGAAATCGACGTTGTGCACTGCTGATGGAAATGTAAACTAATGCAGCTACTATGAAAAACAGCATGATGGCTGCTTAAAAATTAAACACAGAATTAGCACATAAACCAACAATTCCATTTCTAGGTACAAGCTCAAAAAACTGAAAGCACAGGCCCAAACATATATCTGTACACCCATGTTCATAGCAGCATTATTCACAATAGCTAAAAGATATATGCAACCCTATCCAATGACAGATGAGTAGATAACAAAAATTTGGAATATACACATAGTGAAATATTATTCAGAAAATTCTGTCACATGCTACAACGTGGATAAACCTTGAGGACATTATGCCACGTCAAATAAGTAAGTCATAAGAGGAAAATTACTATATGATTCCAATTGTATGCAGTACTTATAGGTGTCAAATTAATAGAGTCAGAAAGTAGACTAGTGGTGACCATGGGCTTGAGAAAGGGGACGAACAGAGTACAGTTTAATAGGTATGGATACGAGTATCAGCTGGGGAAAGTAAAAAGTTCTTGGTGATGGATGGTGGTGATGCCTGTACACCAGTGTGAATGTACTTAATGCCACTGAACTGTACATTTAAAATTGGTTAAAATGGTAAATTTTGTTAAGTGTGTGTGGGTGTGTGCGTGCATGTGTGTATTTTAAAAGATTTTATTTATTTTTCGAGAGAGGGAAAGGGAGGGAGAAAGAGAGGGAAAGAAACAAAGATGTGTGGTTGCCTCTCGCATAGCCCCTACTGGGGACCTGGTCTGCAACCAGGCATGTGACCTGACTGGCAATCAAACCAGTGACCCTTTGGTTCACAGGCCAGTGCTCAGTCCATTCGGCCACACCAGCCACGGCTATTAAGTATATTTTATCACATTAAAACAATAAAGAAAGTGTAAAAAAGAAACACAATAAAGATGTCACTTTAGTTTATAGACAACGTACTATAAGCACCTCTGGAATTCAGCATCTGACTGCTCAAAATCTTCCTCTTCATCCTAATTCCGATCTTCCTACAGAATTTCAAAGTCCACATGGATGACTCATCGAAGATCCTGTCCTGCCCGGCCTCTCTGCTTTTTAGGAACTCCTCATCTCCAGTAACTTTTCCTCTACTCCACCTCAGTCATTCAATCCCTAAACCTTCTAGGACAATTTAGCTTTTTGCTTTTACTCCTACCTCACAGGCTATTTCCCCTTATCTCCTCTGTGATTGATTCATCCTTGTCTCTCTCACCTCGTACTGTTGGAGTGCCCCAACACTAATACTTAGTACTTGGTTGTCATCTCTCTTTACACCCATTCCCTTGGTGATCAAATTTAGACTCATGACTTCCAATCCACCCATACACTGAAGTTTCTCAAAAATATGTCAAAAATGGACCTCTTCCCTAAACTCCCAGAGGACCATGGTGGTAACAGTAAACATGGTGAGAAAGGAGACAGTTGGAATATACTTTGGAAGTAGGGCTGGTTGAATTTACTAGGGTTGAACACTGGCGTGAGGAAAAAAGAGGCATGGGGGAACAATCTATATTATTTCAGTTTCTATAATGGTCCTCATTTCAGAAACCCTAGATTTAACTACTTTTCTCAGAAAATTTCTTTTATTAAAATATACTGGATCATCTTCCTCTATGTATATACACAAAGCTTCTTTGAAACATTCTTTCACATCAGATCCATGAGTCATGCTCAACAGTTCCTGGCACACAGAAGGTACTTAATGAAGTTTACTGAATGATGGAAGGATAATCCCCCATATTGTCCCCTGGCAGGCTGCCTGTTCAACACACTTTTTATATAGATTCTTGACTCTCTTCATTCACTTATTTTCTTCAAGTCAAAAATACCCATGCTGGGAAACCTCTGACATGCCTCATGATGATTCCTACACCTCCTCTTAGTCACTCCCTTATAATTCCTCCCCTTGACTGTAGACTGACCTAATGATTTGCTTCTCATGTACAGAACAGACAAAAGTGACACAATATCACTTCTGTGATTAGGTTACAAAAGACTCTGACTTTCACTTTGCTGATTTTTCTCTCTCTGGATCTTCCTGCATTCTTGCTCTGATGGAAAGGGCCACCAGGAAAGGAACTGAGGGTGAACTGCAGCCACCAGTCAGAAGAGAATTAAGGCCCTCAGTCCAAATGCACATGAGGAATCAGATCCTTCCAACAACCAAAGTGAGCCTAGAAACAGATTCTGCCCCAGATGAACTTTGAGATCACTGTGGCCTCCACTGACACCTTGATTACAGCCTTGTAAGAGACCCTGGGCTGACACCTTGACTGCAGCCTGATAAACAATTCAGAACCAGAGGTCTCAACTAAACTGTAACTGGATTCTTGACCAGAGAAACTATGAATTAATAACTGTGTTATTTGATATCATTAAGTTTTGTTACACAGCCATAAGTAACTAATACACTACACTTCTACATGATGTAATAAAAAAAGAAACCAGAGTTCAAATTCTGACTACAACTTCCTAGCCATGTTTTTAGGGGAGGCTTTTCACCTCTTAGAGCCTCAGTTTCAATATTTTCAAAGTGGGGATATTGCCTACCAGGGAAGGATGTCTAAGGAGTAAAAGCTGTTTTGTAGTTCATATAAAGAACCTAGCCAGAGCCTACTGTGTGGTAGGCAATAAATAAATGTTGGTTTAAATCTGAGACCATACATGTCTCTCACCCAATTATTACTAAAAAGCAGATCCTTCAAATCTTGTTTTTTTAAACCCTTACCTGAAGATATGCTTTTATTGGTTTTAGAGAGAGAAGGGGGGAGGGAGAGAGAGAGAGAGAGAGAGAGAGAGAGAGAGAGAGAGAGAGAGAGAGAAACACTAATGTGAAAGAGAAACATTAATTGGTTGCCTGCCTTATGTGCCCCAACAGGGGATGTAACCCACAAACTATGTATGTGCCCTGACCAGGAATCAAGCCCATGACCCTTTGGTGTACAGGATGGCTCTCCAATCAAATGAACTACCTGGCAAGGGCTGACCCTTCAAATCTTTTTTAGAAGCAGAAAAGAAATTTAATATTAAATTTAAAATTGAACCGTGGCACAAGTGAGAAAATATATGAAAAATAATTTTCCTATAAATTACTGAGTTTTTCTTTCACAGAAATGAAATGAAAAAATTTAATTTAAACTGTAAGATACATACTTTGTCAGCAGCTGTCTCAGGAAGAGACTCTTCAATGCCAAGTTCGCGCCGTCTTTCAGCCCTAACTTCTGCATAACTACAAATTTAAAAAAATAGAATTTTCGTGTTCAGTCACTCATTTAAAATACTGCAGAACTGCACCCATTCATTGTCTGCTATGTGTCTTACTCATTCTAGACTATTCTCCATATGCTACACAAAGCTATTACATATTTACAATTAAGATAGTGTACAATATCTTAACTTGAATTGCATTTTTCTAGGTACCTCAAATTGAATTTTCTAGGTATCTAATGTAAATAATCTGTAACTGCATAGTTCCTAAATTAAGAGAAATTAAAGAGTATGCCTGTCTACTCCAGTTTTCCATTTATATAATTAACTATGGTACATAAAACACAGTTACAACATCTGCTCTAAACCATAAAATTTATGTCAAGAATATCTATATGCACCTGCATTCTATTGCTATGTAATGTATGTAAATAAGCAGTATATTGAAACAGTGTGTCAAATGAGGAAAACCATTTTGTAGTTCATTAACAAGTTATACATACAAAATTCACTGTCAATATCATTATGGATGTTTCTATAGTTCAGAAATCCAGTAAAAGAATATACCTTACTACAGTGTGAGTACAAACAATAAACTCTGGCCTTGAATTCCACTGATGGTAAGTGATATAATAATGAGTTTGAAGCCAAATCCACTGTTGTCCTTTGGTCAGGAACCTGTAATAACATGATTTGCCTTTCCCATACTGCATCACTAAGAAGAGAAAAATATTTTTGATTCATATTATAAGTAATAAATCTTTTTAACAAAGGTTATCATTTATACTTATTTCTATATATACAATTCTTTTGGCTTTTCAGTAACATATATATAAATATAAATAAATAAATTGTAAGAAAAGGCTATTCTGTATATCTAAGGTCTCAAGCAATTACTTTTCCACAGTGTCCAATTTACAGCCAATTATGGCTGAGTTTAGATACTTTTCATACATAATACATTTCCAAATACTCAAGAATAAAATATTCACATACTGACTTCCTCCTGCCCAGATATACTGAAGGTAAAAGCAGTAAGTAATCACACTTGAGTTTTTTCCCACCTGTACCCTGGCAGGTGCAGTATCTTTGTGACATTTAATTCTAAACATTAACTAATCAAAATCAGATTAACTTAATTATAGGAAGTAACTAAGAAGTGCAGTATTTCCCAAAACTCTATAGATTTCAAGTTCTATAGCCTTTTAACAGCCATTAAGCCAAAAAAGGGTGTTTTGTGGTTAATCTGGGAAACATTGCTAAATAAGTATATTTAATCTTTATTTCTTACTTTTACTGAATTTACTGGGGTGGCACTCTTTAATAAAATATATAGGTTTCAGGCGTACAATCTTTTAACACATCATACAAATTGTATTGTGTATTCACCACCCCAAGTCAAGTCTCCTTCCATCACCATTTATCCCCCCTTTACCTTCCTCCAACTATCCCAACTTCTTCTTTTCCACTGGTAATTACCATACTATGATCTATGAGTTCTGTTTTGTTTTGTTGTGCTTAATCCCTTCATCTTTTTCACACAGCTCCCCAATCCCCCTCCTCTCTGACAACTGTCTGTCTATTCTCTGTATCTATGAGTCTGTTTCTATTTTACAGGTTACTTAATTTTGTTCATTAGATTCCACATACAGGTGAAATCATACGGTACTTGTCTTTCTCTGACTGGCTCATTTCACTTAGCATAATATTCTCCAGGTCCATCCATACTGTCACCAAAGGTAAGATCTCCTGCATTTTTACAGCTGAGTAGTATTCCATTGTATAAATGCACCACAGCTTTTTTTATCCACTCATCTTACTGATGGACATCTGGGTTGCTTCCAAATCTTGGCTGTTGTAAATAACACTGCAATGAACATAGGAGTACATATATTCTTTCAAATCAGTGTTATGGGTTTCTTCGAATATATCTCCAGAAGTGGAATCACTGAGTCACAGGGCAGGTCCACTCTTAATGGCTGCACCAATGGCTGCATTCCCACCAATGCACTAGGGTTCCCTTTTCTCCTTTTCCTCGCCAACATTTGATATTTATTGATTTATTATGACAGCCATTATGATAGGAATGAGGTGATATCTCATTGTGATTTTGACATTTCTCTGATGACAATGGCACTGATCATCTTTTCATATCTCTATTGGTCACCTGTTACGTCCTCTTTGGACATGTATCTATTCAAGTTTTTGCCCATTTTTAAATTGGGACTGTTTTCTTGGTGTTGAGTTTTTAAGTTCTTTATAAATTGTGGCTATTAACCCCATATCAGATGTATCATTGGCAAATATGTTCTCCCATTTAGTGGGCTGTCTTTTTCATTTTGTTGATGGTTTCCTTTACTGAGCAAAAACATTTTAGTTTGACCATTTGTTTATTTTTTTTTATTTTGTTTTTCTTGCCTGAGGAGATATGTCAGAAAAAATTTTGCTGTGAGAAATGTCTGAGATTTTACTGCCTATGTTTTTCTTCTAGTATTTTTATGGTTTCAAGTTTAACAATTTAAGTCTTTAATTCATTTTCAGTTTGTTCTTTTGTATGGTGTAAGAAGGTGGTTGAGTTTCATTTTTTTGCATACTCCTGTCCAATTTTCACAACACCATTTATTGAACACATTTTCTTTAGACCGTTTTATGTTTTTTTCTCCTTTGTCAAATATTAATTGAGTATAAAGGTATGGATTTGTTTCTGGGCTCTATATTCTGTCCCAGTGATCTATATGTCTGTTTTTACGCCACCACCATGCTATTTAGATTACTATGGACTCCTACTATAGTTTGATATTAGGTAGCATGATTCCTCCAACTTTGTTCTTTCTCAGGATTATTGTTGTTATTTGGGGTCTTTTGTAGTTCCATATAAATTTTTGGAGTATTTATTTTAGTTCTGTGAAATACGCCATTGGTATATTCATAGAAATTGTGTTGAATCTGTAGATTGCTTTGGGTAGTATGGATATTTTAATGATGTTAATTCTTCCTATCTATGAACATGGTATATGCTTCCAATTATTTGTATATTCTTCAATTTCTTTCTTCAGTGTCTTATAATTTTCTTTACCATCCTTGGTTAAATTTATTCCTGGTATTTTTCTTTAACACATTTATAAATGGAATTGTTCTCTTAGGGTCTCTTGCTGATAATTTATTATTAATATATAAATGCAACTGGTTTCTGGATATTTATTTTGTATCTTGTTACTTTAATGAATTCATGTATCCATTCTAGTAGTTCTTTTGGTGGAATGTTTAGCATTTTCTATATACAGTACCTCATAATTTGTAAACAATGACAGATGTACTACTTCCTTTTCAGTTTGGTTAACTTTTATTTCTTCTTCTTGTCTGACTGCTGTGTCTAGGACTTCCAGTACTATGATGAATAACCATAGTGAAAGTAGACATCCCTGTGTTATTCTCAATCTTAAGGAAAACACTTTTAGTTTTTGCCCACTGAGTAACACGTTGGCTGTGGGTCTGTCATATATCTCTATTATGTTGAGATATGTTCCCTCTATTCCCACTTTGCTGAGAGTTTTTATCATATAGCCATAAATAGGTGCTGGGGGTTATCTAATGCTTTTACTGCATCTATTGATATGATCATGTGTTTTTTATCCTTCATTTTGTTTCTGTGGTATATCATACTTATTGATTTGTGGACACTGTATCAACCTTGCATCCCCAGAATAAATCCTGCTTCATCATGGTGTATGATGCTTTCAATGTATTACTTGATCTGCTTTGCTAATATTTTGTTGAGGATTTCAGCATCTATGTTCATCAGGATATTGGCTTACAATTTTCTTTCGTTGTAGTTTCTTTATCTGGTTTTGGAATTAGAATACTGGCCTCTTCAATGAGCCTGGGAGTCCATTCCTCTTCTTGAATTTTTTGGAATAGTTTGAGAAGTACAGGTGTTAGTTTTTTCTTTGAATGTTTGGTAAAATGTACCCGTGAAGCCACCTGGCCCAGGACTTTTGTTTGTTGGGAGTTTTTTAATTACTGCTTCAGTTTCATTAGTTTTAATCGGCCTATTCCGATTTTCTTATTCTTCCTAATTCAGTTTTGGAAGATTGCATGTTTCCAGGAATTTATCTACTTCAATCAAGTTGTCCAATTTGTTGGCTTATAGTTGTCTGTAATATTTTCTTACACTCATTTGTATTTCTTTGGTGTCAATTGTTATTTCTCCTCTTTCATTTCTGATTTTATTTGGGTCCTCTCTCTTTTTTTCTTGATGACTCCTGTTAAAGGTTGTCAATCTTATTTACCTTTTCAAAGTACCAGCCCTTAGTTTCACTGATCTTTTATATTGCTTTTTTAGACTTTACTTCTTCCTTCCTTCTACTCACTTTGGGCTTTGTTTGTTCTTGTTCTAGTTCCTTGAAGTATAAAATTAGATTGTTTATTTGAGATTTTCCTTATTTCTTGAGGTAGGCCCATAATGCTATGAATTTCCCTGCTTTTGCTGTGTCCCATAAATTTTGGGTTGTGTGTTCTCATTTTCATTTGTTTCAAGTCATCTTTTGATTTCTTCCTTGATCTCTTTGTTAACCTATTCATTATTTAATAATGTTATTTAGCCTCCATGTTTGTTTGTTTTTCAGTTTTTTCTCTAGACATTGATTTCTAGTTTCACACCATTATGGTCAGAGAAGATGCCTGATATGATTTCAGTCTTCTTAAATTTACTGAGATTTGTTCCTAACATGTGGTCTATCCTAGAAAATATTCCATGTGCACTTGAAAAGAATGTGTATTTTGCTGTTTCGGGGTGAAATGCTCTGAAAATAGCAATTAAGTCCACCTGATCTAGTGTGTCAGTTAAGGCTGCTGCTTCATTGTTGATTTTTTGACTGGAAGATCTATCTATTGACTGCAATGGGGTATTAAAATCCCCCTCTATGACTGTATTACTATCAGTCTTTCCCTTTATGCCCATCAAGATTTGCTTTATATATTTAGGTGCTCCCATGTTGAATGCATAAATGTTTACAAGAGTTATATTCTTTTGTTGGATTGCGTCCTTTATCGTTATGTAGCATCCTTCCTTATCTCTTATTATAGCCTTTGTTTCAAAGTCTATCTTGTCCGATACAAGTATTTGTACCGCAGCTTTTTAAAAATTTTCATTTCCCAAAACACTCCCTGTAGACTGTAAGCTCTGCAGCCTTAACAGATATTAAACCGTAAAGGGTGGGGGGGGGGCGGTCAGGGCTGAGGGGACTATAGTTAAATTAATTTGGGAAACTTTGTTAAACAGGTTTATTTAGTCTTCTCACAAACTTAAGAATGTTATTGTATGTCAAGATTCGGGGGGCATGAGTTGGGGGTATTGGATTGATTGAAAGTGTTTTCTAGTCTTCCTTGACCACAAAATCCATTTTGAATGAACTGGCACTCAATTGACCAAACCTTATTAACTGCTAATCAAGAATCAGTATCAATTTGTGTGTGTGTGTGTGTGTGTGTGTGTGTGTGATCATGAGTTTAGTGCCCATGTGGTTTGAAGTAAATGATGATTGCTTTTGTGCTAAAATGGCGTGACTCTAAAAATCTTCCATGTAGTTGACGCTATCATAAAACATTCTTAATTTTCATACAGCGTAAGGCATCCTGAAAGTATCTTAAATCTCTAATTTTGTTCTGGAGGCTATTAAAGAGGGTAGATTTGGGGAAATGGGTAAGGAAAGCAAATAAAACCTATCATTGAAACAAAGTATAACTACCATATGGTCAAGGGGTAGGTCTAGACTCTACTCCCACTGCTACCACCAATGAGTTACCAGATTGTGGGCAAATTACTTGGTCTTGGTGTGCCTCAGTTTACTTGTGGAGAAAATATTATTATCTACTTTCTAGAGCTGTGGTGATGAATAAATTGCTTAGAACAGTGCAGGGCACAATGAGATAATATGTCTGCTGTTAATAACAATAACAACACGTAACATTAAGCACACACTAGGAGTTTCCTAAGAGATTCTTTAAATGTGTACTTACCTCCTGGCTAGACTTACATACCTATAACTCAAAATTTATAAATAATGTTCTAATATTTTGACATACTATTGTATTTTCAAAGGAATCTACTTTTCTTACTCCAGATGTAACACTTACACACTTCAGCACAAAGTTTATTACATGTCGTATTATAAAACTGTACTTACTATTACAGACTAAAATACATAAAGTAGGAACAAGTTTAATTTAAAGTTAATCTATGATTCTTACTGGATTGGTTATACATATAAAATAAAATTTATTATATTTCAAAAATACAAAATGGTTAAAAGTCTGTTTACCTCCTCCTATTAATACAATAGTTCTTTATATGATTAAAAACAGTTATTATCACTAGAAATATTAAATTCTACTTACAGTGCTCATGACATTTTGCCAAATTTTCTAGGTCATCCACATGATAGTAATCATAACCTGATGTTCCCAAAACTTCAAATGGCAAATATCCTATTATGGGTGGTGCCCTAAATTACATATAAAACAGTGTTATAACTTTTTCCATAATGAGGGATATTCCAACTAGAAATCAATTGGAATAAAAATAAAGGGAACCTTTATTTTTTGAAAAATGGATAATGGACTTAATCATCCAAATTAGAAAACGTTTGTCCTTGAAATCCATTAATTTAAACAATCATATGACTATTACTTTTTTATGAAATTTAAAAATGGAGTTACCTGTGATCTAGAAATAGAAATTTCCATTCTAAACTATGTCTAGATGTAAACTCTTCATTGGGTTCCTCAACAGTGCACATTTCCTACAAATAAATTAGTAATTAAAATTCAGAAATACTTTTCTGTCCTAAGAAAAATGCTAAATACTGTTAGCCATAAAAGTCATTGATAGATAACTTTTCCCTAAGCAATTTTTTAACATATTTTAATTTCTAGTACTAAAAATATGGCAATAAATAAATGCAGGCGTCTAGGGGAGTACTTCCTCTACACATTTCTCCATTCAATCACATGCCTATAAACCCTAATTCTGAAGTCAACTCTCTCTCCTGAACTACAGTTCCATATTTCTAACTGTCTGGATGTCCCCACACATCACCAACTCAATATTTCCTAAAATGAACTTACTGCTTTATTCCTTATATCCAGTTAAAACAATTCTCCATCTCATTACAAAATATACCTGTATCGTACCAATACAATAGTCCAGCAATCTGAGTCACAATACACTTTTGTTTTCACCTTTCACCATCTAAATGCCTACTACTAAATCCTCTCAAATTTACTTATCTAAGTTTAAAAAATCCATTTGATCCCATCCATCTTCGGTATCTCAGTTTAGATTCTAGTCCCTTGCCATCACCAGTTCACATTACTGCCACAGCATCTCTCCAAACAAGTCTCCTTGTCCTTCATCCCATCTTCTATTTTGGCCACAATTATCTCACTGATACCTAAATATGATTGTATAACTTCCCGGCCTAAAACCTAAATGGTTCCTTATTCTGTTAGCATAAAGTTTAAATCTTCAGCATTGAGAAACAAACAAGAAAAAAAGAAATATATTTCACTTTTGGCCTCTGCTTACTTTTCTAACATCATCTCCCACAATCACCCCCCCCCCCCCCCAACACACACAGTAACCCTAGACTCTAGTCATACTCAACGCTGTATTCCAACCTGCCTCTGTGTCCTTGAATGACCTTATATAGCACAACGCAGTGATTAAGAGTTTGGACTTGGAGAGAAAAAGAATTACAGTCAATTCCAGCTCTACCACTTAATAGCTCTGACTTTGAGACAGTAACTTTTAACTTCCCTAAGCCTCAGTTTCTTTCTATATAAAATGAGGATCACACTAGCATCTATCTTATAGGGTTGTTTTAAGAATTAAATGAGATAATGCATGTATAGTATACAGCATGTAATAAGCACTTAATATTATCCACAGCTATTATTTCCTAAGATTAAAACAAGACAGCGGAGACTGGTTTAAGATCTTCTAACTGCTAATTCAGTAATTTGTCCTATAAATATGGTATCTCCCTAAATTTAAAATCTTAGGCTTACTTCCAGCCACTGTCTTCTCATCGTTGAATTATTTCACCTGCCCATTTCCCTACTAATCATCTGCTTGTAAGACACATGAAATAAAAACAAATTATCTAATTTTAAAATTGAAAAGGTAAATTACATGTAAAAAGCCACTTGTATATTTCTAAAGAAAATTCCAAAAACAATCTTTAAAATTACCTACATTTTTGGCCTTTTCCCTTTAATGTAGGTTATGAACTATACAAAAAAAGCATACTAATATTTTACACAAAAGCAGGACAACAGTGATATACAGCCACTGGTTAGCTGCAAAGGATGTATATTTCAAAATGCAATTCTATAATTTAGTAAGTGCCTTGGTAAGTCATTATTGGCTTCAAAAATATCATGATCATGTATATTTAAAGACTCATGGCTATCACTGCCTTTAATGTTTTCATGAAATTTCAGTTATTCTGGAAACAGCAAAAAAATACATAAAGGCTGTTCTCAAAATATGAAATTAAATCCCATTTAGGAAATAAAATTAGAAACATACCTTGATGAACTGAGGTGTAGCTAATCTGACAGTAGCTACAAAACAAACTCTATCTTCATAAGAAGGCCTGTGTGTGCGTTGTATAGTTCCTTCAAAACCATTGTGCGCTGAAGTAGTTACTAAAACAAAAAGGAAATATGTTATCACTTACTCCAGTAAAATCTAGTTATTATTGATGTTCAAACATTAATGTCATGTATTTGATAGCATGAAAGAATACCAGATTAAAATACATTTTAAGAGAAGAGTCAAACTCACCATTGTTTAAAGATTTGAAATTTCCTATAAATTTCACATATTCATAGGTAGATGGCTCCTTTGGGTCTATTGTTCCTCGAAGCATATGACAACAGAATTCTAACTGATTTTTTGCTGAGTGGGAGAAAAAATATGATATACCTGTGATTTATCAAGAGTGCTGTATCACATGAAATGATTATAAAAGTTGTGTAAGTTTATAGCATTTTCTCTAACAGGAGCCCCTCAATGACATCTTATTTAGTCCGTAAAAGTAGAGTAGTACTGTAAAAGTAGTACCTTTTTTGGAGAGGATCTCATATTCTTAATAGAGAAAATAGATCTTCTGATATAAGCAATTCTGTATTTCCCTATGTTTATCTGTCCTTCCTTCTCATTTTTCACTCTAATTTCAAAGAAAAGTTTTGCTTCCCATTTTAAGTTAATGCCTCTATGTCTACCATGAACAGACGATTTTCTCTGGGACCAGGACACACCACTGTTATTCATTCCTTTAGCATCCACACATTCTCTTTCTTTGAGTCATTTCTTTCTACTTTTAAATTTGTTCCCAGTCTCAAATTTTTCTCATCTCCTTCTGATAGGCTACCTACCCATTGACATCAAAGGTATACATTCATACATACTTACGTAGACATATGTGTGTGTGTATGTGTGTGTGTGTATCTCAGTTCTTGGACAGTTTTCTATAGAATTTGAGAATTCAAAATACCAAGAAATTTTCAAATAATTAGTATCGGTATTAACAGAAAAGTCAAAATTTAAAAATCATGAAAAAAGTGATTAAAGAAAATACCTAATGACCAAATATAATGTTATAATAATTGCAGATTTTATAGAGGGTAATTCAATAAAGAAAATAAGGTATTCTGGTCAAATGAATCGAGGAGAAATGTCTGATTATACCATAGTATTTATTTTTGTACATCTCAAAGGCAGAAACTTATTTTTCACTGCTCTTGGCACTTCTATGATACTGCACAAGTGTATGGCACATAAGATATATCCAATAAATTATTAATTATTAAAGTAAACAATTTTGTTTATTTAATAATTCTAGCCTGACTGGTGTGGCTCAGTAAATTGAGCACTGGCCTATGAACTGAAAGGTTGCTGGTTCGCTTCCCAGTCAGGGAACATGCCTGGGTTGCGGGCCAGGTCCCCAGTTGGGGGCATGCAAGAGGCAACCAGTCGATGTTTCTCTCCCTCTCTTTTTTCTTCCCTCTCCTCTCTCTAATAATACATACATAAAATCTTTTTAAAAAAATTCTTAAAAATATAGAAGCTATTTTTTTCCCAGTTTCAGTGGCCAATTGGTTGATTATAGTGAAAATGAAAATGTGTAACTTTCTCTCATTACATAAAATATTTTATTTAAAAATTAATAAAAATATATTACAAAGTTCCATTTTTGTGTAAAATACAGTTTTATGGCCTAAATAGTCTAACAAGAAAAAAAAAGGGATTTCAATATACTCTGGAATAGAGTTCAGACTTTAAAATACAGTAATAATTCCATATTATATAGTTTTTAAATTTTAAAATGATCTAATACGGTATATGGATCAATGCTATGTGTTAATTAGTTAAACGTGTCTGTGTTTGTCACAAAATTACAAAAGCAAAGTATAACATGACCAAATATATTTAGCTTTTAGCATAACAGTTACTACTTACATTTTAAATATTCAGGGGTTAATGAGTCACTTTCCAGCAGATGGGTAGAGAGTATTTTATAAACCTCTGAATGTTCCCCCTCTGGGATAAAATTAAATATACTTTGATCCACAAGATCAGACTGAAAAAGAAATTTAAGAAAATAACTTTAGTGATTCATGAGACATGCATTTTAAGAGTATATAATCACTCTTAAAACAGCAGGTGAATATGTGATTAACTTTTGATTATTTGTGAAAACTGACAAACATCAAGTTACAGAGCACAGCTCTGAAAACAAGAGAGGGTGGAAGACAAGACAATCGCCATGCCTCTGATACTAGTGTCTCCATCAGGTCCATGATCAATATGACCTGGAAAGTCTGATAAATGATACACAAAGGTAAATTTCACCAGATTTGAACATTTAAAATATAACAGGACTAAGAAAGTTGATTAGAAAAATCTTTGGCTACAAGATATAGCCCTACCAAATATCCAAATCTCTGGTAATTTATGGTAGTATATACTACAACAATGGACCAAAGGACTAGCCACAGGCTAAGCAAAGCGATTTGACTTTTGTGTCATTTTAGTTGTCCAAAGTGTCCTTTCTCTTTTATTTCATCTTTTCCAGCCATCTATATACCCTGTGTCCCATTGTTAAAAAGCCCTGCTGTTAGTTACCCCTCCCCACAAAGGACAAGTAATACGTCAAACATTGTAATTCTTGCTTAAATATGACTTTAGTTATGATTCATTAATCAACTGTAATTTGACAAACAGCAGGGTGCCTAAAATATGCCATGGCTATGGAATCAAAGATCAGTATGACAATTCCTATCGTAAGGACCACTGACAACAAAACAAATCAGTGACCTCATATTTTCTACCAAATCCAGTCTATTCTATTTGGTTTTTCTAAATTTTCAAGTTGCTCTGAGGAATCCTGGGGATAGTGAAGTGGTATCTCAAGGACCGTGGAGGTAACGGTGGAGGGCAGAAGTGAAAAGGAGCTGCGAAGGCAGAGCCAAGGGTCTTTCTTGCTGTATTCACAAAAGCAGCTCCACTTTTATCTTGTTTATATTTTAAACATTGTAAAAATTTGTTTGAAGAAACAGCTTCACAGCCTAAAAAACAAAACCCTCCAATAACAACAACAACAAAAGACAGCCTAGCCTCTACGGAGGTGGGAGGTGGGAGAAGAGTTTTTTGATACTCTCTGTATGAGCAATATATTCACATTTCTTTCCTCCAGCCCTCAAAGTTCACCCCATGAAATGGAACAAGTCTTCCCCTTTCTCCACATTCTTGTGCCCTCCAACTTGCAAAGAACCAGTTAACATATTTCCTTCAAAAATATATTCTCTTAATACCACAATCCACAGTAAAAAAAATAAAATTCCTTCAGTAGTTATTATTTCTATCATTCATTTCCCATTAAAAATGTCTGTCAATTGTATTTTAATACCTATGTTCTACTGCCCTAGGTTAATTAAAGGACCTATCTTTTATATTTTATCTCCTTCCCTTCAAATCAAGGCACATTAACAGAGTGCATTGCATGTAACAGTTATTAGTACAAAAAATGATTCTAAATGGAGGAGTTATTTGGTAAAGGCTTATGTGGGAACCAAACTAAAAATACATCTGTATTTTAACAAGAATTTTTTTTCTCGAAGTCTGAAAAGGCTCTAGAAGTTATGCACTGAAAATTCAGGCATGTGTAATGCAACTGATAGAAAATTGCCTTTTATTGACAAAATAAAATAGAGGCATTGATAGTAATGTTAAAATTAGTTTTAACAAAAAAATAAGAACCAAAACTTTCATTTTGGGAATGATTATAGCTTTCTACTATTATTTATTCTCACTGACAATTTCTTTAACTATTTCAGTAAATTATAAATTTACTTATGTTACCCTTGCTTTTCCAGCTATAAACTGATAGGTGTTTCATATTCATAGAGAAAAGAATATGAATGGTTAGTACAGAGAGTGGTAGGATCACCAGTACTGCTTCCACCATTGTACTTCCCCTGAAACTTTATTGTCTGAAGTATCAGTTAGCAGGCAACTAATTAATTAACTAATGAGTCAAATTTTCCATTAACCACTACACTTAAAATCTCTAAATGAAGCTAATCATACTTGATATTGCCATTCCATCCACTCAGTTCCCAAATATAAGTCAAAGGGAAAGGAAAAAAAAAAAAAGACAACTATCTTGGTCCTTTTATCTCCTTTAATCATTTTCATGAAGAAAAAATGTAACTTCTATTGACTTACTTATATGACATAAATCAACAACCTGTTTTTTCTACATTTGGTTAATGCGATTGTTTTGTGGAAATTATGATCTGTTACGAATTATCTTTTCCCTCAGGTAGACAACTGATAGTTAAATAACTGCTGTACAGAGTTGCTGCTTAGAAAGGACTGAAAAATCCTCTGAGAAAAAGTTAAATATATGTTGAATATAACATGTTTTTAAACAACTGTGTTCCTTATGTACAGGCATAAAACATTCTGGCCCTAACAAATACACTTCCATAACTTTTATATAACTATCCAAAAAAATTCTATACTCTATTTCTACATACCGCAGATAAACACTGTACTGACTTTCTTAAAACACATTTGTGTTTGTATTTCCAAACTATCAAGTTAAGAAGAGTAGAAAAGGCTCACCCAGTATCTTAATAGTGGCCCTTTTAGTCCTGGACCCTGTTAAGTGTAATGTGGTTAATTATCTTTCCTATATTACTTGGTTATAAATCTAATATATTCTTTCTGAGGAGCACAGTTAAGCAAGTGTGAGGAAATCAATCTTTAGTTGTAAAATTTTACAGATATTAAGCTTGCAATGTAAGTAAGACACCGACTTTGTGTCTTGGAAGTTCCACAAGTGTTGCACAGTTAACTCCAATTTCTCCGGTTTCATGTTTCTTGCTGATAACACACAGGGACTAGGCTAAGGATGTCTAAAATCATTTCAGGCATTAAGGTGGCATGACCCTGTAATTTAGTCATACAAAGCCAGATCAGGAGGAAAAAATCTGTAAGTTTCCTTTCCAATCTCAAAATGAATAAAGCATTTCTGCTCAATTATCAGCCATAAAAAGGTTAAAATATACTTGATTTACTAAGTATGTACTGACAAAGAAAATATTTTATTTTGCAGGACCTATAGAATCAGTCTTGCAATGTTATAATCAGATTTAAAATTTAAATCATACTTTTAAGTCATATTAATCACCGATTAAGATGGGAAGTTTTAATTTCTCAACAAAACTGAATTATAAACACTAAAGCCAAACTTAGGGATTTGCTAATGTTTCATCCCTTCTTGCAACAACCAAAATTCTATTTTAAACAACAGGTGTGTATATTAAAACACAAAGAATGGGACATGATTGTTTTAAAGTTCTGTTTAGCATCTATCATAAGTTTAATTATTAATGACAACCCAAAAAGAGAAAATCACATATTTTCTCCTCATGTTTGATCCTAAATATTATTCTTCTCAAAAAACACTTGTTTCCTTTTGTTCCCCCTAAAAAAACGCTGTGTTTATATTTTTAAGCCATCAAGTAGTATTCAATTCAGCAATGTCAGGGATGTGAAAGAAAGTGTTCGTAGTAACTGGTGTGCGGAAAAAACTGTATCAATAAAGGATACTATTAACTTAGTATGGAATGAAATGGGTCTACTGGAGCGAAGCAGCAGCAATCTCCTCTGCCCAAAAATTCATCTGCCAGTCTATGTGCTTTGGCTATTACAAACAATTAAAAAGATCTAGATAATGTTAATAACAGAGGAAACTGGGTATGGGTCATATGGGAACTCTCTGTACTATTTACTTAATTTTTCTGTAATCTAAAAACAGTTCGAAAATAAAAAGTTTTTTCAAAACTCCAGGATGAAATGGAAAGGCGAAGAGGGTTTTCATTGAGGGGGGAAATGTTAATGATCAAACGCTTAGATCCCAACTAGATCTGTCACGTGTTATCTATTTCAAAAATCAATTAAACTTTATCTCACTAAAGAGTCAACCTCTGTGTGCCATTAGAAAAGAATTTTTAGAAGTCACATCAAATAGCCTACTCATTTTTATACATTCCATAAAAAATTATTGAATGCCTCTCTGAGAAACTAGCTAGCCCATGTAGATACAGAGATAACAATCTCTGCATTTAAGAAGCATACACCTACCATAATTATCCTAACAAACAGAAAATTACAATCCACCATGTCACAATGGTAGTATGTATAAGGTAATATGAGAACAGAGGGGAAGGACATGTAATTCTGAATGAAGTTCAAGGAAAGCGCTTAAGAAGCAGGCTTTCACACTGTAAGTGATGCTCTGATTATGACTAAATTTAAAAAAAAATTAATTAATAAAAGGTTGCATAGTTTCTATAAATAATGAAAAGAAAACCTACACAATTGTATATTGTTAAAAAGCATATAATTATATTTAAATTACTCAATCTTATTTTAATATCTTAATCCTACAGTGGGTTTCTTTCCCTAGCTTTTTTCACTATATAATTTCTAAAAAAAAAAAAAAGAGCTGCCCAGAATATTCAGTCAATCAATCTGTCCTTTTCTCTGCCCATACTAGTTTACTTACGTATTCTATAATCTCATTGTTTACTCTCAAACAATTTTTAGATGTTGTGCTCATCACCTACTATTTGAGCTTATTGTTAAAGCCTCTAGAAAAGCAGTAAAGCCAAGTCATTTTCTCTGTGACCCAAAGAAATAAAAAAATTACTTACTGGGTTGCTTTCCATGAAAAAATTAATCTTTTACAATCTGGTCTTTTAAAGACAGTATCTGTTCTCTACGTAAAATTATGAAGTGGCAGAGTGCTTGGAGGGAGAAAGATAGTGCTTTTCAAAATCTTTTGAAAGAGCCCTTTACAAAACAGGTACTTTGTATTGTTATAAATTTTAAACAGACAGACACTGTAAGTGTAATTTATAAGTAACTGTAGAATATTTATGCTGCAAGCCCTATCTTAGATAAGAACATTACATATTAAATAAAACTTCAAATTCATTAAATCTATTAACTGCAGCAGAACACCTAACAATGTCTAGCAGAGAGGTGGTGTTCAATAAATATAGGCTTAGTAAAAGAACAAAAACATTCTGGTATTCACCATCTTAATTAAAAACTAATTTAATTGTTTAAATTAGTTTCTAATTTTGTATCCTTAAGGTCGTATTGGTAACAAATTGAATATGGCCATTATAGCATTATCAATTCAAGCCACATAGCACAAAAGTTCTGCACTTATTATTTTTAGTGTGTTCTTTTAAGTCATTCTTTTGAGGAAATTATTTGAGTTCCTCTAGCTGCAACTAGTTATCTCAGTAGAAATTTAGTTATTCTCAAGATATTCTCAGTGATTTAGCAACATCGTAGCCAAGCTAATAAACAAGGAAACACTGAAAACTTTGCACTAGAAAAAAGATGGCAGGAGGAACAGAGGTTAGATAAAACAATCATTGAATAGTTACTACAGATTACAGAGTCATGACTGAACTGAGAAAACATAGCCATGTCAAAATAAAGACGTATTTTGAGCTCTCCTCCCCACTCTTCTTATTGTTCAACACTGCTCTGGAGGTACATTTCCTAGTGCTTTACAAAGTTTATAATAGGCATTAAATAAGAAAGAAATCACAGGATTTTTATACTCACTGGTAAATGTTCAAGTAATGAAGTTACACTCTCAGACACATATATTATGCTTCCATCTGTCATGATTGCTAAAAAAAAACCATCAAGAGCCTGAAATTAAACATAATGGTCAGTTAAATGAAAAAAGTGTTTCATAGGACAGAAATAAAAATCTAACTTACTAAATAACAAAAACTGTAATGTGGAAATTTCCAGAACATAATCAAAATGCTAGCTTTTCCACTTTACAATACCATAGTATAGTACATATTTTTGTGCATTTAAAAATGCTATTGGAGGAAAAAACATCACTCTATGGCCATCTATTGAACAATTGGTTTCTAAAAGATATTTAATGTTCTATCTTTATCATTCACACATTATATGAAGATGGACTTATTTGAAGATGCTAATGTCTCCAAAGCACACATGCCATCAATATGTCTTTGGCATACACAAAAAATACCTTATCACCTTTTGTATATATCAACAAAGAGGTGTAGGATTGATCTGTAGGGAAATACATGAGGAATAAAGTGAAATGGAAACAAAGCTGAAAATGTAGGCTAAGGTCAGATCATGAAAAACCTTAGAGTACCAGGTTAAGACATAAGGACTTTATTCAAGGGTAATCTGGAAGTAGTGTGTAAAATGGATTTAGAGGGAAAAAAATTAGGAAAATTAAGTGAGGGAAAAAAATTAAGTTAGGAAAATCTTTTGGAAGTTAATGAGATTGTGAATGAAATTAGGAGTGTTAAGAATAGAAAAGAAAGGACTACAGTTCAATAGAGAAGCCAGTGCAGGGGATACAATACTTAAAGTGATTCTGCACTTTATATATTATAAATTACTTTCATTTGAGAATCTCAGGCACAAAAGTGACAGCTGAAGAAGTACAACCTGCATATCTGCATGCCAGACAAATTCTTGAGGGAATTATCTACATGCAGGGGTGAGAAGGTTAAATACCAGAGAAAATGACAGAGAAGATAGAGTACACTGTTGAAGAGGAAGTCACTATAAGAGAATATGACAAGGGGAATGAGAAGGAAGAGGTTGGTTCAGTGTAAAATGAGCTCAAATAGGATGAAAATGAGAAATGAATTTTGTGACTTTCAAAAGAGGTAGCAATAGGAAAATTAGTCAGACTACAATGAATTTAGAGATGAGTGGATGATCAGAGCACATTTATAAACCACTCTACCAAGAACTTCATTAGGAAAGGAGAGATGAAAGTTTTAAGAGAACTAATTATCAAGGAAAAATCATTTTAAAAATTTAAAAAAAATTTAAAAAAAAAACCCACCGAAGTATATTTGCAGGCTTAGGGAAAGGAAAATCCAGTGGGGAAGATGTTGAAGATATACAGCAGAAAAAATAACAAGAGGAGTTTCTCCTCTACCAACACAGTTACCACATTACATTTGCATTTATTTAATTATAGGGCTCTCTCATAGGAAAGCAATCTCTGGTAAGAACCATATTTATCTTCTTCAACATTATAGCTGCAGCATTTAACATATGTGTAGCACTCAGTAGATAAAAAATAATTTATGGAGCTGGGAGTTAAAGCAACCTCCCTCTATTTCTAAGTAATTGTTGAAATATATGTTGAATGTATAGAAAAAGGTACCCCCACCTCTCTTTCTACCGGGGGAAAGATTTAGATATTACAAAGAACTTACACTGAGTAGATGACTACCTTCTAAAATGGCTCAGACAAACCCCATCCTTAGCTAATGTCAAAGAAAGGGATAAAAACCCCTGTAATTTATGCAAATTTATGAAATTATTTTTACAAAAACTTAGTATAATAATGCCAGTTATTAGTTAATAAGGAAAAGGGTCAAAATGTTGTCATTAAGAACTAGCTTTTCTCATGTGAGGCTATAATGTATCATTTTTGAAAGCAAATTAATATTTACTATGATGATCTGTATTTGCTCTTAGGATATGCACTAAGAATCAAGGTGCCAGCTCTCTTGTGTAAAGAGAATGAACTGAAATAAGAACTCTTAATGACTTAATCCCTCTCCTAGGACTACAGCCTGCCCTTTCCTCTTTCAAAGATTAAGCAAAGCCTCCACCAGTATATCGCCAAATTCTAAAGACAAGTAAGGACCCAGGGTCCAGATTTCCTTTGAGTGGAGGGATTTAACTTCCCAAGCAGGTAGGTGGGTACACCAAAAACTAAAGGGACCCTGAAAGGGGCCTTGAGGAGGAAGATTAGAGACATGGAAGAGGAAGCAAGCCAGACAAGGACATCCTCATCCCAAGACTGAAGACTGTGAAGATTATCCCTCTTCCATACCGTATGGTGTAAGGTAAAAAAAAGGCTAATTAGTTCAAACTAGTCTTCCTATTGGATACCTACTTGGCCCACAATAAAAGGACTATGTAAACCTTCTTTATCAGTGAGTGTTTAATCTGGGGAAGACTGAAATGGAAGTTCTAGGGAAGGGGATAGAACCTCCTTGTGGATCTATAGCTAAAATGAAGTTGACAGGGCACTAGCCCTTCCCTTGTGCATTACAGAGAGAGAGGCCAGCTTCCAAGGGAAAGGACAAGACACTAAGAGATGACATCACATAAAGATGACTTTCACAGAGGTCAAGCTAAATTGCCCTGATTCAGAGATAAGCAGATGATCAGAGGGCATACTCTCTACCTCCCCCTCCAAGGGTTACAAAGAATATTCCTTGCAACACAGTAAAGAGAGGGAGAAATGTATGGCAACAGAGAAATGGAGAGAAAAACGGCCAACACATAAGTTATAAGTGAATTTGAAGATCTCAGTCCTAGTCCTTCCATTAATTAGCTATCTCACCTTGGACAAGCTGCAGCTTCTCTAAGCCTCATCCATAATATGAAGAGGTTGAGGTGAATGATCTGTCTTCTACTAGCAGCACTAACATCTCAAGATCAAGATATAGCCTACATCTGAAATTTTGCTGAAAATGGTTATCTATATACTACCTATAATCTGATGAACGTGACTAGCCAACAGTAACACATCTAGGTTAGTTGGACCCAGGTTGCAAAATACACACATATTTATGTATAGTCTTTAATGTTGGCATATGAATGTTAGAATACATATTTACTTAATAAATACTCACTAAAAATGAAAAATATGTTTGACATTAAAAATAAATAAAGGTAACATTTTTCAGGAATATAATATTAAAAGCTGTGAGGATAATCATGAGACAACTTACTTAAATATTTAAATTTTCTGTTGCATTTTATAAATATTTTATTTTATACTAAATATGTACTACATGTGTCTCACATTAAGAAAGATCTGACCACTGTAAAAAAATTAAAAACAATGCTTTTCTGTTCAGCTCATTAATAAACTGGTAATTTACCTTCATTAAGGTTATTAATGAGTGTAGATAATTATGGAACTTTACAATTATAAGAAATTTTTCATACCAATGAAGCAGTATAAGTAGTTAATGATTACCACACAAGATCTTAAACAACTGTACTGAGAACATAATCATAAAATTAGAGTAACCAAATGAGTTATTTCCTTTGTTGTAGACATTAGCTTTCATAAACACACTACTTATTACCTAAAGAGATAATTTTGGACAACGGGAAGCTACTTTTTAGAAAAAATATTTAAAAAAATCAGAAACTATCTTTTGGTTTACAGTTCACTAATTTAAAGACCTAATTGCTGGTTACTAAGCTGCAAGTGCTGTGCCATGGCTAGCATTCATTGGAAAGAAGTTTCACAGGTGCTGAGGCCACAGGATCAGAGAGGCTAGTTTACCTGCAAAAAGTCCCAGCTGACCTACTTACTAAATATTACTTTGGGCAAGTTTCATAATCTCTTTGTTCTTCAATTTCCTCATCTGGCAGTAAGAAAGGGATACTAATAGTGTCTACTCCATAAGATTATAAGATTATTGCGAGGATTCACTGAGTTAATATGTGAAAAGTGATCAAGTATATTGCAGATTTTAAGTATGGGTTTAAATATATGCAATATGTTTATATTCCAACAAATTTTCATGTTAACATTTCTGCTGAATATACATATAGACTTAATCTATTAATTAACAGTTCCATCCAAGGATAAAAAGAAAAAAATAAATCAATTTCAAAATACTGTTCCTTTAGACTTCAGTCACTATACAAAAATACTTGAGACACAGTCATTACATATACAGGATTGGGCAAAAGTAGGTTTACAGTTTGTACAGAAAATAATAAATAATAATACAAGAATACCTTCTGGGTTTCACATACTCAAAACTGTAAACCTACTTTTGCCCCTCCCTGTACATACATGACACAGATAAATACTTAAAGTATAGAACAGTGGATAAAAAACTTTGTAATTTATGCAAATTTGAGATTACTTTTACAAAAAAAGCAAGATAAAAGATATAAATTATTTAATATCTACATTCCCACCTCAACTGCTTTCCTCTATTCTTGCTATGTTACTTTTTATATCTATTTTTCTTGTCCTTAACCATTTCTGCCAAAGAATACTGCCTTTATTTCCTATTTACTATTTATTTTCATGGAAATTAGATATTGAACTATGTGTACTTTGTGTGCATAGATGACATCTATATTAACCTATGCACAGAAAACAATTAAAAAGTAGAAAAGGTTAACAGGTATGAGTGACTCAAAATTCTTGTAATTTTATAATTATTGTATGAAGTTTTGAAATTATAAGCAAATACGCTCTGAATTGTTTTCAAATGCAAATTTTTCATAGAACATTTACTTTTTTCCTTTAAAAATTTTTTCTTGAATTAAAAGTTGCCTTTTTAAGTTACAGGTTTAATCCCTGGTCAGGGCACATATAAGAATCAACTGATGAAAGCATTAACAAACATAAGCAGAACGACAAATTGATGTTTCTCTCTCTCTCTCTAAAAACCAATAAAAATTTTAAAAAAGCAAGAGCTGCCTTTCAATCTATATTTCATTTGTTTCCCATTTTCAAAATACTTCATTTATTACCATTTTATGTTGTCTTTAGGTAAATTTTAATTTGTTAAAAAAATACTACTCTCAAGAGGGATCATTTCATAACATTTAATATGTGATGAGTAAGATATATTATTCTTCACTTGAATGTTGATAATGTGGTCTCAGGTAGAGATTTTGGTAGCTGTAGTTTTCTGACTTTTATTAAGCTTCTCAAAAATTCAGATAATAGTGAAAATATAACACTTTGGCATTCTTTCATCAGATAGTACTATTTGCTTACAATGCTTGCACTGAATAATTTTAAGATATAGTTTATTGATTTACATGGAATCAAAACTTTTCAACATTAAATTAATACTACTGAAACTATATTAAAATGAGTTACCCCTGTGATTTATTTTTTGAGGAAAATAAAACTTTTCAAAAAGTAAATCTGGACATACCTCTAACATTAATTGTGTAAACTCTTCATTACTAAGGAATGTAGGTTTCCAGTCCTGTCGAATTTCACTAGCATCTGACTGTGCAGTGATTTCTGTAAATAGATTATTTGACACATTAGTGGCATACTCCAACTCCAGGGTGGGCGACGGGGGCAGCACAAAGTCCTGCAAGTTCCCTTCTCCCTCCCCACTCTAATATAAGATGAAAACCATAGGCAATAACATTTATTGCTCTAGGTGGGTATCAGGAGGTCAAAGTTTTGGTATGATGAAATATTTGAACTACTATGGCATGTTATCTCCTTGGATTTGGTCTCCGGGAAATACCAGTCTCTGTTTTTTTCTCTACAAAGCTGTGATAGCCTGTATTGCTGAAAGGCTTGAGCCTGCTTCCTACCTGACATAATGACTGAACAAGATTCAGAATAAGCAGACAGATCAAGCATTAGGAAGATACTCTTTTTCCTCTTCCTTTCCTTGCTATTTAAGTGGTAGAACCTAGGGCAGATATAAGGACAAGCGACTGTAGGAAAAAAGCCAAGGACATAAGTCTGCTTTTAACAAAGAGGACTTTCGGCCTGCCTCCTACCAAACAGAAAGATTCCTCCCAATGAGACACTCTATTCTTAATTAATCAAGGAGACTAAATTAAGATTTGGGGCAAAAACTTTACAGTAATAATTCCAGGGTAATTTCATTTAGTTATCTCCTTGCATGTTTTGTTAGTGGTAGAAAGCCAGTCAAAAATTTGGAAATCCCTGGATTGGGACAATATTTTAACAAAATTATTAGTTTATTTTGTAACATACTAGTTACTAGTGGATTTAGCTATGACAAAGCTATTCATAAATGATGAAACATGAACTATTTAAGTAACATGTTTTTCCATTTTCAAATTCAGGCATATTTTAAAAACAGGCAAAACAAAAATCTATGTCATAAATTTTACTCTACAAAATATACACTACTTTGCAGTAAAAACTGGACTGAGTTGTTCAGATTTTTCTATGACCAGGTATAACTATAGCATATTAAACTGTCACCCAAAGTCTTCCATATTAAAAATGCCTTACTAGAATATGAATAACTAAAAAGTCTAGTTACCAATTCTGTGGAATATAGTCATACGTTGTCAAATTCACATTAATTATAAACATTCAGGAAAAAAAAAAGTTAAATCCACAAGCAAATCCCATCAAGGTTGGTGGAGCACAGATTTATGTAATAGTAATAATTATATAAGAATTGCCTTCCAATTTCAGGTAAATTTTATTTTTATGAAAATTTTATAGCCAATTTTGGGGGAAAAAAGAAAACCCTGGTCTACTTAATGCAAAAATTAATCCTCTACTGTCGGGGGAAATGTGTATTATTTCATTTCATTCAACAATCATTTATTGAAATACAATGTATGAAGGGCTGAGTGTACTATCTAATAAGAGACACTAAGGTAGTAAGAATACTATTTGTAGAGGTAAAATGTAAAGACAATAATGACAATAAAAATGAAGACAATTTTGATACATTTACAGAAGAATTAAGAGAATTTGGCAACTGTGACAAAGGAATAAGGAAGCTGAAAAAAATGCAAGTCTTTTTAGGTTTGGGTCCTAGGGGAATGAAAGCCTGGTGGTGTAAAAACAGAAAAAGACTGTTGAGAGAAAGGGGTGACTTGACAAAATCAAAATTCATTCAGTGACAGATGCGTTGAATTTGGGGGCATGCAAAATAAAGATCCAGAAGTTATCTGGAAATAAAGGCTGAAAAGTTTGCATCTAAAATACTGATTTAGTAGTTTAATAGAGAGACAATAGCCGAAGCCGTGGAATGAGATAACCAAGGGAAAGAGTGTAGAGAAAGCAAGAAAAAAGATGGATAATACCTTAAGAAGTGTCACATGTAAAGAGCAGAAAAAGAAATAGGAACAACAAAGCTACTAATTTTAGTTAGGAAGAGGGAGATGAATGAAGAACTGCACTATAACACAGGCCAAGGGAAAAGAAAGCCAGTGGAGGATGGATTAAAATTCCCAGTGCTTCAAGCATGCAGCAGAAAATAAGATATGAGAAAAAGCTATTGTCTTACTGGTAGCACAGGAGGTGGGGAGTAATGGTATGAGTGAAATTAACAAAAATAATTTCAAAGAGTGGTAGAGCATGAATCAGGCTAGTAATGCATTACTGAGTGAGCCAGGGAGAAGTAAATAGAGGCACTAATTAGAAATTCTCCTTTTGAGAAGTTCTGCAGTTTCATTTACATCTGAAAAAAGGAAATGTCCTTTTACAACTTTTTCACGAATTATCTCTGTTACCAAAATACTTAATATGCTTTAAATTTTCTTTTCATGATTTATGTAGTCAAAGTGATTTCTGTAAGATATAATAACTTTAATTTAAACATAGTGTTACTTTCCTAGATATACACGGAAGGAAACAATTTTTTAAAATAATATATAAAACCCTTACAATCTGGCACTTGCCTTTCTTTCAGATATGGCCATATTTTTCCAACTCAAACTATGCTTCAGTTACACTGAACTCTCTCTGTTTCTTTGCTTTTGTACATGCTATTTCCTCTGCATGAAATGCTGTTTTCCTTACTTAATCTTAAAGGAAAACTCAGTTAAAAATATCAGCTGTTTTTAAGCCTTCCCTGACACATTCTTTCCTCTGTGTTTTCCTGACAAGTTTAAGGTTCACAAGCACTCTACCTTTTTAATTATTTGTACTGCAATTAGCTGTTTAGATGTTTGTCTCCCTTGGCTTGAGTTACTTGAGGGCCAGGACTGTTGTTACCCTGTCCATGAGAATTTAAGACATAATATACTAGGCACTAAATAAATGTTTGTTGAATAAAAGAAAAAACATACCAGAAAATCTTTCAAAAAGCAACTGACTTCTTTCTCTTAAAAGAAATGTTGGGAAGGATCCAACTTGAAGCATCACTGCCAAGATTCTATTACATTATGCTTTAAGGGAAGTCTATTTTTTTTTTAATCCATTTTACAAAGTTAAAAATTTACCTTTATGTTTTCGTAAAAAATCAATGCTTTTCTGTAGAACGGTAGATTTGTCCATCTTTCTAGCATTACCAGGAAGCATGGATCCCAATTCTTTAATGAGAACATTAAATTGATCTCTACGTTTCTTTTCAGATTTGTTTCTAGATACTCTGACAAAATAAAAAAATAGTTTTCAAACAATCCATTTAATTACACAAATAGTATAACATAATGTTCAATTTGGACACAACCACACATGTTTTTCTGTTATTGCAGATGGTTATAAATATTTATCTTCTAGTTTATCAACAATATACAATAAAAGCAATAATTTTTCTTAAAGAAACTATTACATATTAAACAGTTGGCATAAAATTTTTATGAAAATGCCAATAAGACAAAGTACATTCATAAGACAAAGTACATTCAAATCTCAGGTTTTATTTACTCTAACATTTACCAAGAATTTTGAAGTTTTCTTATAAGGTCATTATAAATATTACCAAGATACATTTTGTGACAGTACATATACTGTATAAATACAAATTATTAAAAATTATTGAAGAGAAAAAAGTTATCCATTTCCTACAAGTTTTATATTACAAACAAATCTAGAAAGGAAAATCTTCCTACCCTGAGGCTTAACCACACATTCCTCCTCTTTAATCCTATCACCCAGCCTCCAACACAGGGCTATAATCATTTGTTTGTGTATCTGTTCCTCCATTAAGCTGTGGGCTCCTTGATAAAAGAGCCCCAATTTTTTATCTAAGCACTTAAACGTAACATTTAACAAACAGGAAGCATTCAAAATATGTGTGTTAAGTGAATAATTACTAATATTCCATGTGAAGCAATAACCAGTAAACAAATACTTAGCTGCACAGAGACCTCTTGAGACAAGTATAATTCAGTACAATTATTTACAGAGCCATCTACCATTTTATAATACCTCTAATTATCTGTTTTGTGAAGTCAGACTTTAGAATTCAGTTTTTCAGTTACTCTCCCAAAATGTCAGAGGATAATTTTATGTACTTTTTGTTTGTTTTCCTATAAAGAACTAGCATTTATTCTGTATTAGTACTGGGAAAAAATACAATTGTTCAAAATTCTTAAGAAACATGATAGATATTAACTTACTCCCTCATCAAACTTTGAATGCTTGCTATAATGACAGAGACTGTGCCAGTAAGGGTTAGTGGTCCTAGAGAAAAATATCCCTCCCAAGAAATTCGCCTAATTCCTTTGGAAACTATGTATTACAGAATTGTACACTAGAAACATACATAATTTTTATTACCAATGTCACCCCAATATATTTAATAAAAATTTAAAAATTCACCTAATTCCTATAGAAAGTCAGAGGAGCCAGGGATGGCATCTGACTTTGCTGAATTGAGTCCTGAAGACTCTGTGAGAATGAGATGGTAGTGAGGGGGTGTGCAGGGCATTCCAGGCACAGGAAACCAGTACGAAGATGAAAACCTGCACAAGCAGTTCAGCATGGCTAACGTGGCTAACGTACAGGCCCAAGTGTATAGTGCACAAGTATGCTGGAGTTAGGGGATGGGTCAGAGTATTTAGTCTCTCTCTCTCTCTCTCTCTCTCTCTCTCTCTCTCTCTCTCACACACACACACACTCTCTCTCTCTCTCTCTCTCTCTCTCTCTCCCTCCCCCCCCCATAAAGTTTTATGCCACATAAAAGAATCTGACTCTTAGTTGGTGTGATTCAGTGGACTGAGCACCGGCCTGCAAACCAAAGGGTCGCTGGTTCGATTCCCAGCATAGGGCACCTGCCTGGGTTGCAGGCCAGGTCCCCAGCAGGGGGCATGTGAAATGCAACCACACACTGATGTTTCTCTTTCTCCCTCTCTTCTCTCTAAAAATAAATAAATAAAATCTTAAGGGGAAAAAAAAAAGAATTTGAGTTTAATCCTGAAAGCCATGGGAAATCACTGAAAGGTTTTAAGCAAAGAAATGACATGGCCAGAACTGCTTGTTAATAAAGACTACTCTGGCATCAGACTGATGAAAGGATCAATGCTTGGCAAAACAAATTCATCTAGCATATTACCTATCATATGCCAAACAAGACTGGCAGCCAGAAGACCATTTAGGAAGCAACTGCAATATCCTAACCTATAAATCATGCAGGGGCACTGTTAACAGAGCAGTGTGATTTTGTGGATTAAGAGGCAGAATAACCAATTCTTGGTAAACCAGATTCAGTTTGGAGTGGAGAAGCAAAAGGGGAAATCTAAGGCATCTCAAGTTACTAACAATGCTGTTTATCAATGTGATATATAAAAGGTAATATTGGTTTTGGGGGACAGATGGTTTGGGGAGAATTTAGATATGGTGAAACGGTCTGTTTTTACATAAACAAGGTACTCTGATATGTGGATCTAGTTATATTCCTCTAGAAAAGGGTAAATGAGAAATAAGCATCTATATATGAAGTAGCTGAACACATGGGTAGGGAGTAAAAATAGCTGCCAGTATTTGTTGTGTATTTATGTGCCAGACACTAAACATTTATGAAATCTCATTTAATTTCTACAATGTAGGCCTTATTATTTTCCATTTTAGAGGAGTGACAACTCAAGCATAAAGGAAAATGTGCCTAGGGTCACACAGCTACCATGAAGTAACAATTCAAATCAGGCATTCTGATTCCAGGGCAAGAAAATACATGGAAAGCTAATATCCTTGTCAGCTCTACCACTGGACCACACCTATTAAAGAAAACTTTTTACTTCATAGTAGACTTAGGTTTGAAGTAATTAGTTCTTGGAATGACCTCACTGGTAACAGGTCTCAGATTTTCCATTTGGGGAGTAGCTACAGAACTCCTTTTCTTTTGGATTCAACAGTAAAGTCTTTAACTCATCATTGTTTTCAGTCAGAAAGTTCAAAGTGGCCCCATTTAATTCTCACAGCATCATTGCAAGATTCCTTCTCTTTCTCCAAGGTTTCCCACAACAACAGTATTTTTGGTTTACTAAAATACATGTCTTTGCAAATAGAATACCCTTAGCTCGCTTTATCCATCTATAAACTTGGCCCTTAAGACTATCCAGGTCAATTCCTTAGAGGTCAGCCTTCTCATTCAGGCAAAACTGATGATTCCCATCTTAGAGACTTTATCTCTACCCTGATGATTTTATAAGAACTTTTCTCCACTAGATTGAGGTTAATGGATAGGGGCTGTCCTATATTCTTTTAGCTTCCAATACAGGTCTTTTTATTTCCTTGAATAAAGTTACAGCTTCCCTCAAAATCTTCTTAGCTATACTCATATTTTAATCATTCATTAAAGTACTTAGCAATTTATGTGGTTATTGTGAATATTTCCCTCATCCCAATACCTTCTTTTTGCTAAATACATACATTTAGGAACTATTACATATTACATGTTTATCTTTTGTATCTGGGTGTGATGATACAACACCTCTACTCTTGTCTGAGCACCCATATAGTTCAACATGGCTGGAAAAGACCGAAGTATTTACTACTTACTCTCAATGACCCCAGACTTTGCTGTACAGCTACCTGGACCATCCCTCCTAGTACTATAATTAACTGTCAAGGCCCCTATTTGAGGCCAGAGCCCCAACTGTCACCATCATGGCTCTGGATTCCATTCCCTCACCTCCTTGATGACACCTCTAAAACAATTCTTCCCTCCCGCTCTGTATTATCTACTTTCCCTTCTACTGAAGACTGGAGGCATGTCATAGCACACGGGAGCCAAGCATGAAAAACCTCCCAATGGCCAAAGCTGGAATAATTTGAGCAAAAAATAAAATAGCACTGAAGTAGAACCTAAAGTATAAAATAAGTATATTTAAGTCCATACAGGTACAAATAAGTAGGAGAGAGAATTTATTTTTACAGAAGAATTGCAAATATGTGTAGAGGTAAAGCTTAATTCCCCCAATCCCTACTCTGAAGGTCCCTACACTTAACTTACTTCAAAGAATTAAGAGAAAAATAGTAACTACAGTGGTGAATCCAGGCAAATCTATTTTAGCCAAGTGATGAAGGTTAACGTCCCCAGAGATGACATAGAGATACTATGGTTTCCATAATATATCTGATGAGAAAAGCACATTTAGAGGATAACTTTATTTAACTTATAAACTGGGTACTAACATTCCAAGCTCTTCCACCTAATTATTAAACACTAAGTTTTAAGGCAGAGAGCTTTTGAAAAATCAATGATTTACTATTTTTAATATTACTTCTTATTCAATTATTTACTATTTTACATCTTGAGTTACCTTTTTGCTTTATCCTTGTCATCTTCTTCCACCAACCCATCAAAAAGACTACCATCATCTCTAAAAAGTGGAGAGAAAAAATTAGAGAAGGATCATTACACAACAGCAACACGAAAATGACATGTGAATCAAATCAATTATATCCTAGAGTTTTATAAAGTTAATGGACTGTACAAATTCAAATTCTGTAACTATTAACCTGTTTTTTAATACATTTTAGAAAATTAAAGTTAGCCATTTTTATTACATTTTTAAAACTTTGTTACAAATGTGAATTTTAAAACTACTAAGGTATACTACATACAACATATGAAACCAGAATTTAATTTATTCATAAGTTAAATATCTTGTTTCAAACTTTTAGTAACCAGTGAAAACCTATAGAAAGTCAGTATATTTTTCCATTATATAAAATGATTCACTTGAAACTATTTTTAATCACAAGAGCAGTTACAAAATATACTTTCTGAGATAATCACTTTATAAAATCATAAATCAATCATAACACAATATTTAGCACAACTTAAACCACTGCTTTAAGATATCTACCACAATATTTGGCATAAAGCACAATATCTAGCATAATACAATTTCATTCATTTGACATATATTTATTAGCACTCATATGCCAGGTTCTGTTCTGGATGTGGTTATGGAGCAGTTAGCCAGACATGTAGGTCACTGCTCTCTACAGCTTATTTTCTAGCAGAAAGAGGCAAATCAACACAAAAATCTGTGACAGTAAGTTTTATTTTTTTAAAAGCGGGTGCTGTTTCAGTTACTGGACTTGTTGACATGGGGAACATTTGACCTGAGATCTAAGTAACAAGAAAAAGTTGGTTATGGGAAGATCTAGGAGAACAGCATTGTAACACAAAATCTTAACCTAAGGAGCAATATTAAATAGTTTCAGGTGATTTGTGAGGTTTTACACCACTTCACTATTCATTCCTTTAAACACATCTTTCCATGGCCTATAAAGTCCTGTAAAATATCTGTTAGACCCACCATTGAGATCATCTGCAAATTTTGTACCATAGAGGTCCATGTATAGATTTTGGGGGATCCATGAATGCACTGAAATTTGTAAAAAATTCTGTATGTACATCATTTATTGAGAAGAGAGTCCATAACTTTCATCACATTCAGAGAGAAAATGAACTCACATTAAGAACTGCCGCCTTAGGTCTCAACAGACAAATGTGATCCCTAGATGTGATATTGTCTAGAATGGGAATTGGCAATCATTCAGAAGTATAATGCCCAAATCATGTTTGATCTCTCAGGAGCAGTGAAGAAATACCCTTTCCAAGGAGAAGACTACCCACAGATCCCATCAGAAAGTATGGCATAGCCAAATCTACAGTAGTGGCGCAAGCAGGCCTCTCTAAGGAAACCCCTTGCCTCTTAGGCCTCAAGTTCTAGTAGATTACATGTCTTCACTGTTTACCTCATTGAAAAAGAAGGAGGCCTGCCCTGACGAGTCACTTCTGTATACAACACTAGCTACAAAACTCTTAAAGAATCCCATATGGAGGAATCACACAGTACACTGTAATAAAAGCACAGGAACTTTACTGCCAGGCCTGTTCATCACTTAATTATGTTAGCTCCTTAACCTACAGTTTCCTTACCTGTAAGATCTCATGAAATAATAAGAGTTTAAATAAAATAACATATAAAAAAAGTACTCTGCACATTAGCTTGCTATCAAAGAACAGTTGCTTAGAATAATGTTACTGTATTTCACTGAATTTAAGTACCACTCACTACTTACCAGTATTTTATGTAGTACTTGGGGAAAAAAAAAACAATGTTACCAACTAAACCATGATAAGCCAGCTGTAAAATGAATCCCAATATCTGAGAGTTTAAAACGTAAAAATAAGTATTAAAATCAAAGAAACAAGGAGATGTATCCTTTTTCCAAAAGCAAGAATTAAAGATTACAATTTCAACTAATGAAATCCTAATTATAGTTACCTCTTATCAGTCATAAATGCTAAAATGCTTAATGGAATAGAGTTAGCACCAATAAATAAGGAGAAAAAGGATAAGAGATAAGGAGATAGATGATTCCAGAAGGTACCAAGGAAACATTTCCAATTGTCACAACTTCTTTCACAGCAGCTCTGACCAAATCACCAAAATTACAGTTCAAAGGCACACCCAGGACACAAGCCACACACTGTTGACTTTGGCTCTAGACAATATTTATACACCTTACTATTATACTATGATTGCTCGATACAAAAATTCAATGTAATAGTAATTTTCTCTGAACATAAAACTCCTTTTATCAGTTTGATATAGACCATTACTCTAACAGTGAATTTTAAAATAGCTTTATAATTTAAAATAAGTCTCAAAAAAACGTACCTGTCAACAATCGAGCTCATTTTACTACAGCTTACGGTAAACAACATAACATATTACGTTTTCGTCTTGTGGTAGACATTTGTACTTCTCCTTGGGTGGAAAGAGAAATAAATGGTCGTTAGTTTTCTAAAATACTTATTCCACAAACATAATAATCTTGAAAAACACTATATGTTGTTATAGAGACTTCAAAATATTTTTGTTTGTACTAATGGCTGGAACACTTTCAACCAAACAGCTTTAGCTGGGACATATTTCTGGTCTTTTTTTCCTTCTCTAAAAGGACTACCAGAAAATATTGAGGTTCACCATTCATTTTCTTTCTACTATAAAATAACCAATACTTAAAAGCTATGCTTAATACTCATAGATTGGGTTGGCCAAAAAGTTCATGTGTTAGTCTTCCATAAAGTAAGAGACACGTTTTTCGTTTTTACCAATAACTTTATTGATTTGTATCTTTTGACTATGTCAGCTACCTCCCGCATGGTATAACAGTCATTGTTCTCAATTAATGTCTCAATTTGATCACTATCACTTCATCTGGTCTATCTAACTGTGGAGCATCGTCCAGAGAAAAATCTTCAGCATGAAACTTTGCAAACCACTCTTGGCATGTTCAGTCACAGCACCTTCTCTATACATTGCACAAATCTTTTTTTTGCTGAAGCATTTTTACCTTTTTTGAAATAATAATGCATAATACACTGAAAATGATGAAATAATAAAGCATAATACACTGAAAATGTTGCATATTTTCTTCCATCTTCAATATTAAAACGGCTACACAAAAATTGACCAATTTTGGCAAGTTTTTTTTTTTAAATGCATACTGATATGACTGACAGCTGTCACAATACAGTCTAACCAACTAAGCTTTATTAGGGCCATCTTATAGGGAAAAAATAAACAAAACTTTTTGGACAACCCAATATATTAGACTAGTAACTATTAATAGGTTATAATAACACCATTTAATCAGCAATAAACATTTGTTGCAATCTTATTTTATTACAGTATGATTAGCTTTGGGAACACAAGAATATAAGACACAGTCTTTCTAGGCAAAAATCTGGAATTAAATAGGGAGATATATCTAAATAATTATAATAAAAGGAATAATGATGGTACAGAAGGAGGAAGGAGTCAGAGGAAATACTCTTGACAGTGAGTTTGCCAGGTAGTCTACATTGTTGTTACTGAAATATGGTCCAGAGACCATCAGCATTAGCAACATCTGTGAGCTTGTTAAAAGACAGAATCTTGGGCCCCACCCCAGTCCTTTTGAATCAGAATGATATTTTAACAAAGTCCCTACAAGGTCTCCTCCACCATTTAAGTTTGAGAAATAACAGACTAGAGGACAGTAAGAGGTCATAGTTGAAATGATTCCAAGTCACAAGAATAGCAATTTGCAAAGGCACAACCTTTGCGAGATGAGGTAGCATCAAACTGAGACACTTTAAAAGGGTTAGAATTTTCTTTAAAGAAAAATCTAGGCATGTTACAGCTTAAAGTTTTAATCACTAGAGCATAAAGAGGGAATAGCACTGACAGTGGTGAGAGCAAGTAAAAAAGAACCAAAAAGAGTATTACACCCACATTAAAGAAATTAAGATTGTTTTAAAACTGAATCATTATCCTAAAATTTGTCTCTTTATATTCTGTAGCTTTTCTAAATTGTAAGGAAGGTTTAATCCATAGAAGATGCTTTGTTCAATAGTCAGAGTTAAATATTGAAAAATCACTTTAATTCTAATAAATATCATAAAAGTTTTGTGACATAACAAATTCTACTTTAACTACAGTTTTATTTAAAATTTAGAAGCTAGTGTAAATTACTATGTAACACTAACTAACCCAGGTAAGATTAAAGGTATTCAAAGAACATGAGATTCTAAAATATTTTACCACTTTCAAATGTACATTTATGAGAGAAAGAGAGAATAACCCTTAAAAAATGATGCTGCATTACCTGTGTGATTATGGCTGCAGACGTGAGACTGTGAAGAGCTAAGACTTCTTAATAGAAACTTAGTGGTCCCCCATGGTAAAACTAAAAAGAACTAGCACCAGGATAAAATACTGATTTTAAATGTCTGGACCGACATCAGCAGATGGGACACAGGAATTACAGAATTTTAGCGTTAGAAGAGACTTTAAGATCACTTAAGTACAGTCCTCTGGTCCAAAAGACATAGTTACCATCCTGGTAATAACAGAGAATGGTTCCATCATTAGAACAAAAAGAACAGTACAAAGGTAAAAATGCCAATTTGGGTGAATTTAAAAAGAACAGTTTCAGTTTGAAGTTAAAAGGCCAATATGAGATTTATATTGCACCGAATATATGCTTATTTAATTATCAAAAGGTAAAACAGAGCAAACTAGAAAATAAAGGACTCCAAGAGTTAGGGCTTAGAGTATAGGAAAGGCCATGCTGGCTGTGAGAAGAAGGAATGCAAAATAGTTTAAAGATGCAGACCAATGCTATATTAGGCTCTTTTACTATTGTTGTTACCCATATTCTTCAAACATTATTTGTTGTCTGGCTAACTGAATAATGTGAGACTATATGTCTAAGAGTCTAGTACAAAATCTTTTCCAGCCAATCGACAGACATGCTATATTTGAGAGAAAGGTAAGGGGAAAAGTGAAGTAAGACCTAAGAACTCTTTACAAATTGTTAGAAGAACCCTCTTGACTTCTTTAAACAGTGAAAAATTAATTTTAAGAAAATAACGAGGTAATGGGGGAACAGCCAAAGGTCTTGTGTGACAACTACCCTAGGACTCACACTTTCAGTACAAAAAGATGAGCCAGAGTTCACTCTTACCCATACTATCGATCCTAAGAATTCAGTTTTAGAAGACTTACAATGTCCCTACATATAACAAGGAATTTCAAGTATATAGTCTAATATAGATTGTTTTATTATAAAAAGTCTTTTTTCTTAAATATTGACATTAATAGGCCAGTATGGTATGCAGTATGTTTTTGAATGGATCAGAGTCACTGGAACCCAAAGTTCACAAGTTGAATTATAAAAGATCAAGTTACAGCGAGGAATCAAATGCACCTTTTCATAAGCAACTTGAGCTCAAACTCATTCAGTGATATGACTTCCCAGATGAGTAAGCACCACATTACTTTCTATTTTGTAACAACGAAGTCCAAGGGCAGCATAAGTCTCTCATAAATTTTTTTTAAACAATTTTATTTTTGTATGGAGGTGAGAAAATTAAGAAGCCCAGCAGAGATGGGGTAAATACACAGCTAGTATATGGTGAAGCAAGGCTGTTTGCATCCAGAATAGTAGGTATTTCTCATATGCTTTGGTAAGGAGCTTGGATTTTATTGTGTAGGTGATGGTGATCCAAATGTTTTATTGGTTAAAGGTAATATTGGTCTATAGGTTTCAGGTGTACAATTCTACAATCATCTGTATACTGTACTATGTGTTTCAAGTCTCCTTCCATCACTATTTAGTCCCCTTTTACCCTCTCCTATCTTAAAAAAAAAAAAAAAATCTATCTAATGGGGAGGTACTAGTAATTCAGAAACTTTACAAACAATTCAAACTTTGCTAAATATAGAAGCAGATATGCTTTTACTGCAGCATGGAACATTATAAATAATTAACAGAAAATCTCAGTGCCTGACATTCTATCTTTGGAAAATAACCCTTATATACAAAATAACATACTCTGTATTAAAAATAAACTGTGTAGTACCTAATGACATGATACTGCAACATCTTAGAATTTTACCATAAAAAAAAAAATACAAAAACTCCCATGACTCACCAGCCCCCTTCAGGTGCTGCCTTCCTTTTCTGCTCCCTTTTACTAGAAAACTGATTGTCAGAATTGTGTTCAACAGTTGTTTCAACATCTTTAATTTCATTCTCTTATTTTAAAATTTGGTGTTTACAAGCTATTTTTCACCAATGTATATGTGTTCACAGTTTAAAGCATCCAAGCTGTTACAGGAGATATTAAAAATTCAAAAGTCCTCTGATTCCCATTTCCTACTTTCATCTCTTTGTTTCTTTGGGTAGTTAAGTCCCTATCTCTAATATCTTTATTTTGTTACTTCTTGATTTTTTCTGTTTAAGGTAGGGTGCCTACACAGCTCCAATTTTAGTTGTCCCAATGTAATTATTAAAAGTATTTGCTTTTGCTCTCAATAGTGTCATATTTTTTAGGCATCAGCTATTGAATAGCTCTCTTTTACTCCCCCCATCTTTTCCTTGTACACATACACACTTGACCAAATTTCCAATATCATAATTTTGGCTAGGTGGTTATATTCAGAGTTACCATTACTAATGACTCTGTAAATGCAAATCACTGTTGAGTCATATGGTATACTACAATTACTTTCCCTTTCTGAGCAGTTTTCCCTAAGGTTGTTTTTTCTTATTTACCTGGTTTTCTATATACCTATCACCAATACTGCCCCAAACTCTTCCCTATCTCAATCTGTTCTTAATGTCGTAGATCATGCATTCTATCAAATTAATCTTCCCATAGCTGAACACATCAGGCATTCTATCAATTTAATCTTCTCACAGCCATTTTTTTTTTTGGCACCTTCTGACCTATTTCTATTGGCACTAGAGGTTCTCTATAACTAGTGACCAATCGCAATCCCGGGAACACTATTCACTATCATCCTGGTGGTTTCCTGGGTCTCTACTTAAGTTGATTCTCTGTCTTTTGCAGGCTTAATCTTCAGTTTCCTTCTCTATTTTTGTTTGTTACCTTCTATGATAACTGCCCAAGAGAAATGGCAAATGAAGTTTTTTGAGGCAACACAAGTCTAAAAATTGTCATTAGTCTATCCTTAATCAACTGTTTAGCTGAATACTGAATACTGAGTTTGAAATCATTTTCCCCTCAGAATTATGAAGGCTCTGTTGCCTACTAGTTTCCATGGTGGTATCAAAAAATCCAGTCATTCTGATTACTGATCCTTTACACATGACCTCTTATTTTACTTATTTTGGGAGCTCCCTTTGTTCTAAAATTTAACAGTGATGCCATATTTTAAACTAATTTCCCTATCTGTATTGGTCACGTCATGGACTCTTTGCATTGGGTGGCCAAAAAGTCTGTTTAGTTTTTTCCATAAAAGACACATGTTTCATTTTCACCAATAATTTTACTGATATGGATATTTCAAGTATGTTGGCTATCTCCTGCTATTGTTTACTAGTGGGTAGAGGACGGGATGATGCTAAACTTCTTCCAATGTTTAAGACAGCCCCACAGCAAACATTTTGCAAAAATGTCCATAGCATCAAGAAACTTCGCCAACTACTTTTGACACATTCGATCAGTCACAGTACCTTTTCCATACACTGTACAAATTTCCTTTTGCTTTTCAGTTGCATTTTTACCTTTCTTGAAATAATAAAGCATAATATGCCAAAAATGTGTATTTTCTTCCATCTTCAATATTAAAATGGTGCACAAAAATTCACCAATTTTGGTAAGTTTTTTTAATAAATGCACACTGAAATGAGAGCTGTCACAATACAATCTAACAAAATTGTTTTGAATGAAGTTAAGGACAACTAAGCACCACCAGAGCCATTGTACAGAAAAAACTAAACAAACTTTTTGGGCAACCCAATACTTGGAAAACTTGTGTCCTCTAATTCTGAAGTTTTGTTGCATCATTCCCTATTCTCTATTTCTCCCTTTAATTTACTCGATTCTCTTTGTGGAACTCCTATTATTGAATATTAAAAGATGCTGGACAGTTGCTCCAATTTTATTTTTCCCTTCTATTTTTTTCTTTGCTTTACTTTCAAAGCATAAATATTATTTTTCAGCACTTCCATTGAATTTTTCATTTGTAATTCCATTTCTTATTTTATATTTCATGGATTCAGCATCTCCTACCTCTCTGTAAGTATTTCTTAATATATTTTATTGCTTATGCTATTACAGGTGATACTATTAAATCATAGTTTTGTGTTTCTTTCTATTTGTATCAGCTAACCTGTCCTCTATTCCCCCTTATTTGGCATTTTCTTTTGGTATGGTCTCGGACTCACACATAAGAGGCTTTCTTTCCTAAATTGTCTAGTGACCTCTGGCCACAGGCTCATATTTAAGGGTGGGGTACTAAAAAAAAAAAAAAAAATCACTACAAGTCTGTGTGATAGAGCTTGCTGACTGTGAATTTTATTGCAGAAATATCAGACTGGAATATTTCCTTTGGGGGCAATTCTTAATATCAGTGTGTTCAGATCTTTTGTCTTAGGCTGTTTATAATTCCCAGAGAAGAAATCTTCTAAACTATTGACTGAAAATTATAAAAATCTGGTAGCCCAGGTACTTAATCTCCCTATTTCTAATATGGTACCCCATTCTCAGCTATGTTTTATGCCTGTCTGTCTTATTCTTTCTAGAGACTAAATCTCTAGTCTTCTGCTGATAAGGGGTAGTTACCTAGGTTTCCAGTTAGGAAAATGATCCATTTCCTAACTGGATCATTTTTAGGGTTACTTCTAAATAATATTTGCAACAAATCATCCTGTTTTTAGTCATATCCTCACTCCTATTTGCAGAAATAAAGAGTACTTTCACCTCCTGAACATTTTAGAGATTCTGTAGTACCATGAAGTTTGTTTTTCAGCATTCCCACAGCTGGCTTAGGATTCCAGGATCTACAAGACAGTTACTATACTTCCTTTTGCTCTTCAGGTTCTAAAACTGTGTTGCAGTTGTTTCCTCTCCCATTCTCTTTGTTCTTTTGAAGTTGTATTCTATAAAAATCCTTTTACTTCAGCTTTAGTGAAATTTTGAGAGGAAATGGAATTTAATTGTATTGTTTGCCACCTTAATAGACGTTTCTCCCTCTTTCTTCATCAATTTTAACCAGGCTTTCATCCTCACTCACTCTGAGACTGTTCACTAATATTAGTTACCAATGATATTCACATTACTAAATCTAATGGCTGCTTTACTCTGTATTTGACATCTCAGCAGCATGAGATGCAGATGACCACTTCTGCATTCATTAAATACTTTTCCTGGTTTCTGTGACGGAACACTTTCCTGCTTCTCCACCCATTTCCCTGGCTGCTCCTTCTCTTCTGATTAACATTGGCAAGTCCCAGAGCTAAATCCATCTCAATCTATGTATACTTCCTAAATAATTTCATCCAGACATATGACTCTAAGTAACTCTCTGTGCCACTTAATTCCCAACTCCATACCCCTAGACCTGATTCTCTACTTCAGTCATATATTCAACTACTTTTTTGATATTACAACAGATTTTACAGATGTCTAAAATACCATATAGCAAAACAGAACCCCTGTCTTTCTTCTGCAAATCTGCCCTCTCCCATTTTAATTCTCCAACATGAACTCCATATATTCTTTTCCCCACTTCCTATATTGCAGCCACATTTGCTTTTTCTGTTCCTCAGGCAGTCCATGGTCATTTCAGTTTCACTGCCTCCTTTTACAATAACTACCCAAGAAAGGGGACACTTTCAGACCTTCACATGGTTGGCACATTCTTGCCATTCAGATCTCAAATGATGTATTTAGGGCCTCTCTAACTACCTAATGAAAGCAGTCACTAGTGTCTATCACTATTCTCTATCATCCATTTTAATTCTCTGCATAGAACCACACATTTTTTAATTTGTTTATTATTTGTTCTCCCTCTTTAAAATTTGTAATCCTGAGAGCAGAAATAGTTTGTCTTGATCAGCACAGTATCCTAAATAGTATCTGAACATAGCTGACACAACAAATGTTGCAGGATAAATACAAGGAAAAATTTTTAAATAAAACTTTTTTCAAATTATTGTGTCAAGACAGTTTATAGATTTTTAAAAAATATATACTCTTCTGAAAAAATGTCATTCCAAAGTGCATTCCAAGATACAATTCTATCAGTACCTTTTGTTATTTTTTGGATCTTTTGAACGGATTCTTCAGAAAACAACAGATTCAATGTATTCTTCTATACGGCTGACCATCAGTCTCAAAATTCTGTTTAAACAATAAAAAATTATTGGTTAGATTTATTCAACTTATATATAAATTTATCACAGAAAGGTTTTAAAATTTTGAAATATAATAAAATTAGAACTGTCACAAAATGTATGTAACAAATGCTAAACTATACAAATTATTTCTAAAAAGAAATATTTTAAAAATAAAAAATAAGCTATAACAATCACCTTTAATTTTAATATAAATGTCAAAAAGATAAAAATATAAAAATAACTATAACTACAAAAATGTTATGGATGCACAACATAAAAGATGAAATTTGTGACACTGATAACAAAGTATGTTGGGGGGAAAGAAAAGAGTAGAGTTATTGAAGTTAGGTTGTTATGAGCTTAAAAAGGATTGTTAGAACTGTAAGATGTTTTAGGTAAGACCCATGGTAAACACACACACTTATGGAGGACACACAAAAGGAAATGAGAAAGGAATCAAAGCATGCCACTATTAAAAACAAAGTCAATGAAACATAAAGGAAGACAATGAGAGAAAAATGACCAAAAAAACCCTGTAAGACAAAAGTAAGGAGCAAAATGACATTAGTAAGTCCTTCCCTATCTGTCATTATTTTAAATGTGAAGTAATGGAACTTCCCAATCCAAAGACACAGAGTAGCTACTTGGGTATTAAAAAATAAAAATCTACCTATATACTATCTAGAGGACACTCAACTTTAGCTTTAAGGACACACAGAGGCTGAAAGTAAGAAACTGAAAAAAGACAGTCCAAGGAAATGGTAACTATAAGAGAGAAGAAGTGGCCACACATATATAAGACTATAAGTCAAAAACTGTCACAAGAAACAAACCAAAAAGCATTATATAATAATAAAAAGTCAATCAGGAATATGTAACTATAAATATATATAAACCTCAAATCAAAGCACAAAAATGTCTGAAACTGAACAAAGAAATAAATTGCAACACAGTAACAATAGATTTCAATGCCCCAGCTTCAATAATGGATAGACTGTCCAGACATAAGAACAATATGGAAACAGATGGCTTGAACATTAAAGACACCATGGACTTAATAGACATATACAGAGTATTCCACCCTATAGCAGAATACATTCTTCTCCAGTACACATGGACCAGTCTCCAGGCTAGATCACATATTAGGTCACAACACAAGTCATAAGAAATTTAAGACTGAAATCATATCAAATGTCTTCTTCTGACCACGACAGAATAAAACTAGAAATCAGTATCACAAGGAAAATTAGAAAATCCACATGTACGGAGATTGCACAACACATTATGGGTAAAAGAATGAATCAAAAGGGAAATGAGAAAATATATTAAGACAAACAAAAACATTAATACATCAAAACTTACGGAATGAAGCAAAAGCAGTACAAGAAGGAAGTTTACAGTGGTAAGTACTACATTAAAAAAGAACAAATCTCAAACACAGACCCTAATTTTACATTTCAAGAAACCAGAAAAGAACAAACTAAGCCCAGAGTTAGCAGAAGTAGGGAAATAAAAAATATTAAAGTGGAGCCTTAGCCAGTATGGCTCAGCTGGTTAGAGCATCATCCTGTAAACCGAAAGATCATGGGTTCAATTCCCAGGCAGGGCACATGCTTAGGTTATAGGTTCTGTCCCTTGTCAGAGCACGAAGAAGAATGGTTCCTGGTCCCCAGTCAGGATGTATATGAGAGACAACCAATCAATGTTTCTCTCTCACATTGATATTTCTCTCCCTCTCTCTCCCCATTTCTTTCCCTCTCTCTAAAAATCAGTAAGCATGTCATTGGGTGAGGATAAAAAAATATTAAAGCAGAAACAAACAAAATAAAGACTAAAAACAATGGAAATAAAGAAACGAAGTTTTTAGAAAAAAACAAAGAGAAAACATTACAACTGATATCACAGAAATACAAAGAAATCATAAGACTATTATGAACAATTACATGCCAATAAACTGAGTAACCCAGAAGAAATGAATAAATCCTAGAAACATATAAGCCACCAAGACTGAATCATGAAGAAACAGAAAATCTGAATACACTTTTAAATTAATAAGGATACTGAATCTGTAATAAAAACCTCCCAACAAAGTAAAGCCCAGGACCAAAAAGATTCACTGGTGAATTCTACCAAACATTTAAAAAGAATTATCACCAATCCTTCTCAGACTCTTCCAAAAAACACAAGAAGAAGGGAACACATTCAGATTCACTTTATGGAGCCAACACGACCTGATACCAGCACTAGATAGCCTCCACAAGTAAAGAAAACTACAAGCCAATATCCCCAGTGAAAAACAAATGAAAAAATCTTCAACAAAACATTAACAAACCAAATTCAACACATTAAAAGGATCACACACCATGTCAAGTGAGATTTATCCCTGGGATGCCAGGATGGCTCAACATATAAAAAATCAATGTGATATACCACATTAACAAAAAATATATAAAAATCACAATTATCTCAATTAATGCAGAGGAAGCATGTAACATAATGAACACCCTTCCATGATAAAAATATTATAAAAACTAGGGATAGAAATTTTCTCAAGATAACAAAGGTCATATGTAAAATCATGACCTCACAGCCAAAATCATGTTCAACAGTGAATAACTGAAAGCTTTTTCACTAAAATGAGGAACAAGGCAAGGGTGCTCATTCCCACAACTTCTATTCAACATAGCACTGAATATAAAAGGCATCCAAATCATTGATAAGTAAAATTATCTCTAGTCACAGATGACATAACCTTATATGTAGAAACCCTAAAGATTATATACACACACACAACATGTTAGAACTAATAAACATGAAAGTTGCAGGACAAGAAATGAACAAAAATCAATTGCATTTCTATGCACTAACAATGGACACTCTGAAAAGAATTTAGAAAACACTGCCATTTACAATAGCATAAAACAGAGTAATACTTAGAAATAAAGTTAACCAAAAAGGCAGAAGAACTGTACACTGAAAATTACAAAACACTGATAGAACAAATAAATGGAAAATATCTGTGTTCATGGACTGGAAGACTTACGAGTGTTAAAATGTCAATACTACCCAATGTTATCTACAGATTCAATGTAATCTCTATCAAAATGATATTTCCCAATGATCTATCCCAATGATATTTCATGCAGAAATAGAAAAACTAAAATTTATACAGAACCATAAAGGATCTCAAATAGTCAAAATAAGCATAAGAAAGAACAGAGGTAGAGGCCTCACACTTCCTGACTTAAAAAAAATTACAAAGCTACAGCAACCAAAACAGTATGGTACTGGCATGAAGACAGACATATGAGGTATGTCTAGAAGGTATCCAGCCACATATGAAAAACAGAGAATTTACTGAAGAAGATACAAATAACATTGTACATAGGACAATGATGCCTCAGTCCCCTCAAAGGAGATACCTTGGGACCTCAGACAGTCTTCCAATCACCATCAGCTGCCCTGTACTATTTTCCTGAATCTCATCGATGGTTTGAAATTTCTTCCCTTTCAAAGGGGATTTTAGTTTTGGGAAAAGCCAAGGCTGCAGGGCACTAAATCTGGGCTGCAGGGGGGCTGAGTCACCTGGGTGACTTGATGTTTCGCCAAAAAACTCTGTACGAGACATGATACATGAGTGGGTGCATTGTCGTGATGAAGGTGCCAAACACCAGTTGCCTATAGCTGCAGCCTTCTGAATCATCCAAATAGTTCCCACAGAGGAAGGTTCAAACTTCATGCAATGTTTGATGCCGGTTTGTTGCTCTACTTGCTCAGTCATTTTTAATGCAACTTGCCATACAGTACAAATTAAAAGGCGTCTATCGCCCCCACTGACTAGTACAGTGAAGTTAGTCACTGTTCACACATGTGAATTCCAACACACTCTCCTTGGCTGCCAGGTTACATTGAGTCATCCAAACTGCTGTTATATTAGCAATGGCTGGACTTTTTTTGGACAGACTCATATATACCAATGAAACAGAAGAGAGAGCCCAGAAATAAACCCATGCACATACAGTCAAATAATCTTGAACAAGGGGGACTACACTACATAGTGAAAGGGTAGTCTCTTCAATAAATGGTGGTGGGGAAAAAAACAGGATATCCACATGCAAATGAATAAAACTGGACCCTTGTTTTACACCATATTAAAAAATAAATCAATCAAAATGGATTGAACACTTAAATGTAAGACCTAAAACTATAAAACTCTTAGAAAAAACATAGGAAAAACATTTCAGACCACTGAATTTAGCAACAATTTCTTGAATGTGACAAAAAAGTACAGGAAATAAAAGCAAAAATTGACAAGTGGGACTACAGCAAACTAAAATTGCACAGCAATGAAATCAACAAAATGAAAAGGCAACCTAGTGAATGGCAGAAAATATTTGCAAATCATTTATCTGGTAATGAGTTAATATCTAAAATATAAAGAACTCCAACATGGCAGAAAAAACAACCTGATTTAAAAAATGAGAAAAGGACTTAAACAGACATTTATTCTAAGAAGACATACAAATGGTCAAAAGGCATAATGGACGAAATGATGCCCAACATCACTAATCATTAGAAAATGTTAATCAAAGCTACTATGACATATCATCACACATTTGTTAGGATGGTCATTATAAAAACAAAAACAAAATAAAGATTAAAAGGTATTGGCAATGATATGAAGAAATTACAACCCTGTCCACTGTTGGTGGGCCTGTAAAACAGTACAGTCACTATGGAAAACAATATAAAGGTTTTTCAAAAAATTAAAAATAGAAATACCATATAATCTAGCAATCCCACTTCTGGGTATTTATCCAAAAGAACTGAGAATAGGAACCTACAGAGGTAACTGTACTTCTATGCTCATTACTGCATATTCATAATGGCCAAGGGGTAGAAACAACCTTAAAGTCCATCCACGGACTGAATGATTAAAGAAAATGTGGTACAAACATAGAGTGAAATATATGCAGCCTTAAAAAAGAAGATTCTGTCAGATGT